TCCTCCGATTTAGTTAATTTGTTGATTATACGTCTCAGTATTTCTCTCTAGATGCGACGGCATATACGCAATCCCCATCATGAAATATCACTCGCATAACTCCTAACACAGAATTCTTCAAAACCAAGCGATGACCTACATGCATCTAAGATACAAGAGGCGAGTAGTTCTCAAAGTCATGCAGATTTTATCCAAGTTCAGTAGTTCCAACACCCAAAAATACTAAAATCTAGTCAGATCTAGGAGAAAGCAGAAAGTCTCTTCGCCGGGGCCGTGACCTTGATATCACACATTCTTTCATGGGTTTTTAAAATACCAGGACGCGAAAGGCTTTAGTCTCCCTGCGTTCCCGCATTCATATCGTTGAATATATATCTGAGGAGGGCTTATCCTCCGGGTACGCGTTTCTTCCATCCAGTCGTCAAAGCTGTAAAATCTCTTGTCCCCAAAGCACATTGAATTGATCATGAGAAACATGGGCAGAGGTAACGAAACAGAACAAAAGCAAAAGGTGATGGGGTTAAGAAAATCCTTTAAATATCAGCGGAGGAGCGTGGCTTGAAGTTGATATCACCGGATGAGGTAAATATGTGTGCTCAAGGAAGGTCTACGGCTAGAATGGGATGTAAAAGAACACCTGGCGGACAGCTTGCGTTTGTCACACGTTCGAACCAAATGCGACGGAGAATACCGGGAAAGAGGAGACACGTTTACTGGAATCCGAAGAGGAAAAGATAAAGTACGAAGGTAAAGCCTCATCCCGAGACCCTGATATACCAAACAGGCCACGACACATTTTGTCTGCTAATATTGGATCTCTTCGCCCTGAGGAGATAAAACCGAAACCAGCAGACAGGACGTGCACACGCTAGCACAAAGTCATAGACAAAGACGATATAACGATGAAGGGGAATTTGGTGGCTAGCCACCTGAGCAAGCACCATGAGCTACTTGATAGCTGTAGAGTCTGGCACAAATCTCATCAACAAAGAAAATATCCGCTCAGGAACGAGAACTCTAGCTAAAGTCGCCTAAAGAATGAAAGCCTAGATACCTTGAGTGACATGGACAGCCTGCAGCAAGTCTTGTTAAAGACAGCGTATGGTGTCAGGCAGAAGCCTTAACCCTAGTGATGGGCACGAGGCAAGATGAGACCATATTTACGGTGGTTTTGTCTCGTCTTGTATTTAGGAGTAGTAGGTCTTGTCACTCTTGTCTTATCTCGGGACTTTCTACAAAGTCTCGAGCCGTCTCGAGACTTTAGGGAAACTCCCAAATGTAGGAAATAGTTGAAAATATTCGAACATCTAAGCTATATTTTCTGATATTGCTCCAACTGTATGTGCTAATTATAATCTTATAGAAGAAATTTTTTTTTTCAATACGTATAATACCTCCGAAACCTTTCCAAAAGGTCCAAAATAGTCTCCCAAGACGTCTCGAGACCAACCCATGATAGTCTCGAGATAATCGCGAGACTATTTTCATTGGTCTTGTCTTGTCTCGTTCAGAAAGCTCGAGACCTAGTCTCGAGACCTCAAGTCTCGTGCCCATCACTACTTAACCCCCATCACTATCTTCAATAAGATTCGCGCACGCCTCCCGGCCTCCGCAGATAGCCCGAGTATAGAGGGAAAAGTGGTTTACTCTGCGGGGCAAGATACGATATGGAGATAAGAGGGCAGACCGCCTACGACACGTCTTGTCCAGCAGCTTCATATCAACCCGCAAGCGAGGACACCATGAAGGCTATGGACAACATATGCGCACGCTTCTTGGGCTAGCGAATGAAAGTGTAAAGAGATATCTAGAAAGATATAGACAGCCTGCAGCAGATCTTGTCAAAGACTCGAGATAACGGCGAAAGGTCGTTGTCCCTCCCAATGATAAGATATGTGCACGCTTCCGGACCTTTGTAGATAGACAGGATATAAAGAAAGAGGGTAAAGACTTCTTTCGAGCCACTGGACAGCCTGTCACAGATCTTGTGAACTAACGTGATACGCATGGAGCCGGAAGGTCCATGTGCCCCCAGGTCTGTTCACAAGATGTGAGCGCGGTTCCATGTCATAATAGCTAGTAGATATAACAGTTAGTTTGATTTCCGAGTTAATATAGGATATATAGGAGAGCACGTGGACAGCCTACGACACGTCTTGTCCAGCAGCTTCATATCAATCCACAAAAGAGGATTTTATGGAGACTATGGACAAGATATGCGCACGCTTCCCCGACCTGTGAAATAAAGACGAAAATTGTGCGAGAGAAATGAAAGGGAGATATTAATACTTGCAACTTAAGAGATAGATAGCCTGCAGCATATCTTGTCAGTAGATTCGGAATGGAGGCAAATCACCCACAGACGGATGCGGCTGACTAGATATGCGCACGCTTCCCTCCGGCAGGCCTCCAAATGGCGGAATTATAAAGTCAGAAGGGGGAGAAGACGAATACCTTCAAAGAAGAAGACAACCTGCAGCAAATCATGTCAGCAGACACTGCACCAGCGCACATCACCCCAGAGGGAGCTCCCACCAAAAGGGTGTGTGCACGCCTCTTTGCTTTTCAAGATAGGGAAGGGAAGGGAAAAGTGGGAGTTCGGAAATAGATCAAGGAAGGTGAACAGCCTGCGACACGTCTTGTCCAGCAGCTTCATATCAACCCACAAAAGAGGATTTTATGGAGGCTATGGACAAGATATGTGCACGCTTCCCCAGCCTGTGAAATAAGACGAAATTCTGTGAGGGAAATGAAAGGGAGATATTAATACTTGCGACTTAGGAGATAGACAGCCTGCAGAATATCTTGTCAGGGTGTGCGACTGGACACCAGCAAGGTCCGCCGTACCCCAGACAAGACATGAGCACGCTTCTACTCTTTCAGTGATGAAAAGGGCAAGGGGAAAAATCAGTCACAGGTGGACGAGGATGAAGAGCGTACCACAGATCTTGACTGCCCAAAGTGCATCGACGGCTAAGAGCCGTGTGGCAAACAAGATATGGGCGCGCTTTGCCGACAGGCACCATTTGCGCGCGAAAGGGGTGGGAAAGAGTGGAAAGGTTGGAAGGGTAGATAAATAACAGAAAAAGGACAGCCTGCTACATATCTTGTCTCCTTTGGTGTGCAGAGGCATGAATAGCACTATGCTGCTCAACAAAGCAGACAAGATATGCGTAGGCTTCCATGATACTGTGGCTGGGAGAGATGAAGAGTAAAGAAGGGACTGAGTGCAACCAAGCAAAGATAAGGGACAGAAAGGAAACCTAGGCACCTGCGAGAGAGGATCATATTACCTAAGCGCGGTAAAAATTACAAATTAATTGTTAAGCAAATAAAAAAAGAAAGAAGAAAAAAGGAAGAAAAAGGAAAGAAAAGAGGAAAAGAAAGATTGAACTCACCACGACATAATCGATTCTCAAAGGGGAAACCTGCAACCCATCGTGTACGAGTTCGAGCACGTCAGACGGCCCTGTTAAGGGAGGCCCAACAATATCCGAAGCCTCGTACACGACGAGTGCACGTTTCCCAAGATGAGAATGAAAGATGGGACAGTAAACAAGACAAGCCACAGAACCTGCAGCTCATCCTGTCACAAGAGCATGCTGTCGTTGGCCACGGCCCTCAAAAGCAATAGCAATATGACAAGACGAGCGCACGTATCTGGAGAGGCATCTATGATCTCTGTGACACGGAGTTAGTAACAGAGTCTATAAGGAGAAAGGATTCTTGTGTAAAGGAAGGAAGACATCCTGCAGCCCATCTCGTTCCAAACTATTCCACCATCATCAAAACAATGACTGATGTCTATAGACATAGAACAAGACGAGTGCACGATTCCATCAAAGGTTAAATGACTGGAGGACTTTGTGAACTTACAAGGACATTCCAGTAGAGACACGTTGAGAAGAAAGGAGATTTGTCAACGGTTGTTGTGGTGGGAAAAGAGGGGTGAGTTCTTGTTGTCTGTATTTTTTGATGGATGGTTTGGTGAAAGATTGGGGGAGGGGCGGAAGGAGACAGTGTTCGTGTCCAGAAGATGCCAAAACTGGGACTGAAAATTAACAGTCACAAACCACTAGGGCTCGCCCTAAAAGATATAGCCCGTTCTGGCGGGCCTAAGGGCCTAACGTGTGGGATTCTAAAATGTTGGGATTCGAGACAACGATTACAGGAAGAATGAACAGTTCTGAATCACAACACCGAGGGTACCCAAAATTTATGTCCTCATCCGATTACTACATGTAGGTAAAAGAACACTGAAAGCCCACAGTAAACTTCAACTCTCATATTGCTTCGAGAACGTGATGTTGATTGGCGTGTTCTCGATTAATCGTCGGCTGGACCCCTAACCCTGAAATATCCCCTCGCCTTGTACTCCAACCCAATTCGAGAACGTAAAGTGAGGATTTTACCGTATTTCATCTGAGAAAATTTTATTTTTAAGAGCTTTGAAACCTTTGCCATACGTGGTGCTCGGGAGGATCGAGATGAAAGACTTATGGCTGTCGATAACTGTTCTTTCTTCCCCGGCGCCACAACCAGCTCAACGCTTTTTCTATCCCTACATGTACGCATATCCTCTCAGTCCATGTCCCGATACATTCTGCCCGAGCCTTTTACTGCCCCGATAGAAAAGGAGACTTGATATTGTCCCGCGAGGCGCTAGCATGCGCTACATGCATTTAGTTTTATCTCATAGAACACCTTCGCGAAAACTACATGTAGAACTTCAAGTACTGTAATTCATCTCCGAAGGGAGGAAGTATTCGGGCTCCTCACTTTAAAATCATTGTATAAATATATTTCGCCAAAAGTAGTCTTACAATAATAGCTAAAGGCTGATTTTCTTTCACCCTCGACGCTTTTAATCAGTGTTGCGAAGTTCGGTTCCTACCGGGCTAGGGTAGGACATAACCTAAAGCCCTAACCCTGATGTCTGGCTCCGGCTCTCGTTTCCGTCTGCTGTAAGAGGAGGAGTTTTCAAGTCGGATGCACAATGATTAGGTACTCAAATTGAACTGGTAATCATTGCCGGAGGTCTCCAGGGCATTGTGATCGAAACCGGCGGGCGGTGAGGACTGTCGAACTCGTTTCGGTAATACGGCATAGACTAAAGAGAGCGTCCGTGATTCATCGAGTAGTATTCCGGGTTGCCTAAATCGCAGATGTCAGTGATCTTGGAAGAGTATGAGAGGAGAGTTAATTCTTTTACGGCGCGCGCAGAGGATACATTTCCTTATTTGATCGGATGCGATGTCTACGAGTACCGGTGATGTAAGGCGGCGTTTTCATGAGGCGAAGCCTATTGGGCTGATTCCTTGGTAACACCCTTTCCCTCGCCGCGGGAATCAAGAATGCTTCCGCGGTGGAGGAGCGCAACTCAGCGGAACTGACCTCCGGTGAAATTGTGGTGAGTAAAGACTTCTGCGGGAGGGGCCGGGAGTGGAAAGTATCATCACCGCTTTCGCCGGCACGAGATATTCGGAAGTGAAGGTGGGGTTTGGGCGGCGTGCGGCTCCTAGTGTTTCGGGTTATTCGACTTGAGGGCTTGCGGGCGGTGGTCCAGAGGGGATATACTCCGGTGTAGATAAAGCGGGCATATCAGGCTCCTTTTTTTCCTGCCTACCGGTCGGTGGCGTGAACAAGTGAGAAACGAGCACCTGTCTTACGTGCGGGTTGATTATTTGGATACATGTACATGTAGTTGTCTTTCCTTAGCACATGTTTCTGCTTGGTGATGGGTCTCAGGGAAGGAATCACATATGCGCAACAATGTGCTTGGGAACGTGTTTTACGGTTTCGGATGTGAGGTGGGGAACACTACGCAGCAACATGCCCGAGAGATTCTCGCATGTTCCATTTTTTTTTTTACTAATAAAAGAAAGAACCTTCGTAACTGAGCTACATCACTGTCTTCGGACTCGTGTGTTGGCCAGAGACGTAGGCCGAAGAGACGCGTGCCCTTCTTCTGGCCGGTGGATCGAGCATCCAGGAGATAAGTTGCATCTATATGGCCTGTACATTCTTGTTGTCCGTCTGAGGCCACTTCGGTACCTATCGGGACTAGCTAGGTGGCATTATCAGGGTACAGCCCTCATCAAAACGGGTCACATCAGCCTTGGCCCTTCGCACACTTCCTTCACACTAGACGATTCACCTGCCCACAACACGTCGATGCAAAGTTCCTGTCTTCTCTCCCTTTTCCCTTACCTCAACCAACACATCTTTTCTCTTACTTCCTCTCAAAGTACCATCGACATATTAGAATACATCATCTACTAGCAGTTGGCCACCTCGCCAGGGCGAAGTGTGAGCTTGAATGTGACCAAATTTTGGGAAGGGCGGGTGGGTGTGGTGAGTCCGGTTTTTACAGTACCGATGCCAGTGCCAGTGAGCTGAAAGTATGTGTAATTTAATGGAGTTTGCTTTAACATAAACTTCCGGAATTATATTGCATAGCTATTGCTACCTAGTGTAGTGGTTTAAATGTCTGACATATGTTGAAGTGCTTGGGGTTCAAATTCCAGGCTCGGCGATATATAATTGAGGGCCTCGAAGGTGCATCACATTGTCCATTCTAAATGGATGAGATGCTTTGCCACAGAGGGAGAGGGTCATCCGACTTAGTATACCATGAATTTATTCCTCTGGAGCTAAGGGCGTAAGGCTCCAGCTGTTTATTCAAAACTTACTTTCCTTTCGGGGAGATTATGTGATGTGTGAACAGCTGACGTAAGTCGATGCAGTTTTTTTCTACATGCCGAGTGATATTTCATGACCGAATAAAAAATGATTTTGGACAGAACCGTTGTTGCAAAATGTTATATTTATATAATTGAATCAGCAAGCTGAAAAATAACCGTAAAGCTTTTCCTGAGCCTACAGAGAATCAATATCTGTTGGGAGGCTTATTCAAATGTACCATCTTGCTGATGTTCATACTCAACGTTAAGCATGAGATTGTAACTATCAGTATTTATATTGTTATTTTATTATCTATTGTACATGAATCCAATTACAATTGTGCTAACAAAACCTCCGATTAAACTATGTTTGTAGTTTGTGCGCCCGTTTCCTCCCTTTGTAATACCTTTAAATTGTTGACGTCGGTAGTCCTGGATAGTGCAACATATAGCTGACCATGAGTAAATGATGTTGTTCGCAAATCAATACCGACCACATTAAGTGATTGCCCCTATGCTTTATTTACGGTCATTGCAAAACACAATCGAATTGGTAGTTATTTGCATGTAAGAATGAAGGGTAGTTCTTCTTCTGTTGTTGATAGTTTGATTCGTGGGATGATTTTGATTTGACCGTCAAAGTCACCACCCAATATTCGTACTTCGATGCAACACCTGGCCATTTTTGTAACCGTCATGCGAGTGCCATTGCATAGACCTTGTTTTGGATAGGGATTACTTAGAAGAATAATCGGTGCACCAATTTTTAATTTCAATTCCGAAGGTGGAATACCGGCTGGATTCAAACTTTGAAGATATTCAGCCGGGAGCTCATTTGATCGATCCGGAGAGTCCTCAAAATCCACAGTATCAGATGAATAAAAGCTTTGAGTTTCTCCAATTATCTCGTTCAGCACAATATCATTAAACTCTGATACCGTATCATTACGCATGGCCAGAATTGCATGGCCTGTGAACACTCTATGATCGACATGAGCTTGCTGGATTATTTGAGGTGGAAAAACGTGAGTACAAAGCTCCTTAACAATTGTTGTTATTTGAATAAATAGTGGAAGTGTTATATATCCTTGTATATCGGGGTTGCATGACATTGCCGTAAACCATTCCGCAAATAACGTATTTGAAATATTATTCTGAACTCTCATATTTTGCTTCAATGATAAAAGCTTGAAGTATTGCCACAAAGACGATGTTTGAAGATGGGCATGAACTGTGGCATCCCTGTTCCCCCGTCTAACAACAGGAAGAATTTGTGCGAAATCGCCATCAAGAATAATCGGGATATCACCAAACAAAGAATGGATATTTGTATCACATGTAACGGGGGTCCTTTCTAAGAGAAATAGAATCGGATAGAATAGAGACGGCCGTGCAAGATAGACAATCAGGTTGCAGATTATTCAAAGATACTATCGCTAGAACTCAATAATCTTTAAGGGCTCTGCTACCGATAAGAACTTGGTTTTTTCTTTCTGATGAAGACTGGGGAGAACAGGACTGAAGGGCGAGAATGAACCTGAGTACTTATACTCCGAAGGCCTCTATTCTCTGCTCCTAACTCCTTTACTAAGTTCCGGTGGGCCTTTCCTCAGTACCGGAAACAATACCACCGCTACCCCGCTTTTTCTCTAAGCGTCAGCAGGTGTTTCCGATACCCAAGGCAACCACCCTTAGTCAAAGCCTTTGTAACACCTGCAGCCTTGGTTGCCACACAACCGAGGACCTGCATGAATGAGCTGCCGCTCAGGTGTAAGCTTAATCATTGCTGTAGAGCTTTCGCTTATTGTAGACTTCCCTAGCATAGTCCCTGCCCTTCGGCGGACTTACAATGCTCAGAGGATACAGTGGATCACCGGACAATCAGAGCTTCACTCTGGCCGGTCTTCTAGACACTGGCGAGGCATAGACTCGTCAGTCATTGCTCCCATGAATAGATCCCCTTCCTAGCGCCCGGAATGTAGTTACTCTAATAGCTGGTAGCTAACCACACTGCCGGTACTTGCATATCACCGTGCAACTGGCTTCTAACAATAACTCTCAGCATGTAACCGGGCCCTGTATGTACTCATACACCAGACAGTTGAAATGGCTCCGTTACATCACAAATATCATTTAGTGAACGATTGACGGCTTCAAAACAATACTTGTGCTGCATTGGCACTTCATCCCAAATAATAACATTAATCTTGCGGCTCTACGTGCTGTTCTTCGTTCTCTCTCTAGTTGCTATACAATTTGTTAGAGCAAAGTATAACTGTCACCCGGAAAGATTCAACAATACATACCAAACATGTACGACATGATTTACTTAGTTCTCCTTGATTATCCTGATCGTAATCTTCAAGAGGTTTCTCCTGTTTGTATTTACGGCACGTTATGGAATTCATTGTTGTTTTTCGTTGATCAGAATTGTTTTAAAAGATGGTGGGATGGGGGGGGGGGGCAGTCCCTATTTATAGTATTCCAACATTTTGTTTTAATTGAATGGGCCCAGCTGTTGACCGGGTGTTGACCGGCCCGGGTATTGATCCGGGTGTTGACCGGCTTGGGTGGGGCGGATTGGTTGCCACACAGAGGTCAGGGTTAGGGTTATGGGTCAGCGTGCCAGTGGGGAACCGCATCAAAGATACATATACCAAAGTACCCTTAAAGTGTATTCCAGTAGGTACACTATAGAAGATAGTAGATAGCACATTTATTTATTAAGATATAATTTAATTATTAAGATATAATTTAATTATTAAGATATAATTTAATACTCCTACATTTTGTTTTGATTGACTGGGCATTGGCCGCTGTTGGTTGACTACGGGCGATTTGGTGGGGCGGATTGGTTGCCACGCAGATATCAGGGTCAGGGTTCAACCGAGCGCGAAACTGCTCTATCGTAGTACATATTAGATTCACGAATACTGGTCCGAAATCTTCTTGCAACCGGATCAGGAGACTGCAAAAGATATTGTAAATACGGAGGTGGTGCTTGCAAAGGTAACGGCTGAACATCTCCCTTTTTACAACAGATTTCAAAGCGTGGCTTTATCTTTGAACTTGCTGCAATTCGCTCATCAATCCAATGCAAAGCTGAACAGGACTCGCAAACGATCGTCATTGAGCCCATATTCAATTCTTTCCATTGTAAACGGGAACTGAGAAATGCGCAAGAAAAGGCAGAATGTATTCCTTGTCTTACAGCTCTAGGTGGGGATAGCTATCAACAGAAGTTGTAAGCATTTATAAGATGCAATTCTTAAGTATTATAGTACATACCTCCAATGTTTCTACTGTTTGCCCGGCTCGCAAAGAAGCACGTCTTTGTCTCATCTCCACTTGTCTTCTCTGCAAATTGTCAAATAATGTTTCTATTGGTTGTTGCAGAGATACATACCAAACAATCTCTACATGATCTCAAAAGAGAACCGCGGCGGTTTCTATCATATTCCGCAATGGCTTTATCATGCTTGCATTGGGAGCATTTGGCAGTAAACATGATTGTGAGGTATGGATGCTTTTTGTTAAGATAATTGAATTGAAAGATGGTGGGGAATGAAATTTGTGGTCAAGAAGGTGTAGTTACCCATCCCTTGAAAACCGGGTTTTTTTTTCTTTGGTTACCCTACCTCCCCAACCTGTTCCCATCCCATAAAAATACTATTGTTACCGCACCTCTGCACCCCTGTCACCAACCCCTGTCCAATTCCGAAAACGGCGTAGCTTCTTATTTTTGAGAAACACTGTATTGTAGTACTATATAGACAGCTGAGTTTCCTCCATCTCCTCTACAATGCTACTTCGAAGTTGCTAACACATGGAACTAAACATAGGAAGAAATCATGAAAGCCTTTGCTCTGATAAACCATCTTTGTGCAAGATTCATCGAGCATATGATGCTACTTCCCAGTGTCGAATGTGAGATGAATATTACCTCACTCTCTGCATTTCATCATGGTACAGGTAAGTAAACCCCCGTCCTATGCCCCTCAATGGAATACTACACATCTCATTGCCTTGGTGTTTGTCTAGTCACAAAATGGCCAGCCGGCCGCTCTTGCACCTGTCCCTTTTACTCGGCTTGCGAGGAGAGTGCTTTTGTTTTGTAATTTCTGCAAAGAGCCAGGCCCTGGAGGTCGGGACTTTAAGGGGTTACAAAATGGATATTAGGCTGCACTCTTGGTTTATGGCTTTGGTCTAGAAACAGACAAGGGGCGTGCTGCTATTTTTTTGCATCTTCATATGGTCCCGATCTTGAAAGAGGTTTGGTGCTTGAAAGTTCAACAAAATGGAGAGTAGGCCGCTTTGTCTGTGTTCTGTCCCTTATACTTGGCTTGTGGGGTTGTGGGGAGCGTGCTTTTGTTTTGTACCGTTCAAAGATAACGACATCTCGCAGCAGAAGTCGGAGTTTTTAAGGGGTTACAAAATGGATAGTAGGCTGCCTTACCTGTCCCTTTCTTCCCTGCGATCTGTCCCTAGAGCTACAATTGGCGTGCTTCCGTTTTGTGGAAATCACAAGGGGCCAATTCCTTTAAGAGACTGGTCCGAGTTGTGCCCTCCACAAAATGGGTAGTAGGCCGGTTTGATTGTTCCTTCGTCCCTTCCAGTGAGGTTAAAGTGCAATGGGCGTGCTTCTAGTTTGTCAAAGGATAAGAATGATCCTAAGTCGCCTCGTTCTTGACCATTGACAAACTGGATAGTAGGTGGTTTTGCTTTACCACTTTAACTGCTTTGGTATATATGTCCCTCTCGGGTACAATTGGCGTGCGTCCGTTTCGTACCTTCTAAAAACTCAGTAATTCTCGTCGATGAATTTGGGCTGTAAGGAGGGTAAGAAATGGATGATAGGCTGTATTGTTTTGTTTCTTTGGTTCTTTGGGTTCAGTTGAGTTGCAATGGGCGTGCTTCTGTTTTGTATTTCTGCGGCTGCCACCTCTCCCTCAAAGGCGATGTTCCAGGTTCCAAAGAGATACAAACTGGAGAGTAGACGGTTTCGATTCTCACTTTGTTTAGCATATCTGGTCTGGCTTTTGGGGGTACAATTGGCGTGCTTCCGTTTCGTCTTCTCCAGTTGCTTCTGGCTTCCCTCGCGGAGCTTGAACTTCATGGAAGAGACGAAATGGATAGTAGGCAGTTTTGATTCTCACTCTGTTTACTATATGTGGGTCTTGGGGGTACAAATGGCGTGCTTCTGCTTCGCCTCTTGTCCGGATGCCATGGCGGAGCTTGAGCTTCACGGAAGAGACGAAATGGACAGCAGGCGGTTTTGTGTTCCTTTTTACGGCTATTGCATCCTCATACCTGCATGCGGTAGACGTGCTTCCGTTCTGTTGGTTTAAATCGTGCGCATTACGGCTCTGCCGGGCCGGGCTTATGAGTTGGACGAACAGAATGGAGAGTAGGTTGTTTCGCTAGGTTTTGATTTTGTTTCATCATATGAAGTCTACCCTATGATACAATATATCCGGTGTGTAGAGGTAAATGGTCCGTTTGAGAAGGGTAACGCAGACCAAAAACCAATAAAACCGAGAGGCTTTGTGGGTCCTGTTTACTCATACTACGGTGAAGATAACAAGAGACTTTATCAGCTAGTAGCAGTGTTTATTATCTTTTGAGGATTATCAATCAATGCATCTTTTGTATCATAAGTTGGTACATTGTCACTTATGTCAGATTCACAAACGTATGAAGTGCTTTGAACCTCGCGGGAGAGATAGCTATCGGAAGAAAATAATGACTACCTCTATCAGTAGTAATTGCCTCAAATGAAGGACACGAGTCCGCAGTAGAGCTCGAGCTGGCTCTACTGTGCTCTATAGACTGTTGAAAAGCATTCTCGAGATGCGACCCCTATTTTGCAACAATCGCCATCTAGGAAAAGGACCTCATTTACCAGATAGACGCCACGTCTTACAGAAGTAATGAACACCTAAACTCATACGCGTACGGTAGAGCCGGCTAGGAGGCGTTCGTGTGTTACCTTACTTCCCGTCACCACCGTACATTCACGCTTGTGTGATCATGATGTCCTCACACACCACATGCCGGAGTTAACACAAATCCTCTCGTCGATATTCCTTCCTTCCCAACAGAAATAAAATCACACCTTAACTTTCACTAATCATCTAGCTCACTCGCATTACACCTACCTATGCAGTTCAATACCCCCCAGCTCCGTTCCTAATAGTTAAGCAGTCACAGCCACCACATCTACACCAGCGTACGTACTCCTGTTTTATCTCGGCTGATTTGATGTTCTGAACATCCTAAAGATGAGGTCGGGGAGAAACAGTACAAGACAAGATGGAAAGTAGGCAGCGAGGGTCGATGGATGGTATCTGCTTAGGGAATGCGCGTGGGGCGTCTTTTGGGTTCAGGAAGCCTGAGGCCTGGATAATAAGGACCATCTATTCTTCAAGGTTTTGATATTTGATGACATGTGAGTCAGTTCCCCGAGGTAAACACGCATTTAACTCATCGATATGGCGTACACAATGGCGAGCAGACTTCCCTCTCCTACCTTCACTTCAGAACACTAACCAGCGGCCACAGAACTACAGTTCCAGTAATGTGCTTTCACTATGTCCCGGAGTGTGTTTTTTTCCGCTGTAAAAATGAACGATCAGGAATTATTTCAATCGAGACAGAATGAAGGGCAGACATCAGAACGGGATATGGATGTCGTCGTCTCTGTTCGCCGTATGGACAATAGTAGGAGGTTTGGGGTATCTACCATTCTTACACAGCTGATATACGTTAGGTTAACATTTGTTCAGCAGACTATATACAGTCGATATCTACTATGTTAGATGGGTGTAAAGCGGAGCACTGTGCTGAAGATAGGAAGATCGTCGCTGCTTTCACGGAAATTGTTCATACGTGTCCTGACATTAGTCACCCAGCAGCTTATTCTGATCCCCACCGAGTTATTGATAACTCGTAGGTTAAGAATTGAAACCTCCCTGTATCTTTACCGATTACGTGCTAACCCCTTCTTGAAGCGGTGTCCTTAATTCAGGACCAAACAAGGATCTAGCTATCCTTAGATACTTAGACAATAGGTGTCTTGTATACAAAATGATATGGCCTATCGGATCCGGTGGACCGGAGATGCGGCCTATGTGGCAAGTACCACGTCTGTGGATATAAATGGGAGTTGATATTAAAGGGAGTAAAAGAAAAAGCGCAATTGGGCATGGATGACCCCCCGCCAGGGGCGAAGCGGTGTACAACACTTGTAGAACGAGGCGGTAGAGGAAGGAGCGCTGAAACAGCGAGACCCGAATATCGGCTTATAGAAGATTCGTGGTCTGTAAGGTACCCTATGTTCTTGATCTATACAATTCAGTATCATTTATAACTATTCCAAATATCTATGCAGGTAGAATCTCTCCCCCTTTTAATAGTCGGAGATGAATGGAAGGTAAATATAACAGGTGTCTGTTCATCCCCGAGCATGACGAACCTCCTCCTAGTTCAGGTTCCCGGGCTTGTTCCCCCAGCAGAGTTGAGTCAAAGGAGTGTAGAAAGAACGACACAGATCTTGCAGTATCCAAGCTGTCTTTTTAAAATAAAAAGAGAGAAGGATCTTACAGTAACCGGTCGACAGTGGATATCTAACGCCTCACCCGCATGGAGGGCTGCATGACTAACGGGAGGGGCGAATGAGGTTCGTGATGTCGAAGGGAACGGCTTATAGTTAGCGGTTTCCATCACATTTTATGTGAAGGTGACTTCATGCGTATCTGAGGTGGATGGAGTTCGCTTGTTGACCTTTGTGTTGTGAGGTCACAGGATCTGTGTCATGAAACATCACTCGCTTCATAGACAATCACTCGCATAGCAACGACTAAGATTGACAGGGATCGTCAAGAGCCTCATCCCAACGTCAAGAGCCTCATCCCAACGTCAACTCCCGAACTCTATGTGAAAAGAGGCAACTGCTAACCACCTGTATTATTTATATACAAGGGGGAATTATCATGCGACACCCTTGAGAGCAGAGGAGGGATAGAAAATACAAATATAGTCAAGAACAGCAAAAATCAAAGGATTTTGAGGTAACAAAAACCGATAACCTTGTAAACGGAGCAACGCTTATGTGATAAGTTAGAGAGGGCATAAGCGATCAAACTCATATAAATACTTCGCCACACAAACAGTGAGTATTTGGGAGTATTGAGTACAAATTCTCTTTCAACGTTCTTCGTCTGGATCCGGAATCGTGCATCTCGGACAAGAGAGATATCCCATTCGCATAACCGAGGGAAAATAGAGGCCAGATCATTATAGTGAAACAACTGACACATTGTTCGGAAACTTCCTTATAACACTAGAAGAAACTCCGTTCGGGACATGTGGCTAGATAACATGGTTGGGTAGGACCTCCGAACGCCGGAAGCGATCAAAGCTAGGAATGAATTAACCAATCATAACGAAACGAAAGGACAGCATTCCCAATGCATGTTCCAATAAAATCAGGACAGATTACATCTCTATTTGCATTTGCTTTCTCAAAGTACCGTTCCGCCGGTGTGCGTAGATGACCGTGAGCGACAAAATAGTTTCGCAAGGAATCAAATATGGCAGATCATATATATTTTTAGTGTTCTACAATGATGAAAAATATTCTAGTTTCCTTAGCCAGGTTTTCCGCCGAAGCAGGCGGATTCACTATAGGCGACTATGATTACTGGATGCTCCTTCTCCTTTCTCGGAATCCTGTATCATTGTTATAGGAAATACGAACACTGCTCCTGAGTCAAGGAACAAGGATAATACGAGTGATGGGTTGTGATGCGAGTACGGTCGGGTAACGAGGGAACAAGCATAGAAAGGTACTGAGGGGTGTGGGGGCACCGGGTGCAACCACACTAGTATTAGGCTGTTGTGAGGGCACGCTTACTATTGGGTGTCTCACTCGGAACGGAATAGAAGCGGGGCTTACGGCTGCAGGCCGTTCTACTTAGGGAAGTAGCTCTGGGACAATAGTACGATACAGCTCGGTTACTGGCAATTGCAGGGTTCATGGTTACGTGTCGGAATTAGAATGGACGGCCGGGACTATACGGGGGCGCTTTTCTATTGGGGTTATCTTTGGGTTGATTGTCTTATTCTATTATCGTTATCTTATTAGTATTAGAAAGCGGGCCTTGGCATAAGTTCCAACATGTATAAATAGGGAAAGATTCCGCCTCGTCTTAGTGGCATCATCAGTCACTCAGCGAGCGGAATCCGGTTTACAATATTACAAGTTTAAAAGCTACAGAATTATCGCTTAGCATTGGCATTTCCCCAAACACTATATTGTACCTTATCCACTACGCTATTATTTTATCGATCGCATATTATCAACGTCCCGATAAGACAACTACTTGCTTAGACCAATACTTGAGAGTATTTTGTTTGTGGCGGATAGTCACCGTGCGCTCAAGTAAAAGAATAAGAAAGTAGTCTATTAGAAGGGCTCTTTGATACCGTATGCATCCCCGAGTAGCAACAGCAGCTATCAACAACTTTACTTGCACTACCTCTTTTGTCGTTCGCAGAGGCAGTGCCGAACACCTCTACTGCGGATACCTTGAGTACGCCGGGTTTTTTACCGAAGCAGGTACTACTTGCACGTTCGAAGAACACGACCCGGAGATCCTCAACTATCCCGAACTCTTCCCCATCAAAGTCACCCTCAGTCAGCAATCCTACGGATTAGCTCACTCCGTCCCTTGGTTCGTCGCTCAACCCTGGTGCAGAAGACAGCCACAACTCAGAATCGAGCAACTTAGCGATGTCAAGGGGTCATCGACAACAACAGGAGGAAGATTACAACATGGAGAGCTCGATCACTGTGAGAGATCGAGGTATAGTCGAGACCCAGGCGAGACAGCGCCACAGGAGGGATCTGGACATGCCGATCAGCGACCTCTTCAGATCGACTCAGCCGGCCGTATCCTATGGCCAACCCCGCTCCCGCAGGCAAGGGGACTATCGAGATTATTCCCCGTACAAAACGCCAATCAGTGAGAGATCTTCTATTCCGAGGCCCTCGGTCCCCAGGGTAACGGACGAAGACGAGGATACGGATATGGACGTAGAGGAATGCCGTATCGAGCACCCCTTTGGAGAAATCATCGGGCAGGAAATCGAACGGCGAGGAGCCCCAGTGGTTCAGCAGCTGAGTCGCGGACTTGGAGACCTCGCTGTGAGCGTCCAAGACCTGCCCGCAATCAGGGAAATTACTCGGCAGCACGCGGCGCAGCTTACCCAGCAGCACGAAGAGCAGAACAAACTCATCCGCGAATTGCAGATGAAGTTCAACCAGGACCAAGAAGAACGGGAGCGCCGAGATGGGTACATCCTCGCCTAAGTGCGGGCAGAGACAGCCGCAACCACTACGAACCTCGGCCAAGTCTTGGAACAGATCGCCAATACTACTAAGGCCCACCAACAGCGGCAGGAAGAGCAGGCCCAGCACATAACTATTCTGTCCGACTGGATTCAAAGACTGCCGAAAGAAGGCCCAGCCCAAGTCCCAGATGGCGTAGCAGCTACACTGGCACAATTGGAGAGGACCATGCAGCAGCAGGTATCCTTGGTAGATGGGTTCTCTGGAGCAAAGACGGCCTTAGAGGAAATGATGGAGCAGATGAAAGAAACAGCCCGTAAAGCGGCTGCGGAAAAACCACTGGCCCTAGAGACAGGTGGCGGCGGATCAGGCCCACCTCCAAAACCACCTCCCCAACAACCAGTCGCCCCTCCAGCCGGCTCCGAATCCAGTGAAGACCTCGAGGAACAAAGCCAACAAGGGCAGCAAGGAGGCCAAGGGGCACAAGGTGGAGGTAACGGGAATGGCAACAAGGGAGGTAATGCCCCGGAAGCACCCGGATCATCCCCATCGGATTCCTCAGATTCGGAAGGCGAACGCCGCAAGCGGCTGGAACGTAAGAAACGAAGACACGAAAGTAGGCGCCAACGAGAGCAAGAACCCTCGCACCCCCCTCGCGCCACCATAGGTGATGCACCCAAGAAAGCCAACATTCCCTTCTCCAGAAGAGCCGATCAAGATGTAAGACTCTGGATCGATCAGATGGAAATCCTAATTAGTCTCCAGAAGAAGGTCCAATGGGATAACGGCACTAAGATTATGTGGGCATCCCTCGAGTTTACCGGTAGTGCGGCGAATTTTTGGCGGAATTTTACGGAGAGGTTAGCTGTGGATAGCAGCATCGGAACCTGGGAACGGTTCAAGCAAGAACTCCGCACCCAATACGGCAACCGCACGAGTCAGGAACAGGCCAAGCAAAAAATGGATAAGCTCCGGCAAACTGGCCCAATCGACGACTACATCAATGAAATGCAGAACCTAGAATGGGACGCACGAGTTGGACCAGTTGTCATGAGATCCATGATTCTAATAGGAATAAACTCCTCGCTGGAACAACGGCTCTCCAATGCGATTGAGGAACCTGGGGATTTCGTGGACTGGTTAGCCTGGGTACGAAAAGTCGGACCCAAGGACCATGAGGTGAAGGCTCGGAAAGAAATCCTGCGAGGTAAAGACACTGTGAAACCTCGCGAGGAAAAAACGGAACGGCGGAAATCGCGCAACAATGCAAATCCTCGGAAAACTTTCCCCGCATTAGCCAACAACTCCAAAACCTCGGATGACTTAGGTGTTACCAAGGAAGAGAAGGAGAAATGGCAGAAGGAAGGAAAGTGTTTCCGTTGTGGTAGAGATAACCACTTTGTAAAGGATTGCGTGGCGACGAGCAAGGTCAGGTTAACGAACCTGAAGTGAAAAGAGTATCCTTCCGGGAGAAAGGACCACGGAAGGGAGGGTGATAAGAAACGAAAATTGGGGCCACAAAATGAGGCATTCAGGGCAAGGATTACGAATTTGGAGGACTAAATTCATTGGGTATCTCTATTTATGCGGTGTTTTATTATATGTTGTGTTATGGCTTTTCTATTCTGTTTTGGAAGAAAGACTTTTCTAAGGGATCGGGTTATGTTATGTTCTATCGGTTTTGTTATTTTGCGCAATTTAAATTCTCTCTACACATATTTCGAGAAGCGGGGTCACATTCCGAAAACGCCTGGCGTATAAGTGTTGTACTATGATTTGATCAACGCTCGAATTTTCTATATAAACTCCCTCGCCCCGCGCTCAGAACAAGAACTATCAACATCAACCCACTTATACCCAAGAACAATCCACCTTACCTTACACTTTCAAAAAACATACAAACATGTCTTCACACAACCAAGAAACCCGCCTTGAGATTGAGATCTCTTGGAACCACCCCGCAACTAGTACCCAACATACAGAAACAGTCAATGCACTCCTAGACAGCGGAACAGAGGACTGGGTTATGTCCTGGAACTGTGTCCATCGCCTCAAGATCCCGACTCAACCTCGACCCAAGCCCCTAATTATCAGACAGGCTGACGGTACCCCTATGCCTAACTCCGGCACTCACATCACCCAATCTCTTACCCTCCGCGTCGTCAACCATCTAGACAGAGACATCGTCTGTGAGGTTGGCTCATTCGCAGGAGAAGACCTCGTCATACCACATCGATGGCTCAAGGAGCATCAACCTACCATACATTGGGGTCAGAACAAGGTCACCTTCGACAACATTAATTGTCAAGTGAAGGGATGCTTCAGGACCATGTATGATATATACGAAGAAGACCCAGAAGAGCGGGTCATCAGGCTGTTGAGGTCGTCACCCGAGACACAGATGATGATCGAGCAACACCCCTTCTGGGCAAGGGCATTGGTAGGCGAGGCTCTCGCTAGTGCTATACCGATGGAGTACCAGGACTTCGTCGATGTCTTCTCTAAGGAGGGAGCCGATCGACTACCTGATCACTCTGAATGGGACCATACTATTCCCCTTATGGAAGGAAAGCAGCCTCCATGGGGACCGATCTATACGCTCTCCCCAGTGGAACAAAAGGCACTCCGGGAGTACTTGGACGAAATGCTAGCCTCTGGCAAAATAGTCCCCTCCACCAGCCCGGCAGCAGCACCGATCCTGTTCTTGAAGAAAGCCAATGGAAAACTGAGGTTATGCGTAGACTTTCGTGGCTTAAATGCTATCACGGTCAAGAATCGCTACCCCCTTCCACTCATGACAGAGTTGGCCGATTCGACGAAAGGAGCAGAGTTCTTCACCAAGATAGACCTGAAAAATGGCTATAACTTGATTAGGATTGCTGCTGGCGAGGAATGGAAAACAGCTTTTAGAACGAAGTACGGCCACTTCGAATATAGGGTAATGCCTTTTGGCTTAACCAATGTACCGGCGTCGTTCCAGGTCATGGTCAATACCATATTCAAGGATCTTCTAGATCAAGGCGTAGTAGTCTACTTGGATGATATTCTAATATATTCAAAGACTAAGGAAGAGCATACGGCTCTTGTGAGGAAGATATTGGGGCGACTGCAACAAAACCATCTATACGGGAACCTCGAGAAAACGGAATGGTACAAACAGGAGGTAGAATTCCTGGGATTTGTACTATCGGGGAAAGGGAACCAGGTCTCGCCTAAGAAGGTGAAGGCAATCACTGAATGGTTACCACCCACCAAGGTCAAGGAACTTCAATGTTTCCTCGGATTCGCCAACTTCCTACGACGGTTCATCTACAGGTACTCCGAAGTTTGCCGACCAATGACCGATCTCTTGAAGAAAGGTTCCGTATGGCGATGGAGCAGTGAACAGCAAAGCGCTTTCGACGAGCTCAAGGAGAAATTTACGTCTGCCCCAATACTACGACACTATGACGAACACCGTGAAGCGATCATAGAAACTGACGCGAGCGACTGGGCTGAGGCTGCAGTACTCTCTCAGGTGTTCGAGGACGGTATTCTACACCCGGTAGCTTACCACTCTCGCAAGTTCAACGAGGCAGAGGTAAACTACGAGATCTATGACAAGGAGATGCTCGCTATAGTTTCTGCTCTCTTGACTTGGAGACATTGGCTGGAAGGAACGGACATTCCTATCCAGATACATTCGGATCATCAGAACCTACAGTACTTCACAACGACCAAGAAGTTGTCGAGAAGACAAGCCAGATGGGCCGAAAAGATAGCACCTTTTCGCTTCAGGATTCATTACCGACCAGGCGAAAAGAATGGCAAGCCAGACGCACTTACAAGGCGCCCAGAGTTCGCTATGGAAGGGGGAGTAATGCGTGAACAACCCGTAAAACAGTTGCTCAGCGCAGAACAATTTGTCAGAAAATCACGGACCAGTGTAGAAACTGGCCCTGAAATCATTGGCAACCCCGAAGAAGGATGGACTCCGTTGGATCAGTGGTACGACATACCAGGTACTGAACTGCCTCAGCCACTACAAGACTGGTATGAACAGGACAGACAATGGGTTCGGAGAGTGTTCCGGGATGAACCTCTCCCTGACGCAAACCTTGAAGTCTTCGGGACAGAGGAAGCTGATGCCGTAATAACGGAGCTTGCCACTGAATGGACCCCGGGATCGAATGAGGCCACCCACGACGGTGGTTGGGTAGTGCCAGGATACGCGGTCAGACAAGTCATCGAGGATCATCATGACAGACCCGTAGCGGGGCATCTAGGAAGGGATAAAACCCTTGAGTTGGTCGATAGGAACTACTGGTGGCCAGGAATGTCCACGGATGTAGCCAACTTCGTCAAGACTTGCGACGTGTGCCAGAGAGCCAAGCAACGTCGGAGACACTTGTCACTCCCTCAACCCCTAGAGTTAGCCACCACACCTTGGACTGATATCTCAATGGATTTCGTAGTAGACATGCCAAAGGAGAAATCAGGATTCCGTAACGTATTGGTAGTCGTGGACCGTTTTACGAAAATGGCTCACTTCATTCCAATGATGGGAATCAACGCGGAACAGACCACCAACGCCTTTGTCAAAGACATTTGGCGCTTTCACGGACTTCCTAGGAGTATTGTCTCTGACAGGGGAACACAGGTCGTATCGGCATTCTGGGCTGCGGTCACAGAACGACTAGGGATTCGTAGAAGACTCTCGACCTCGTTCCACCCACAGACGGATGGACAAACAGAAAAGACCAACCAGCACCTCGAGTCCTACATCCGGGCCTATACCGCCGGAACAGGAAAGAAATGGAAGGACCTACTACCGATTTGCGAGTATGCATATAATAATGCGAAACACTCGTCGACAGGACAATCGCCGTTCTACTGTAACTATGGTTTCCACCCACGAACAGATTGGCCAACGGATGCGAAAATCGGACAGCTGGATACCAAAGGAAGTACCTACCTGGAAGACCTTCTCCTAGCTCATGAGTCAGCGAGAGACACGCTGCAGAAGACCTTTGACAGGATGGCATCAAGGCCAGGACCAGCAGTTCAGCGGTTCACAATCGGTCAAAAGGTTTTACTGGATACTCGGAACCTCGGCGGTTACAATAAATGGTCGGACAAGTTTACTGGCCCCTTCGAGGTCGCCGCGGCTGTAGGAAATAGGGCTTATAGATTGAATCTTCCGGTAGAATGGAAGGTTCATGACGTATTCCACGAGATGTTGCTGAGACCTTATCGAGAGGATCCCAACCCGGGCAGGCAACAGAACACACGAAAACGACTCGCAACACCCGAACCCCAAGAGGCACTCTTAGATGAGAACTTCAAACCGGTCACCAACACTCGGCCCCATACGCGGAGTCAAAGGTCAGTCATCGACTCGAGTCGGCCTCCGAAACGACAACGGACTAGGGAAGACTAGCTCGATACCTTTCCTACTCTATGACTTTTCCCACAGGGTTTTTATCATAGAGAGGTTTTAACGGTCGAGGGCGACGTCTAGGAAGGGGGAGTAGTGTTATAGGAAATACGAACACTGCTCCTGAGTCAAGGAACAAGGATAATACGAGTGATGGGTTGTGATGCGAGTACGGTCGGGTAACGAGGGAACAAGCATAGAAAGGTACTGAGGGGTGTGGGGGCACCGGGTGCAACCACACTAGTATTAGGCTGTTGTGAGGGCACGCTTACTATTGGGTGTCTCACTCGGAACGGAATAGAAGCGGGGCTTACGGCTGCAGGCCGTTCTACTTAGGGAAGTAGCTCTGGGACAATAGTACGATACAGCTCGGTTACTGGCAATTGCAGGGTTCATGGTTACGTGTCGGAATTAGAATGGACGGCCGGGACTATACGGGGGCGCTTTTCTATTGGGGTTATCTTTGGGTTGATTGTCTTATTCTATTATCGTTATCTTATTAGTATTAGAAAGCGGGCCTTGGCATAAGTTCCAACATGTATAAATAGGGAAGGATTCCGCCTCGTCTTAGTGGCATCATCAGTCACTCAGCGAGCGGAATCCGGTTTACAATATTACAAGTTTAAAAGCTACAGAATTATCGCTTAGCATTGGCATTTCCCCAAACAATCATATCTCCATAGGGGTGATTAAGTTTGTTACTGTGTTTATTATCATGAGAGTCTCCCTTCTGTTTCATGAATTAGGATATGAATTGTGTTAAGTGAAAAGCAGATAAGCAAGTGTGATTGGGTTACTCTTAAACCGGCCTGGAGCTTGAGCGGTTAATTAGGTTCGCCATTTCTGGCACGAGACCGGAGATTCGACCAGCTGTACGTCTCGTTGTGCTGGATATATGTTTGCGGCACTCTTTATTCTTTGCCGTCGATCGATATTTCTGGCAGCCCAGAAAGGTTTCCGACTTTGTTGTGGGCATTGTAAAGACAGGACTCTAAGTGCTTTTCTTGTATTCATATGGCGTAGAGGTATTCTCACATTCAAATAACTGACGCGTTAACTATTTACATTTTATCGGGATGCATACAATTAATGAATAAAACAAAACAAAACAAAACAAAGCAAATTTATATCAGGCATTATAACTCGTCTTCCGAGTGATAGCCTGTGACCTGTAGTCGCTCCCGGTTCGGAAACTAAAAAGATAGATCTGGTCTGATAGAAAGCTGATACCCGAAGAGAATAAACGCAATGAGTGAATTCGGCCTACAGCAATGTGAGTCCGAGAAAGGAAGGGTGTTCATCCCGCTTACGGATATCATACGTATGGCGGTCTCGGGGGTGCCGCACAGCTACGGTACAGTTGTTTACGTATAAAGGAGTTACTTCATCCGTTCAAGAGGATGGTCATCCTCTTAGATGGATAATAAGGTCATGTTCTCACTCAATAGGCGAGTGTATCATGGTTTCCTTCTGCACTTGTAGATTTGTTACCTACTATCTCCAGCGCCTGGTATTCATCATTATTTCGTGGTAGGAAAGTTATCCACCGGTAAGGACAATCATCTCCGACCTGTGATGCTTCTAGTAGATTATTAGGCGAGGTAACATTCGACTCCAAAAACGTCGGATTTAGACGATTTGGAGGGTTAGTAATCGTGGGGAAAGGATAAAGATAAGGAAGGATATGCGACTGCACTGGTTGCGATCACTTAGCCATTTGGACTGGGTAATGTATGAACACAAGCAGACCTAGTATGCGGTCGATTCCGGGATTGATCAAGATACCATCCGCCGGGAAAGAATTATTATCTGCTTGTTGGGGTAATCAAAGGTATCGATTGCTCGGAGAAGAGCGTCACATCCTGCGAGCGACAACCACACGCATGTCTTAATAATTATCAGATAATGAACCGCAATAGAAGTAAAGAAACTGATGGTATAGGCGATAGCGGTTCGAATAGCAGATCAAGATTGTTTTAGTTCGCCACGCTTAGAACTCTATCTATTTAATTCAGTTAACTAACGCTCAATAGTTCTTGATGGCAATTTACCCCCATTAAAAAGTTTATATTCATTTAAACAGTTAGCCATCTCTCTGAACCGCTACCACTTCTTCGGCTATGCTTATAAAAGGGATCAAAAGCGCATTCCACAGGGATATCATGCTTTTGCGTCCAATTGGGATAGTCTATCTTCTCTTTTCAACCTGTAGTCTAGGATAGGATAATCTATATATTCTGTTGTTCGTCGGGCTTAAAGCCGTAGCTAGACAAGAACTTTAAAACATTGTTGTCATGTTCCGAGGGCGTCTCCAACCCTCAGTATAGTACCGAATACAAAGCCAACCAACAAAGAAAGGACAACCTACATCATCACCTGTTCATCTCATCAACGCCGAGCCACACAGAATGGCCGATGACATCGATGGTGAGGAACAGGTGTAGAGCACGTTTCCAAGCCCATATCCAAATATAAACCGAATTTGAAGGGAAAGAACAACCTACATCCCCAGCTGTTCATCGTCTCTGTGATGTCACTGTTATAATAACAGCCGATATAGGTGAAGATGAACAGCTGAAGTGTACGTTTCAAGCCCTCAGAACTGAAGACCAAGCTAATGTGTAATGAAGGGACAAGCTACACCCCCACCCGTTCATAACAGAAACAGGCGCAGAGCACGTCTCTGATATTGCATCTATCTGTGAGGACAACCTACTGCTGAAGTTGTTCTGGTTCAGACGATCGAGTCATGAGAGGCTGCCACCGAGCCCGAACAACTAAAGAGCACGTCTCCAACAGTGCACAAGGACAACCGAGCGTTCATCCTGTCGCTCGTGGGATTTCATTGTAGCCGGCATCAACACCCCGTGTCAAGAAGACGAGGGCACGATCCTATGCATGCCGCCATTGCGTAAGAAGACAGAAGATAATGGTTTCCTGCATGTCCTGGTTCGAAATCATTAGCTAAGCTCAGTACGCCGAGTAGCAAGTAAAGAGAAGGAGGTTAAGGAAACTGATACCTAGGACGTGAGGGTACGACCATTTTGAAGAGCGAAAGACAACCTACCGCCCATCTTGTCGATCGTTCAACCGATACCAACAGGAGTCGGAGAGAGAAATTGACAAGACAAGGGCACGTCTCCATACAGCCCACAGAAGGACAACCGGCAAAAGGAAGCAAGCAAAATTAAAACTAAAGCAACTTATTAGCTCAGATCACAATTACGAGAACAGGCATAAAAGAAGGATAGATAAACGCTCACCAATGCCCATAATACCAGATGAGAAGCAGAACAGCAAGCCAGGAGCCTGCCACTCATCTTGTTGATCCTCTGGGGTTAACTATGTTGAACAAAAAACTCGAGGGTCAACAAGATGAGGGCACGTCTATATAGTAGTGGTAGCCACAGCAGGACAGCTATGAAACCGGGTGTGTCCTAGATGGAATGCATTAGCCGCTTCGAACAGATACAAAATATGAACGGAAAGAAATTTAAGGGTGGCTTACTTGAAGTAAAAACAATAATGTCCTACGAAAGGTAAATAGACAACCTACCACCCATCCTGTCAATCTCCCAACCGATACCAACAGGAGTCTGGAAGCGAGATTGACAGGACAAGGGCACGTCTCCATACAGCCCACCGCAGGACAACTAGTAAAAAAAAGGAGATAAACTAAAGTAAAATATCAGCTCAGATCGCACATGGCAAAAATAAAAGGATAGATAAGCACTCACTAACGATCATACAGCCAGATGAGAAGCGGAAGCGCAGGCCAAGAACCTACCACTCATCTTGTTTATTCTCGAGATCGAACAGTTCACAGCACCTACAAACATGAGCACCAACAAGTGGAGGGCACGTCTCTATAGCAGTAGCCACAGCAGGCTATCTAAGATCAGTGATATGTCCTACATTTGATGTTTTAGCCAAAAAAGAGATGTGCAAAAAGGGTACATGTACAGAAAGCGACTTACTTATAAACCCAAAGACAAGGTCCAGTGAACGGCGGAGACAACCTACCGCCCATCTTGTTGAGGCCATAGAGAGTGATCAGTCGAAGAAACCAACACATCTCCAGCGGCCACAAGATAGGGGCATGTTTCGATGTCTGTCCTAAGGAAAGGGATAGAGGACTTAGCCTTTTGAGCATCTTCTATAGACTAATAGGTTAGCTGAGTTGAGTATATGTGGGGCTCTGATAAGAAAGAGATGGTGAAGAACATACATGTACATACTTCGATAAAAGACAGGTGGAGAAGATAGTGGACAACCTGCCACCCATCTTGTGAAGATTTCGCCAGCCGGCTTATATTCAAAACCTTTGCTGACGCCCACTCCACAAGACGGGGGGGCACGTTTCCATGACAACCCAGCTGGATCGAAGGCAGAAGACATAAGCCGCCATTCATGCTAAAATAATATAAATCAGGTGAGTTCAACATGTTCTAGACATAGACTGGGACAGCGAAAAATATACGTACCTGCAACAGAGAAGGAAACGAGGCAGCGGGCAACCTACCGCCCATCTTGTAAGTGGTCGATCTGGCAGTTGTCTGTAGAAGACCTTGACAAATAAACACTACAAGATGGGGGCACGTTTCCACGAATAGTGAAGCAGAAAGGTAACCTAAACTGCCCCAGTGCCTGGCCAACCTACTACCCAACCTGTCTCTGGCACTGACATTATCGTACCTTGAGGCAGGATTGTTATCCAGTGCTTCCAGACAGCTCAGGAGCACGTTTCCAGACACATAATTGAATATCAAAACTATGAAAAGAATTAGTAAAGAGAATTAAATGGTGGGAATGAGAGATAGTTACCAGTGAAGGGAGCGAAAGAGAATATAGGCTAACCTACGACCCAACCTGTGTACTCATGGTATATAACCGTTTGCTTGATCCTTTACACAAGTCGAGCGCACGTTGCAAGAAATATCTCTTTACAAGAATAAGCAGGAGATAAAAAATAATAAAAATGTCACTTGCCCAGAACATGATACATACCCTCGAAGGAGATGGACAACCGGCCAACCTACTGCCCAACATGTCTCCCCCTCCTGCCCATGGTGCGGGACCGACACGAAGGAGAAACATATCGGGAGCACGCTGCCTAATATATGAATCCAGCTGCGGAATGATTAGTAACAGGGAATCAATTGCCCAGAACATGAAATACATACCTGTCGAAGAAGAAGATGAACAACAGGCCAACCTACTGCCCAACATGTCTTTTCTTTCTGGCAGTATGCTACACTGAGAGAAAAAAGAGACATGTCGAGAGCAAGCTGCCTCAAGCAAAGAAACACATGTGCCTGGCCAGCCTACTACCCAACCTGTACGCCGCAGCATTACTGATAATTATCCGTAACGCAGCCGCCTACAGGTCGGGAGCACGTTGCCAAAGACATATTATTTCTACCCCCTACAAAAGAATTTTAAGACGAATTAGTAAATAGAATAAATTGGCAGGAACTATCAGGAGATACATACAAATTGGAGTAGAGGAGGGTGGGCTTCGGCCAACCTACTGCCCAACTTGTTCTCCAGCAACCTCTCCCCAAAGAGAGCCCCCGGAAAACAAGTCGAGAGCATGTTGCCTATTGATGGGGGAAAGCAAAAAACACAAGTGTTCGGCCAACCTACGGCCAGACCTATTATAGGGTCAAAGACGTGAGAGTAAGAGCGTTGGTTGCAAGCCTATAACAGGTCGAGACCACGGTGCGAGATACCTGTGGGTTATAAATAATTGCTAAAGAAAAATATGAAAATAATCTTGATGAGGGAGGATGAAACTTACCAATAAAATAAAAGAAAGATAGAGGGATGGAGTGATAAGATAAATTGGTGGTCGGTGGTTGGTGTTGTGTGCGTGGGAGGGAAAAAAAATGGAAAAAGAGAAGAGAAGTCTACTGAACGACTGAGATTTTTCGTGTGGCTTTGAAGGAGATGTGCCAAGCCCGCGCGGTAACGGGTCTTAAATACCAATTGTGTCTAGCCGCGGCAGCGGTGGCAGTGGTGACGAGTGCGTGGCCTTATCCGTTCTACGGGGCACATTGGGCTATCGTGGTTGTAGCCCGGCAGAGAGGAAAGGGGACGTGCGTAAGTGGCGGACGCGGAAAAAGAAAAATGTGTCAGTTGCAACTTATTCCTCGTAACGGTAGATAGATTTTCCGCTTTCTTACAAAACAACGTGTGGTAAGATGCGGTTACCTCCGGCCTTCACATCCGGACAGTGGCCTCTGCCTCCCGTGGTCCACAGAGAACACGTTTCCTCCATCAGCCCGACCAACGCTTATTCGTCCCACAATTATGCGCTCTGGCACCAAAATCCCTTCCCCTTCTTTCCCATCCCGCGTCCCTCTTCGCCGTTCCACTCACTTCCAACACCAACCCTAGCCCTAGCAGCCTACCCACCGCACTTTTCTCCAGAGCTTCACTCTCTTAGTTGGGTACGCTGTCGCAATCTACGGCTCGCACCACGCTTGAGTTATTTGTAGTTCATCAGCATATCGAAAGATCTCTGTGTGGTGACTGCCGCTTCGGATGTAATTCGGGAATCTCAGACACAGGAGGGGAATGCCAAGTGTGGTCCCCGAGGTGTTCGCGGTGGAGACATCCCCTCACTCTTGAAAAGGGAAGCAATGGGGTGAGGTGTTTCTTGGGGTTTCGATACGCATAACTGTAGGTATACATTGCTCACTCCTGTGATAGATTCTCCATGATACGTCCGGTTGTCTCGGGGGAGTTGTGGGGTAGGAAAATACAGGCGCTTGAGAGGACTACATAGAAACCTCACCCGGCGTATCTGGTGTTCAGAAAACCACCGCATATATCCCCTCCAGGTTCTTGAACTGTATTGCCTTCGCAACATGAACGAGTGATATTTCGTGATCTCACATCCATTCACCCGCACCTTCCCCATGTTTAGCCCCGAGCTGATCACCGCAATCAAGCTTCCCCGACATCGAAAGATGTTACATCTAGCGATATGGACTAGAAGAAGAAAAGAATCTGGAGTGACAAAAGACTTATGTGATGAGTATCATCCCTCAAGAGCGTCGCTACCATGTTGGGCATTCTCATCACTGCTTCCATCCCGGGTTGAACCGGCGATGTCATGCAACGTAGTTGAGGCTATTACCCCTCGACCACGCCACGATGTAATAAATGGGGCTCAGGTGCTATAAAAACATCTGGAGAGATGAGGGTGTAGGTGAATGATGGTCTGGCATAGGAGGCACATACCCGCAGGGATCCGTAAGTGACAGAAAGGCTCTACGGTGTGCGGAAAGGTCTACCTTGGCCACAGGGATATCCTATATTTAATCCTACAGAGTTGGACGGTGTACTGACTACGTCGTCACCACCGGCGGTGGGACATCATCGGAGAAGGAAGACAGATCACCAGGTTTCGCCGGAGGTGAGCACTGCGTATCAGTCTGCTGGAGAATATAAAGTTCTACGGCAAGGAGGGCAAAACTAGAACACCCACAAATACTTCTGTTCTACGCACTGGGTCGGCTATGCCAAACGGGTGTGGGCGATTGAATAAACAGGAGAATATAAGGGGATAACCGGATGTAACACAGTCACTTCTGCATAACCTTAGCATGGCGTACGAGGTTGTGTAGAGTTGAGAAACGATTTTATCACCGGCGGTGTTTACTCGACAAGCTTATTATTACATCTTATCCTTTTTGTTTTGTAGCGCGGAGAAAGAAGGGGGGGGAATGAGCCTGCGGCGGCGCAGACTACGGTCTTTCGCTTTTCATACGTGCATTATATAGAAGGAAGCAACACTTTTGCAATTCGATATGGGTACTTCACTGAGCTCTCTCAATTCCATGGGAGCAGAAGCTGCTGTCGCTGGCCATGGGCTTAGTAGCATCAAACGAAACGCGCGTGGGAGGTACACCGGGAAAGGATAAAAGGAGGATTTGTGAGTGCGTAGATTATTCTTCCTCGTATTTCCTTGTCGTTTGTAGTGTCAGAAAAAATAAGGACACTGTTGCCCCCTGCTGCGCCGTAAAACCCCGCTCTCAAACAAAAGGCGAAACCGACCACACATTCTACCTCCCATCCTCTCCGAATACCGGTTCTTGAAAGTGCAAGAAGAAGCGACAAGAGTCGTATATAGGACAGAATAGGAGCGTGATTCTGAGCGAACAATGCTTCGAAGAAAGATAGGAAAGTATCGTGTTCTTCCGTAAAGAGAGCCTGTGGCGTAACTGCAGCGGGTGTGTGTTTTGGTAGGAGCAGAGGGAGCAAATGAGAAGCCCCAGGGCTTTTTTTATCATTTTCCATCTAAGGAACGAAGGTTAGAATACCTATGAATTCAGGATCATCATGGAAAGGAAAAATCATACCCGAATACCTATGGAGGCTACTATAGCGAGAAACAACATACTGCTCGACCAACCTACATCACCGCTTGTAGAAAATCGTGGAGAACGCTACGCATTTACCACCCCTTTTCTACTAGTGATGAGCACGTTGATTTGAGTGAAGCGTTCAGGCAAATGGTATGAGTACGCAGGCGAGAAATCTGTCAGAGAAAGAGGGAAGCAGTGTTACACTCGCTGTGTGTGTTGTACATGTGGGGTGAGAGAGGGCTAGCCCTAGCGCAGATAGTGTCCCTGATGAAGCAGCAGCCGTTAAGAACGTGATTATTCCGTTTCTACTCGTCTATTCCAAATACAAGTAGGTAAAACATACCACATACGTATTAATATTTGCTCGTACTCCCCTCTCCACGGTCAGGCTTAGGGTTTAGTGAAATCATTTCAGATCATATGCTTTATAGTATACAGATAACCGACTGTGAGAGGTGGCATCATTTTCGCGCGATGGCTGTTGGCACTACCACAGTTCATTATCCACCTCAGGATTCTTCAAGATAAATTATTCGATAGACTACTAGTAAGTACCGCTGGGGGGCTCATCTCACTTCACAGGCTATGTGCTCAATAGCTCATTTGCGCCTTGGATGGTGAGATGTATGTACGTACGGCAAGATATATATATTTCAATGTATCTCTGGGAGTGTTGTAATATATTATTTTCAAGTAGACTAAATTCAATTTTTCTTAGAGATTGCTATTCAATAATTTCAAATCGGGTGTTGTAGTTTGCACAGGAGTTGGACATTTTTATCTTTAGCGAAGTGTCCTGCATACATCTAGTCGAGGGCGAGGAGAAAGGTACACGAAATAATTAAATGTGGGACGTCGGAAGGACACCTCCTTTTCAGGACAGTTTGACATGTAGAGTGCGCTGTGTATAAGCGGAGGTACTCTAGATCTATGTTTATGGTGAGTGTCATCCTACTTCCCATATTATTCCTCAAATATTGTGTTGGCCGGAGGTGTCGGACATGACAAAGTTTTAAGTAAAAATACAAGAGCACGATAAATCGATACCAACAGTATCTCCGTAATATTAGGAATTAACTGGATCTGTATAACTGAGTAGAGATGGAACAAGGCCCGGAGGAGAAGGGAAGGTTATCCTGCTGCAGATGATGTTCGAGGCTTCTGACACAGTGCGAGCTATCTTCAGAACTTCGAACAATATCGGAGCACGATACCTTTTTGTTCGGGGGTAGGATAAAATAGGGTCATCCTGCTGCTGATCTCGTTTCCCTGTACAGACTAGTCTTATTAAAGGAACTATTCCACAAGGAAACGAGACCAGAGCACGATACCATTGGCCGAAATAAGTGAGGGGGGGAAAGCGCGATAAGCGGAGGAACTGATGATATAGGGATTGAGGTAGATATAAGGTCATCCTGCTGCTGATATCGTTACCCCGCACAAACCGATCCCGAAAGAGCCAGTACCGCCCAGAACAACGAGACCAGAGCACGATACCACAGACCAAAGTAAGAGGGGCATATGTATGTATTGAAAATAGAATGAGAAGGGAAGAGGAATATAGGGGCGGGATTAGACATAAAGTCACCCTAATGCTAATCTCGTGTCACGTGCTAGAAGTGGTTTCATCAATGAAATCCTTCTTCTTCTTCAAGTGAACGAGACCAGAGCACGATACTATTGACGTGCATAAACAAGAAGGGGGAGAAGGAGGTAAGGGTGGGAACGAAATGAGAGTGGAAGACTGACAGAGAAATTGTATTGAAGAAAGACTAGGGAAAAGGCGGATCACCCTGCTCCTGGTCTTGTTAAAGCGTCTTTCAACTGGCGCAGGAGAACAGATCGAAGAAGACTCTCTAGCAAGACCAGAGCACGATAGCATAGAGGTGAATGAGGAAGAGCGTCAGTGAATTGGGAAAAACATGGAAAGGAAATAAAAGTCAACAGAGGTTAAAGAAAAGGCAGATAATCCTGCTTCTGGTCTTGTCAAAGAAGCATCGCACTTGTTCCGAAGTGTCGGGTGCCGATTACACTTTGACAAGACCAGAGCACGATGCCATGGAAGTGTATGGGGAAAGTAGTAATAGGAGAGAGAAAACATAGGAGGATGTTAGATGAGAGATTTTTCAACCCAGAGAAGCTAAAAACTAGAGCTTATTTGCTTACCTAATAGGACAATAAGCGTTCAATTCTCTTAAGTGCATGCAAGATAGGAGAAATCTGACATGTACAGGTGACTGATACATCTTCGAGAGACTATGAAATTATTCATTAGCACCTTCTTCTAACAAGACTACGGGGCGGTCATGACCAGGAGTGACCTTTATCGGGCATCCAAGCCCAAGATGATCGTCAGGTTGATTGAGAGGAATTACTTACAATTTGGAGGAGCGGAAACTTCTGGAGATGCAAGGATAAAGGTTGGTAATGAAAGTGATGTGATTTGTGAAGTGAGGTGGGAAGAAAGAAAAAAGTGCGAGATAAAGAACACTTTTCGTGAGACCCGAGAATGGGCCGCGGGTGGATTGTGGGAACGCCAAGACTGCTCACTCTAAATAAGACAAGAGGCTACTTGTACTCTTCGAGGTTAGCTCCACAAAAAGATTCGCAAAAGCCAAAATGTCCTCAACGTCTCTCCGCAGCATACCCACGACCTCATCTTTCTTCTTTTCAACGTGCTCTCATCACCGGACCCCCGCGATTCCTCGACTACACCCAGAATTATATAGATATAATCTCTTACAGGCGGAAGAATGGCCAACTAAGCCTTCCACTCAACCCTCTCCAATGTCACACCATATTCGAACACGCTGTGTCCGGCCATTGCGCACCATCTTCCGCAACTTAACATGAGTACCAGGAGAACACGCAGCACTCGAGATGCTACAGTGGACAACTATTCCTTGCCGACCGGAGAAAGATCTTGTCTTCCATGTGGCTAAATCTAAAAATATATGCATGGGCCGCAGGTACACCGACACCCCCGGAGGAGGCCGAAAGCGCAGTAGGGAATGCGCTTGTCTGGTGAAGAGGTAAGCTTTTTTTTTTTTGTTTAACTCATTAATTGGTGAAGAGGTAAGCAAGGGTCTTGTTCTACAACTTTTTAGTGCAGCACATATACTTCATATCACGAACCGATTTTCCTCTTTCATCATCATACTAACTCCAAGATATCTCAGGTAGTGTAGGCATTTTGTCACCAAGCCGGGGATGCGAGCTGTCCGCCGACTACACCTACACCCTTCACATTAATACATGGAAACAAGCCTCTTCCTCTCCCGTAAACTGAGTATTCGCGCTTCGCCTCGTTATTTACCTCTCATAGACACTGAAACCCCCACCCGACCACGCCATATATTACAACTATTTATAGAAGGGATTACCGCAAACCGGCGATCATGACGAGTGAGGGACGGATAACTTGGTCTTGGGCTATAATCTGCAATTAAACTTTCAAATATTCATTTTCCTGAGTAGACCTTCATCAGCGCGCGATAGTCTCATATTCTTCATATCCTGCTCTGCACGGTATTCCACCTCCTCTAGAAGATGCCTTCATGCTTTTTGAGGGGTATGTACCGTTGGAGGTGGTCTGTTTGTGGCTAACAACTGATTATAAATTGATATGAAGGTTAGGGACAAGGGCAACTTTCGCACTGGTATTACTTTCATCCACCCGACTTGACAGTGGATCTTGGACTTGCGGTAGGAAGTTTGGTTTTGACAGCCTTCTCAGTAGCGCCGTGTCACACCATACACTGTGGCCACATAGCTTTCAATACACCCAAAAGTCCCCCTAGTGTCTGACCGCTGGGCGAGTGCGCTTCCGGATGTCAATCATACACTATCACTCGCTACGAAAATCGCCGCTGGGGGTATTTCCCATACATGGGAGTTAGTAGACAGATGGCCAAGGGGCGGTGGCAATCTTCAACAGAGCCCGTCCTTTATTTTCCCAATTTACGATGCTCATATGCGTACTTGAGAATCTTCTCCCAACGCCAACCCCCCCTCTCACTTCGGAATTTATCTAACTCGGACACATGTGATAGGATTTGCAGTTTGAATGGAGCACTCTCAAAGTATATAGAAATAACAGGATGAGCAAGGTTAACCTTAAATCCTCTGTAGGTCTGAAATCGCATATATCTAGATCTCTAATATCAAATCCGAATGTGATATATCTAGATCTCTGGTTGCTGTAACGATGTTAGGGCAGAAATCAAAGGCGTCTACGAAATACCTTCTTGTTTATCATAGTTAGTTTAGTATAAAGGCATTGCGGACGAGAGTACTCCTTCGCTCTCCCTCAATCATCGAATATTCGATATGCGATGGAGCATCGTAAAATATACACACTCTGATCCTTTATTTTCTGGACATCATGATTCTGTAATTTCGCCCGTCTGAAATACTTCTTCTCTAACAAGTTGATAGTTATTCAATATCCCTTCTACGCTTAAAAAATGTTGAGTACCTACGATAGAGAACACATATGCTTTTATTTCTTTACACGTTGCTACGAACACAAGACGAGTAATATTTCATGACCCAGACGTTCCGATCTCGGCCTACAGAAGGACCGTCGCCGACGTGGGAATGATTACTATGGGCAGGAAAACACTAAAGATACGTATCTTTGGGCTTGGGTAGCTGTGATTACTCAGCAATCCTCGTTCTGACCCTCTGGGCTGGGCACGGGGGTGCATGCCTGGACGGATAAAATAATACGAAAGTATCTCGGCCACTTTAGATAGAAGATCAAAGCACAATCAAGATAGAGAAATTGCAGTCTGCTAAGTAGGTCGGTGCGTATATCCCGAAAATGGTATGTGATCTCAACGAGAGCGAAGTGGTAAACTGCTCATCCTTTTTCCGTTGTTTCTTTAGCTAAAGTTTTAAAAAGAACACTACATACCCTGGGTGTCTGGATGTCGTCTGAATCTCAAGGTAACTTATCTCTTGAGTGAAGAAAGACCACATCTTCCGACGCAGGAGAGACCTCCGACGGGTTAGGTTTATTTTAAAGGTTTCTATATATAAAGAAAGGTACAAAAAGATAAGAGAAGTGTATGAGGTTTATAAGTTTCGTGAGGTATGAGTTTCTAATCAAGCTCATGTTTCGATGCCTGTTTTGACTCTTCAATCTCAGGTTTCTAAATATGCGGGGGAACAATGTCCGGAAACCGTTCTGTACCGTTCAAGACCCCAGATTCTGCACACCTCAACAAGGCGAACTATAACCAACAACATCCATCCTGAAGTCGAACACATCCCAGGCCCCCATAGCTACATCATGATGATACATTGTGCCAACATTGAGGTACTTGAGTTTTCTCCAGCGGGCAACCTACAACCCCTCTTCTCGCTCTCGAAGAATAGAAACGTGTCACAAGAACACTTATCCATTTGCGAGCGACAATAGAAGTGCACATTCCCACAAAGACCTCTCTACCAATAGTAGTGACCTTGCATAAAGGGCAACCTGCGCCCGATCTCGTCACAAAGACCAGCGTCATCCACGAGGGAAGTCCGGACCCCATGAGGAGAAAGGGGCACGTTCCCGGTAGTGCGACGTTAACCGACCAGCCATCGTCGGGCTAGTCGTATGTGAAAGATGCTTGTGCCGCATATCCCAAGTAGTGGACAACCTACAGCCAATCCTGTTCAAACCAGCGCAGGATCTGAGATCGAAACCCTAGCGCGAGTCTGAACAGGAAAGGTGCACGTTCGCACTACTCAGATTATCGACCGACTAGCCTTGAAGAGATGCTTCCTATTGGTAGGCAACCGACAACCGAGCTTGTAAAAGGTAATCAAGGTCGCAGAAAAAGAAACTTAATCCCCCTTACAAGAAAGGCGCACGTTCGCCATCCCCAAGGCAACTGAAGAACAAGGCTCGATCCATGCAGGTGACAACACACAACCCTCTTGATGAGTGTACAGTCTGTATCGAGTGACGAGTCCGTACGTACTATAGGTAGATTATATACTCAAGAAGAAGGCACACGGTTCGATTTCCTACTGTAGAATAGCGCCTGTACGGGACAACCTACAACCCTTCTTGTCCACCCTGTCAACGCAAGTGCTGTCATGATCAACAACTCCATATCTATTAACAATGAAGACAAGAAAGGTGCACGCCCCCACCGCCCCCACCGGAAACCAACCTCATAGGTAGAATAAGTAAAGGACAACCTACAACCCATCTTGTAGACAGAGTTCAAGCTGGTCAAAGACCAAGTCTAAATGTAAGTCTACAAGACAAGTGCACGTTTCTGGTACTTTGATGGAGGAGAGGAACTCTGGGGTGGGTTCGGATGGTGTTCGAGGGGGAAATTAGCGGTGTTACTGACGGAGGAGAACGGAAACTTACGATGTGTGTGCGGCGGATTTCAAGAGGCTCTTTCGTTGTGTGAAGAAAGAAATCATGGGGGAATGAAAATTGGAGCGGTCATTGAAAAAGAGTGAGAGGAGTTGGGATTGCTCGTTCTATCGTGGATAGTTAGCAAAAGAAATAAAGGAAGAGAAGTATTGGAAGAAGGAAAGTGGAGATAGGCAGAAGAGGGGAGAGACAGGACAGCGGCAGTGGGGCAGTCACAAAACTAGCTGGGTAACAGACACACAAATGGACACCGATGTGCTTGCTCGACAGCGGACATGTGTCCACATCAATTCAGAAGTTGACACGTTCGTCTCTATTTCGTGGCGACTAAAAAGGTAGGGCTTATGATGCCACGTTCTTCAACACACGGATGAGAAAGGCCAGAAAATGATTATACGAGTTGAGTATTGGTGCAATTAGCATTCACATTCGTAAATAAAAGCCATGCCGAAGCTCGAAAATTGTCGTAATCTCATCTTAATTTCACCCTTTTTAACCTACACAAAAAAGGAACTTTGAAACGGCAAGCAGAAGCAGGTTACGAATTTTCGTGAAACCAGCGATTCCCATCGACTGTCCTACATTTGAGGGTATATATGAAACTATGTACCTCTATAACTACCCTGAGCTGCAGCCCGTCAATTTGAAACAAAACCCACATATACATATTCATGCAACCAATCTCTATGCAAAGTGAAAAACCAGCATCATAGTCTTATGGAGGTTTTTGTATCCAACAGGAAAAGCGGTCAGAGTTCAAGAACCGGAAAACCAACAAAGCAGCACGTTTAAACTCCCACCACTCTAGATAGAGACAAAGAAAGGGAGCAAGTAACGTTCTTCTTAAGGCAACAGACAAGCTAGAACTGTCTTGTCGAGCCGTCATATTCAACAGCCAATGCTGGGCAGAATATTCCAACTGACAAGAAAGCACCACGTTTACACTCCCGGGATGGATATCCCTCAGAATAAAGTGACAACCTAGAACCATCTTGTCTCGGATGAATCATGTTCAACAGCAAAAGCTGTGCCAAACGAAGTTCTTCTGAGATACAAGAGAGCACCACGTTTCGACTCTTGCCACAATAACGGCTGGCCAGAGAAAAGATAACAACCCTCGAAATAAAGTGACAACCTAGCACCCATCTTGTCTTCAGAATCATCAGGCTTGTACGACAAAGTCGCAAAAGAACGAGAATTCAACCAGACAAGACAGAGCCACGTCTCAACTAAAAACACAAATCCCCCGATTATACAACCTAGTGGTAGACCACGTGGTTGACGGAAGATGAGATTGTGACAGCCTACAACCGATCTTGTGAATCGAGAAAAGAATACGCACGGAAGCGGATGCAAGCTTTATCAACAAGAAAAGAGTGGTTCGTCGGTGTGGCTTTGCAGGATGGACGGTAGCTTACCACCCACCTTGTCGTAAAGAAGTGGGAGTAACACAAGTCCGTTCCCGCTCTTTGCGACAGGATGGGGGCACTCTTCGAAGAATTCATTGATGTCCGCCCCTTGTAGAGTTGAGATGAGCGGGAAGAGACATCGGTCATTTGGAGGAGTGATACCTGCTTGAGTGATGTGTAGTGCTTCTGTGTTGACGGTTAGCAGACTGTGATGGTAATGGCGGTCGGTGAGGTGAAATCGGTGCGGGGTTGAAATGGGCAAATGTGTGAAGCGAGAATAGTTTATTGTGTGAGATACAAAAAAAAAAAAAAAGGGAAGAGAAGAGAAGAGAACTTACGAGGTGGATTTATGAATCCTTCCTTTTGCTAGCATGGAGCAGACTCGAAGCAATTAATATTGTTGCGAGAATTGACCAAACTCAGTTTTGGTGATGGAAAGTGTGGAGGATGTCGAGGAGTAAAAAAACAGGGAGTGGGGAAGAAGGATGCAAAGAATGGAGGGGTAGATGACAGGAGAAGAGAACAGGTGGCATTCTTAAACATGGCGGGGCCACCGAAAGTGAAAGTTCCAAGCCTGGACCCGCGCTCCCGCACAGATGCGGTTGTGCGGTTATTGCAGACTTGACTGAGAGCGGAACAGAAGAGAAAATTTTCATCAGAGACACATTGACAGACTGGGCCAGTGGACGTCGGAGGATATCTGGCTGTAGAGGACGAACACGCCCCCCTATGTGACAGAACACTGTTACATAACCTTCTGAATGGCCGCCCTCTTCCGCTTGATTACGTTTCGAAAGACAATTGCCTGAGAACAACATTGATATCATAGTAGAGGTGACATGGTTGATTGAGATAAAGCTAGACTACCTCCGATTCCCATCTCCGGTGTCACTGGTAAATCTCTCCGCCTACCGGAGACTCGCAACACAGGTTCGTAGACTGACCGCCGGCTCCCTACCATGGCGTCCTGTACCGATTGAACAGTGATTAGTATAGTAGAACGGCAGTCGGGTATAAGGTAAGTTATAACTAAAAGGACTGCTCTAGGTCGGGAATAACTCGCGTGATTGTGGCCGGAATGTCAAGGTGACACCTCCGCCGGGATATATAAGCGGGAATGTAAACACCGCACATATGAATTCCTGCAGGAGAAGACCAAAGTTCTACAAAGGTAGTCATGAGGGTGTGAGAGTCGGGGAAGGCGAAAGCTGTCAATCTTACGGATACATCACCGCTCACGCTCCTCCGATCCATACTGCAGTGAGTATTACGGGGCTCCAGGTCTATGACACAGAGGATCGGCCGGAGGAGTGATTTCAACCCTTAGTTAGGGTGCTCATTAAGATATCACGGGCTCACGCGGCGGGCTGCGGGTGGAGCGGATCATAAAAGTGTAAACACCGTGGTCCATTTACTCAGCCGGCGACCTGTCGTGGACACCTCCGCTGAACGGGAGCGTGAGCAGGAAACCAATTCAAATCAAAATCCCCAAAGGAGTTCACCATTTACAATACTCTCTTCAGGCTGCTCTTATATCTTTGCACCTTCTGAGATATTTAAGTAAATGGTGGGTGGGTTAGGGTTCACCGGAGAAGCAATAATTCCATGTCAAGGGACAGAACACACCACTGGGTAGTTCCACCCCCGACGCTCGTACTGGTGGAGAAAGGAAAGCAGCAAGCTTCCTTTTTCCGGCTTCTAGTCACTTTAACCATTTGTTAACTTTCACTAATTGCCAGTATACTAATAATCGACGGTATGACAATAGTTCCGAAATCTACGAGTATCGAGTGATTTCAACAGCCTGTATATATATATTCCGTCCCCTCGAGCGTTGTGCCATGAAGAATATTACATCATTGCTAGAACAAGAGTTATATACAGGAATGATCTCAGGAGATCTAGTGAACAGCCTACCACCCATCTTTTCAGAACTTATAAAATCAAGACAAAGCTCACGCTTGCTAGATATGGGCAAGATACTAAGAAGACGAGGGCACGCATATCTGCAGGCTCCACCCCTAGAGAACTGGTAGATACTATGCCTAGAACCGGAACCCAATTTCTCTCGCATGCGCCAATGTTTATTATTTGTGCAAATTGGCCCACTGAAAGGTGCGGCCTGCCATCCATCTTGTCAGAGCGTTCAAAATCATCGCGAAGTTCGCGCCTCCTCTGATTTCGATACAGTGCTGACTAGACGAGGGCACGCCCCCAAACTCCCCACCAAGTGGATAGATACCATTCCCCACGAGCTCCAGCTTTTGAAGTGCGCTAATGAGCACCACTGGAATATGCAGCCTACCACTCCTCTTGTCAAAACTTTCAAATCAGCACGAAGCTCACGCTTGTTCCGATTTCGACAAAGCGCTGAGCAGACGAGGGTACGCCCTCAAGCTCAATCCCACACGATTGCTGGACAATATGCCTAGAACCCAAGCCCACAAATAAATGTCTTTGATGCTTCATCGCGCCTGAATTGCACAAACGTACACAACAAGAAATTACAGCCCATCACCCATCTTGTCCACCATGTTGAATATCCTGCGAGGCTAGCACGCATCAAATATTCCCCAAGAGGGACAAGATAGGAGCATGCTTAAGTTGACTCTTACGGTACTACGGAACACCGAATATATGAAAGATGAATCAGAAAATGAGTTTCTCTTAACCCTCTAGTGCCACTATCTTAGAACACGTCATGTAAAATGAAAACAGAATTAATTCTCATACCTTTTATCTCATTGATAATCCTAGAGACTACGGCCTACCGCCCATCCTGTCCCGATGTTGAATCTGCTGCGCGGCTAAGGCGCAATGATAAGAGTCATCCATCAGACAAGACAGGGGCACGCTTAATCTTCACGGGCATGAGTGGATGGTTAAGCCCAATTATAACATGATTGTGTTCCAGAACTATGCCATTCGTCAGAATACTTCACAAAAAGAGAAAAGGAAGGAAAGATAAAATTTCCATAGCTTTTTCACACTACTAATATGATCGCACGGCGTATCATCCACGTTGTCACGAACTTGAGCTACCGGGTTATCACTTGATCAGTATTCAGGATTATTTACCCCATGCTCCCGATGAAGGGAGAATATAAGCGGTAGTCTGTGAACGTGAATAAATATTAGTAAAACTCAGATTTTCTCAGGACAGGGGAGATAACCTACATTGTCGAACAAAAACACTTCATGAAGATATTTCTCTGTATTCTGTACTAGTGTATAATCCACCATCGACCACCTTGTTAATCTCCCTCTGGAGATGGAAGTGGCTTTTAGCCGGAGGGCGAACAACAAGAGATCAGCACGCGCCATGGTGGATTAATTGAGAATGAAAGCGGGGCAGGGGTTGGAAAGGTCAGGAAATGAGCGGGATTTTTCGGAGGTGCCCAACCTTCTGAGTGAAAAGGTGGAGAAAAGAGATTCTTGAGAGGAAGATGGGAAGACTGAAGGATGAATTTCGACGTCGGTTTATAATTGTGAAAAGGAAGGAAAAATGGAAAGGGCGACAGGGGACTTGGAGGCAACTTGGCCAGTGTGTGCGTCATGAGACTAGAGGGCGGCAGGAAGTTTTGCAGAGACAGTCACATTACAACTTCACTGCGGCACACAATGGCTGTAGAAGGACAATCGCGGAGCCAGAGCTGAAACTAGCTCACATTTGACTAGCTTAATATCGACAAAACACCACCTGGAGAATCATTTCTGGAAGAGCCTCACTCCCGGAAACCATCATTTGTGAAAAAGCAATATCCCTTTGTGAAATTAAATTAATTGTCCTTGGTGTTCTTGCGTATAACATGCTTAAATTAGCATAGTGTTATCTTTATAGACAGGGCGAAAGTGACATACAAATTGGCATGAAAGAAGAAAGGGTTATTACACTGCTGTTCTGCCATTTTAAAGAGAGCGGAGAGATTGGTATAAAACACGCAGGAAAAGGATAGACAGCATGGAAAATAAAGCTTTGAGAAACAAGATATATACGATAACTTCTACGTGGTCTGATCTGAGTGATTACCTCCTAGCAAAGCTCGAATTTACAAGGAAGATTAAGGAAAATCGATGATTATTTTGCGTGAACAGAAGTGACATAAAGCAGCTCCTAACTACGCAGTGCAAATATCCCATCGACTGTATTTCCAAACTGCTGACGCCCCCACAGCCACAGGGCAGCCTGCCGTCCATCATGTCAATACCTGATTCCATTATACCACTGACAGCACGATGCAATGCAATATCGAAATTATAGCGGTGCGCTCCCTTTATAGTCTGAGACAGAAAACATCAGGCAGCTGGGTCAGATCCGGGGAGATCTTTCAGCTTATGACTTGGTGGGTTAGCTCGGATCAGAGGAAGAGTGAGGAACAACTTATCTACCCACACCACGTACGTTAGAACACCTGGTACATTCGGAAAGCCTGCCATCCGCCATGTCCAGGCCCAATTCCACGATCCCAGAAAAGTCTCTTTGCAAGGTGATTAACGTGATGAGGGAATGCTCCCGGTAGATGTCGGAGTAGGAATCACAGACCTCCCGCTGTCTATGGTGTCAACATAACAATCCTGGGCTCTCATAAGATGCCCGATAAAGTCACGCTGACATGAAGGCAGCACGCCCTCCAATGAAGGTCGAAGCAGAACGCACAAGCCTTCCGCAACGCACGAGCTGGGGTAAAATCAGGATACGTGTGCATCTACATCGTTTGAGTTAGTTCGGTCTCTTCGTCTTAGTATACGTAAAGTAGAGAGAGGAGGGTACAATGCGCGGTATCGCTAGAGAAGTGGAACAGCCGCCGTATGCCCAGTGGTAGCATTCTGGTGGCTCGCGTTTAGGGTAATTACCGACACCAAGTCTAACTACCCCAGACATGAACACGCCCTCCACGATGAGCATATGGGACGAGGTTAGGAAGGAAGAGGTGAGAGAAGGGCAGAAGGGAAGCACAGAGAAGATGCAGAGTTACAAGGTGAGAATGAAACGCAGAAGCCGAACAGCCTGCGCCGTGTCATGTCAGTGTTTCTGCCTGAACGTAATCTAGCGATTACACATCGGAGAGTGATACACCTGACAAGACATGAGCACGCTTTCCGCTCCCTGCGTGATACATGCCGTGTGTGATGATAAGTGAAAGGGAGGAGATGTGAGACAGATTATTGGGGGGGGGGGGGGAAGGACAAGATGAGACTTCGAGAGAGGAAAACGGGAACAAAGCAAACAAAAGAACAATCTACTCCACATCTTGTCGAGCACGAGACCACGGTCTGGCAGTGCCACTGCCTGTTTCCGCTTCCACCGCGACAGAACATGAGCACATGTCCAATTCCACCTGAGATGAATATTGAGAGTGAGGCGAGGGGAGGAGGCAGAGGAAGAGAGATGGTGGTAGTTAAGACAGAAAAATGCTAAGACACTCACACACTTGTTAACCATAACTCGACGGCACATGCCGCGCAAATTGAGGATAGCCCTCTAACCACGTTATAGATTTTGGTGACAGAATACACAACAACGACACTGGTTTTTTTTTCTTTACCGATTTCTCGTTCAAGCTCTACCCATACTCCTTTCGGACGTCACTATTTTATTCTCCGGAAAAACAGGATTAAGGTTAGCAATTGACAAAACCGCCGGTGGTGTGAATGATATGGCATTTTCTACTCCTCGCAATCGCCCGAGCCCTTGAGCGGTATCTTCGGATAGTTTTGTCTCTTGGAGCCTGTGAGAGGTCGCGTGCATGCTTGTTGTATTCCATACATATACTATGTAGAGCTTCTTGTCGGTTGCCTTGATATGGGGTAAGACGCTGGTTTAGTTCAAACCTGTCCACCGAATGGAGCTGGGGAATATGGGCGATGCACCCGGTCGAGTATGCAACTCTTTGTCGAGCTTTCTAGTTTAAAATACCTTGTGGACCTCGGAACACGGATCACGACTGGGGCGGGGGAGAGCGCTGGAGGCGGGCGCTAGGTTTGTCTTTAAAACCCTTCCTACATTAATGTTGGAGAAACTTTTCCGGCTCGGTATGTACTTATGATACAAACGAAGTTCTCCATCTACCTCAAGATAGCGTGTATATATATCGGGGCAAATAACATTATATTACCTCAGAACCCTATAGTATGGTTTGCTTGGTGTGTAACGCGCAGGAAACAATCCGGCTCAGAAGGGGAAACCAAACTAAAGCAATGCAAAACCGAGATCTATTTGGACCTCTATTCTGATTCCCAAAGATGTGGATACTAGTACTGTTTTTTCATCATCTGGTAGGATAGGTCACCTCCGTGTGATGTGATAATGATCTTTGTTGTGGAGAAATATCGCTGGATACGGGTGTCTGAGACATTAGGTGTTACTTATTAGTGTGCTAAGGATATTAACTCCGCGGATACAAAAATCACCTCTAGAAAAGGAGACTTACCCACTGTCAAAGGCAAACTCCTCTCCTCGGAGATAATGGGAAAGGAAATCCTACCTTTAAAGCCAGCCACCTCCGATACCTCCGCGATTGCCAAATACCGGGGGCACTGCCTGCCACCAGTCTTGTTATCGTTCCAAACAATCCCCGATTACGGAAAGAGGCAGAATTGAAAAAGAATAAGGGCACGCCTGTCGCTGGTATCTAATATGTACTGCCTTTAATGCTGCGAACCTACTCGCCCTCTGATTGGCCAAGAGCGGAACCTAACCCTGACCTCTGCGTGGCAACGGGCGTGGCAACGGGCTCTCCCAAAATGCCACCCCCAAATGCCACGGAATGTCAAATTTATACTGGGGGGTATTGCGCACTATTATCAAAATAAAAAAAGATCCCAAGCGGTACGTTTTGGGTGGTTATAGTATCTCTTCTTTCATACACCAAAAAAGTACAAAAAGTACTGTGCGGTTCCGGGACGAACTGGCACTACCCCCACCCCTGGGTCGAACCCTGGCCTTCTGTGATCGAAAGCAGGGCTAAACCTCGCGGTGTTCTTTGGCGAGGGTTAACCGTTGAACCACTCGCCCATGTGTGTTGGTGGCTAGAAATGTTATTTGTGCGCCAAGGATGGTTGGCTAGTAATCTGCACACCAGCAGGTACCGGGCACTCCCGGAACCAATCGAAAACCCACCTGCGAATTTTAAACTGAAGTCTCCTCGTTCCCCTAAGTAAATTACGAGCCCATAATTACGATCCAGCCTACTGCCCATTCTGTACACCTTCAACAAGTCTTCACAGGTGCGAAGGTCCCTGGAAGTGTACAGAACAGGAGCACGCCGCCTTCCCACTCCCGACGATGTCACTGTAGCTCAGCAGAAAGTTCTGTACTGCCTACAGCCCATGTTGTCAGAAAATGGATCCCTACAGCTCAAGATGAGTTCTTGAGGGAATATATTTTATGACAACACAGGGGCACGCCCATTTCCATCTTTGGTCCCCCAGATATCGCACAGGCAACTATCTCACACAGCCTACCACCCATGTTGTAAACCAAGAACCTCATGCAGTTGATTCAACTTACACCTCGCGTGTAGATTTACAGCACAGTGGCACGCTAATCCCACAGGAGAGAGACAGGATGGTACTGCCCCCCGCCCAGGTTGTGTGCTGCTCTCGAACGATGCGACGACAAAGTCAAGCGCAATAAAAAACCCAGGGGCACGCCATCACCATATCTGAGAGAGAGACTAACTCAATGCTGCCTACCGCCTATATCGCTACTAGGACATCTTAAGTCGCGAGGAAATTAAGAGGGCGATGATAACAATACGAGGGCACGCCCACTTGCTCTTAGACATATATTAAAGGGGACAGGAAGATTCTGTCTGCCACCCAAGTTGTACACATACACATCGAGTGATGCTTAGCACCGGTTCAATACAATATGGAAAACCCAGGGGTACGCCATCAAAGTGTCAAAGAGAAGAGAACTCAATGCCGACTATGCCCATCCTGTTTCCGCAACATGACTAGTGCCGAGGTACGACAACTAACGTACCGGAAACAATACAGGGGCACGCCCATAGTGCTCTGCCGCTCGTGATGTATATATGGGACAAGGAAGAAGAGGATACTGCCTACCGCCCAGTTAGTCACACTGTCCACCAACTCCATGATACAAGAGAAGAAAGGTCCAATATGACTAACACAGGGGCACGCCTATCGTTGAACTAGATAGAATCCAGCAGAGCACGAAGGCAGCCTACACTCCATTTCGTAGAGATATCTAGGATGCAGGAAGCCGAAGCTATGCAGGACCTAAGATACTCTATGAAACGGGGGCACACTGCTTGTGGTGGATGTGTTCCTGGTGTATAGTTAGTAAGGGCTCAGAATGAGTGGGATGAGGGGATGGATGGAACTTTGGTAGGATGCGCGAACATGTGGGTGAAAATTATGATGTGACTGCTACCAAAAAATGTTAGTAAAAGAAAATAGAGAAAAAAGAAAATAGAGAAAAAAGAAAAGAAGGAGAGATAAGGGTAAGCGAAACAGCCGTGGATAGAGAGCTTTCCTTTTTATGTTGGGAATCTTTGTTGGTTGTATGAGGAGGTGAGATGGAGAGATCGAGAAGAACGAGGGGAGGGTGGGAGCATTGGTTTTTGTAAGTAGGTTTGTGGGAAGGGGAGAGTTTTCCAACGCGGGGATTTATGATGTGAACCCCAAGGTCCACTGCACCTTTGGGTCTTTCAATGTGTACCGGCCCCAGGTCCGCCAGAACCCAAGATATTGTCAGACAAGCCACAATGGGTCCAGTGCGATAACACGGGGTTTATGTGGGTAAAGATGAGTGAGGTTGACTCTTCATCCCTTAGCCATTGCCAATCTTCAGCTGAATCATGCTAGCTCATTCTCAAAAAACAGGATAATGCTTATCTCCATGAAAATCACATCGGACATGACCCAAGATTATCTCACATAACGCCTCACCATCTCTCCAAACAGTCAAACATATTCTCGCATCCTTCTTCTTCCGCGCATGAGGACATTTTAACTATCCGATCAGCTTCTGTTCAGCACCTCCGCTCACCTCCTACTATCCAAGGCCTCACACGCACCGCGGCAACACGGAAGGAAACGTACTCTTTCGCAGTATTTCTCCCGCTATTCCGGACATGACCATGGTCACTTCCGCCTCGCCTGTACTCCTTGCACAGGAACAACGGTCGAGAGCTTGTATAAAAGAGATAGCTAGATCGCCCATTTCTTGATGTTTTTCCCTCTCCCCTCTTACACCTATCTTTGCCTGGTGCTACATGGACGCTGATCCCGCGCACTACTCCGTCATCAACGGTAATAAGTACCGGCGGTGGCACACCGGGCACTTATTGAACGCCACGCACTGAAAGCAAATGAATACATTTTCACTCGAATCGCAATCTGTCCTGTTCTTAGCGCTGAATAGCACTTTTAAACGGGGTCCGGAGAACCCGGCTCTTCCGCTGGTCTAGAGGTTCTCAGCGAGGAGGTAGCGGTTCCGCCTGAGTACGTCCTCCCGCCGCCTCCGCGCTGTCGGAGGATAGGTGGTGCCTCTTGCGCGCCTGGCTTAGCTGCTGACACCAACACTTCACCAAACACCCGCTGACCCCCGACTGAGAAGGCCGTGGAAGGAAGACCTCCGAGACCGCCCTTCCTTATCTCGGTGGGTAGATTTTGGTGAGATATGTCCGGGAGTAAATCGGAATACATGATGCAACACTCGAAAGGCGGCGATAATCGGTTCTCAGAAGGGGGTGGGGTTTGCCTGAGGAGACAGATACCGCCGCCGGCCACCAAATAATCTAAAGGTTCTTGATTGCGTGGTACCTAAGATCAGGAGGTGCATCACGATGGAGGTGGATGGGGGAGATGGGGGAGACAGACATATTAGTGCGGACACTCTCCGCTGTAACAATATCTGGACGAGTGGTGTCGCCACGCCGTGACTGGAGGTCGGAGGATTCTGGAGATCGGAGGTGTCTGGATGCCGCTGATTAGTGTCATGAGACTACATAACGAAGAGGGTGGTCCTATCAGCAAGAATGAGAGGTGCACTGAGAAGCAGGGAGAGACGGAGGGATCCGGAATGTTTCATCTGTTTAGAGCAGTCCTAGGGGTGTGAATGTTTCATGATTGGAGCTATATGTCCTGGTTATGTGTGTAGATAGATATTCTTGGTCAATATAACACTTGCAAAGGCTCGACCGACATGTTTCCATTCCCACAATGATCTCTAGGGCTATCTGAGGACTTTAAAACTTTCATGGAGGTTCTAGAGATGCGTTCCTCTGGCTTGTAACCCCGTTGCAATTGGTGAGATGACATTCCCGGTCACATCTGCTTCTGTTAATCGAGATATGCGCATTCCCACCTATGGGCATGATGACGAACTGAATAAAGCTCCAGTCCTATAATAAACTAGCCAGCCTTTGTATGCTTAATGCTAACGTTGAGGTAGTATTGAAACACTCTTTAGCGAGCAAGGATCATAGATTATCACTCGGTTCTCAGTTTCAGCATGCAATATTTTCGAAATGATATCGGCGTCCCTAGAGAATATATGAATGTCATACAAGAGTATAGGATATGAGAGAAGCTCAAAATTTATATCTGGGGAGAGTAGGAGAGTGGGAAAAGAAACCACGTCGTCGGAACCGTTTGCTCCAGGAAGTCCTTTTTGGAGTGCCATAGGCATAATGAGTTGTTAAGAAAACATTGGCCTATTCAAAGGATAGAAACAAATATTAACTTCTCTCATTATGGATTCGATTCCCAGGTCGTGGGAGTGACGAAATCCGCTTTTGAGTCCGGGAGTCCGGGACGCCGGCATCACCGAGTATCACTCGATTGAGGAATTACGGAAAAAGAACATTTTCTAAATAAATGTCGGCACCGAAGGAGGATACGCAGACGATGTATGATACACAAGCTTCGGAGATCGTACTATCCTTTTGATATGAAAAGTAAAGTATGAATGCAACGTCGATCGGCGGTGGTCTTTTGCTAGAGGAAAGCTATTTATGAGACATCACCGCCGACGGTAATATAAAAGTGTGGGTTACTATTGTTGACCTCTTCGAAAGATGCTCGTAACTTGTTAAATTGGTATTTGTAAAAGCGGAATAAATTCTGTTTGGCCCCGGGAGACTCGTGGGTCGAGTGATAATCCATGACTACAGTCTAATCGTGGGTTTCCACTTATTTTCCTTCGCGCATGTGTTTAAGTAACAATATATATTCGCCCAATTCAAGACTGACTATAGAAAGATAGAAAAAACGTGAGGTCGGCGGGTATAAAAATATTCAGCCTTGTGATCGATCGTTATATGCTCGGAAATATCGATTGTCTCCGGGATTATTTTAGAACCAACGGCTTGTGAAACAGGGGCGAAGCAAGAAATGATGAGATTAAATGAGAACTAGTTTACGGAGGTGTAGCAACTAGAGGTAGATACATGAAAGCTTTTTAATTGTACAAAGGTAGAGACAAGATGTCCATGTCCTAGGCTGAAAGAACGTGACCGAGGAAACAAGAAGGATTTATTAACACAGGAGGTAAACAGGATACGAGGCTCACACAAACTACTTGCAACTCTCAGGACCTGTACGAAGTAGATAATATAGATCCTGCTGGTCAATCTAGATTCATGAACCCAGTGTATATATATTTCAGTATCAACGTAAGGACAGCCTACGCCTATCTTGTATTCAGTTTTTTAGCACTTAGCTCGAGGTTTCTCGAATTTGTACAAAATCCAAATACAGGATAGGAGCACGCTTCTATCACCACCCAAGACACAGCCTACACCCATTTTGTCTCAGGTTTGGCGTTCAACTAGATGTTCTTCCAGTTTTGTTCCAAATCCCAATACACGACAGGAGCACATTCCCATTATATCACCGCCCAGTAGACGGCCGACATCCATCTCGTATCCTTTAGAGAAGACCTCCGCTACACGCAACGGCGCCGTCTTTGTCAGAACGAGAATGGAGCACACTCCCATCGACACAGAGAAAAAGGGTAGTATGTACGCCTTGGAAATATCCCATCATCAGTAAAGTAAGTACTTTAAAAATATTGCCCCTGAGCTGAGAAAGATCATAATGTTGTGCGGAAGCAACCTACCCCCATCTTGTTACTGCGGGTAAACGGGACAGGTGGTGTTATACACGCGGCGCCAGGGCCACCGTCAGCAACAAGACGAGGGCACGCCATCGACCAAACACAGGCGAACCTACTCTCAACATGTTACGGTCACCTGCTTAGAGTTTCAACACAATGAAGGTTGGCCGAGACAAGTCAAGAGCACGTTTCTGTAAAGAATCCTCAAACCTTCCCAAGCTAACTCTAGATCCGGCTACTTCAAGAACCTACTCCCAACTTGTTCGATCACATACAGCGTAACTCAATATGAGGGAGCAGGGTCAACATGTTCAGGAACAAGTCAGGAGTACGTTTCCATCAAGAACCTTTCCACCCTTGAGGTTTTGTCATTTGCTCATCCAGACAGCCCAAAGACCCACTCTCAACTCGTACCACTTACTAGCAAGGTAGATCAAACCATGCTGGCGGCCGATAGAAGTGAGGCGCACATTTCTGTGAGGAGTCCGGATGGTAGCACTGGTGAACGCGACATGTATTCTGTAGAGAGGTAGCAGAGTTAGAAACACACGATTAGAGTAAAAGGTCTGGATAGGAGTGAGAAATCTTACCACAAACCTCTAAACACATTTCACAAGATGTGATTAAAGGAAGAGACAGTAGATATTTTCTAAAGAGCGGTGTCAAGAATTTTGATGTGTTTTTTGCCGGTAGATAATTTTGTAACGGAGGAAAGAAAGTGTGTGGAAGGGAGAAAAAAGAATGTTATTTGTTACATTTTTACGAGGGGTGGCATAGAATGTGTGCGGGAGGAAGAAACTTATCATAGTTCAAGCCGCTTGTGGGCTAGCGCAACTACACTTCCGAGCCTCATTTCGTGACATATATCCCCCTCCGACGCAAAGGATTGCAAATAGCAAGGGATCGCTAAATATGATTTCTGCTAGATAGTATAATTTAGGTTGAATTACAAGATATACGGCTCGGGTTATGCGCCCGGTGGAGCACCTTAACCCGATTAACATGTAAACCCAGCAGCTATTATAACCTGCCATTATTCCTTCTGCTAAGTCTGGAACAAATTTACCGACGCATATTGCGGAGGTGAATAGAGAAAAGCTTGGCAGCGAGTTATTTACGCGAATGGTATAAAATATATTTATTTAAGAGATGAAACTCACAGGTAAAAGTCAAAAGAAGGTCAAGATAAGTTTATATTGAACTTTCTTTCTTCTTTCTCTCTTTTTCTTTTATTAGAGATGCAGAAACAGGAATCTCGATAACTAGATAGAGGTACTCTGTGAAAGTGGATCGTTTGATAACACGGAGTCTATGACCTAGGGAGCTGGTGAAAGAAACTCTGAATCCTATTTCTGATGTAACACCAGAGTCGTTTAACTTACGAGAAGATGCCCCTAGGATACCACAACACCCAGGAAACCGAACACCCGAAGATACCACATCTACCAGAGAGCGGAGGTTACCTACATGTCTATAGTATAAAACCCTAACTATCGGACCCAAAAAGTAATAAACCTCAAGCATATTCCTTTCGTGCGATATGTTGACGAGTAACAAAAGGTACTGCAACGACTTATTGCTCATTGTGCGTTACTACCCCCACCCCTGGTTTGAACCCAGGACCTTATCCTGGGTAAACACGCGGTGTCTAACCCGACGAGCAGTCTAACCACTAGACCACTCGCCCATGGTGGATGCTGCGCTGGAATGAGACTTAACCTTGGCGGTGTGCCAAGATGAAGTTGAACCCTAACCCTTCGGTGTTGCGTGTTATTTTGGGGTCGTACAAACAGTATAAAAGGTTTTAACGAGGATTTGGATATAGAAGAATCCAATTGTAAAATTTATTCGAGTGTATAGCCTTAGAGAGTAAAAGAGAAGAGGAGTGCTCCCTTTTTTCCGGCCTCCCCGTTTATCCTCTCGCTTAAAGGCACCTAACTGTATAAAGTGTTCTCATCCAATCACCCGAGATAAGTTGCCACCATCTCCACTAGCGTGTTCTTTTCCATGTCTCTTCTCCCACACCACACGTGTGATCTTGCATCCTGGGTTTTTGTAAAGCATCTTTACGGAAATATGCACAATTTTAGGCCTTTCTGGGGAGGTGGGGGGATGTGGGCCTCCCCGGAATAGGGAGTATTAGTAAAATAAACGCCGGGGATGAGCGGCGCGAGTGATGCCACATGATTGAAACCCGCTTCTGGCAAGTCAGCCATTAGCGAACATCAATCCGAATTGTAGCATTTGTGGCATTCGTACTAGGGGAAACAGAGGCTAAGACCTTCGGTTTTACGGGCATTTCGTTTTTCGGTATCACTCTCTGTGTCAAACGATCGAGGCCCTGAGGAAGTCTAACGTGCTTACTGAAAGAGAGCTTCAAGAGTGAACTACTTCAAGGACGATTATTGGAAGATTTTGATTAAGCTGTCTTCGTGCTATTAGTACTCAACTAATCTACTGAACCAAACCTTTCCTAAACTATACATATACGAGATACGAACATTGAAATCACACGTATGTACTGAACCATGGAGAAGTGACCTCTGAACACCCCCTAGTCGCAGGCGCGCTGCGGACATATGCAGAACCTACGGCCCCCCTTCTGCATCCCCTCTTATTCAATGCGGAGGAACTCAGTCGCCACTACAGGAGAGCAGAACTACTCTGATTGAACAAGAGAGGTGCACGGTTCGGAGCGCGAGATGATAGGAATAACTCGAGAGAATTCAATGTAGGCGAGATGTTACAGTTAGCGTTAGTCTGGTAGTCCATCACAACGAGGAGGTCCAGTGAGGCAAAATACCTCGAATAAGAGCGTTAAGATATTCAAACACGGTGCCTGCGTGGGCTTATTTACCGTCTGCGTCTCATGTTCAATGATAAACGTCTGTCTCAATTGACACGGATCAATAATCCAATAATGAAACCCAATTATATCAGCCCCTACGCCCTCTAGTCCTTTATTCTATGATAACCTGCATCCTCTCTTGTTTCAAGTTCAACACATATCCTTAGATGAGGATGGTGAGGAGCAGGAAACAGCAGAAGTGCACGTTACATGTAAAGCGGAGCAAGCCACAGTCCCATTAAAATGTAACGTAATACTTTATCCCGTGCCCGGGTTTGTTTACCCTCTGCCTCTGAATGACAACCTGCATCCCATCCTGTTTCGATCTCAACATACTACCTTGAGGCAAAGTACAGATGAAGAGGAAACAGGAGAGGTGCACGCTTCATGGAAGACAACGCACACGGCACATCGAAATCCTTATTCCCATAAGAGCCTACATCCCCCCTTGTCAACCCTCGCGATGTAGCATTGAAATTATGTACGCGGGACCTTGAGGGGATTGACGAGACGAGTGCACACTTTGCGAAGTAGGAGAGAGAAAATAAGGCGAATTGAATACATGGCCTTTAGATTTCGAACATGCGTTGCTAGCAGATTGGAAATCTTTCGGCAGCAGGGAGGAATGAATAGGAGAATGAGAATATTTTTGGCGTCGGTCCCATGGAGAACAAACAGGATACCGGAACGTGTTTTGATTAGCAATTTGTATATATATATGATGAGATATGATAAGTCAAGACGAAGCTTTACCTTACCGGACCGAGATGGTAGAGATCGAGCTACATCTAGTTACCCCAAAGGCCTCGGAACCGGATGAGAAAAGAAGCTAAGCCTGTGTTGACAGCCTGCAGCCCTTCTTGTGGACAGTTTATCTTTGGACATTTTATCTTTGACCAACCGGCCCAGAGATAGACTGCACACAGGAAGAGCGCACGCCTCAAATCGCCGCATACGTCGCAACTCCCAACTGCCCCGAGAGAAAGATTTCTCGCTGTTTACCTATCAAAGTGCACAATTAGAACATGAAGAAAGAGAATCGTCGGAAAGGAAAACACTTACGTTTGTGAAGTAGTAAACGACCAGCAACTTATCTATACCCCCTCCTGTCTCTTCATCAGGACTCGTATGTCTGGGCCATGCGCCGAATTGGAGACAGGAGTGGAGCACCTTTCCGCATTCCTATCTGTTGTACTTTCTCGACTAAACATTGCTATTTCTCATCAAGCGTATCTAGAGATGATGGGAATCGAAATTGAAACTTACAGAAATATAGCCAATGAAGCCAAAGGTTCTACCACGGCGACTCCCTCCAGGACAACCTGCACCCCCTCTTGTTCTCCCCACCATGTTCACGTGGAACACCGGAACGCGCTAGGAGAACAAGAGAGGGGCACGTCTCTGGGGTCCTCTGCAGCATCTTCGAGTCTCGGGAAACGTTGCTATTTACTGAGAAATGGGAGAAAGAGAGGAGAATAATAGAAAATACGAAAGAACCTTGGTAGATGCTGATGATGAAGGAATGCGTGGTGAGCAATTTGAGAGATTAATAAGAAAAGATTTTCTGTTGAAAAAGAGAATGGAACGGAACAGACACAAGACAGTTTTTGCAGGTTTCTGTGCGCTTGTCATGTGCGGTATATATGACTGTGTTTTGTGTGAAGCGGTCTTGTGCCCTAGTCTCTGTTTTTATGTGAAATGTTCCTAGCGCAATCCGGAAACCGCCGCTTACAGGAGGAAAAGCACGGCTTTCCTGTTCATTCTCCCAAAAAGGTCCCGCTACTGAGATAACTGCAAGAATTTAAACAAACACTTGGAAGCTCATTTCATAATCTTTATATTTAGGTAGACTTGGGAGAGTTCGGAGTTTACACGCTGTAAACCTTGATCTTCCTGCTTCATGAGCTCATTAGAGTAGTAAGAAATATTTTTAGACGAGGAGCTTTTTACCCACTCTCTTAACTGAAGGACCAGGAGAGGGAGGATGCTAATCATGTAGCATGCCCGGCACTCCCGGGAACATCGATTCTGAAGTAGCGAGCTCGCATCTCTGTCGGCAGATGCCTACTCGGGCTCTTCGGCAAGGGAACTCGCCTCCCACAAAGTCACCTAGCCACCGGAAGACCGAACACGTGGGCAATATCTTCACTTCGGGTAAGGAATACAGTGATCGAGTAAACAAAAAAGAGAAAGGTCGGCATGTAAATCTCCACACCGCCTCTTTGAATTACGACTACATGTGACTCTACATGTTCCTCTACACAATTATCCTCCTATGACCATAAATAACTAAATCAAGTGCTACACTCCGCATCAAGACCCACTCACCACTCAACGGTGCACGCTCGCCGGTAGGACAACCTATCCAAATTTTGTCAGGGGTGGCTTCTCAACTGCCTTCAAAACAAGGGCCACGAGAGGTCCTCCCAACAAAAGATAGACACGTTTCTCCATGCGGGCAATGCTAGGAACGGGAGACACTCGGTGGGTGTAGTTGTATTCATCTACACTGTACACCGGGAGTGGTAGGCGAGCGTACGTTTCTGTTGAGAGTCATGGAGAAGGATTTTCAGAGGAGAGAAGTATGGTTCTCGTGTTGAGAGTTGTGTCAAAGGATATTACATGTAGCTCGATGGTTCGCGGACACGCTTAGAGTATAAAAAAGGTAGATGCGAAGTACCTTGCTTGGTTCTTAGCGTTAACAGGCGCGCTGTTATAAGCTATCACTTCCGGAGGCTTGAAAATACATGCATCGGTCGGGGAGGACACGGTTTAGGTGTATTGGGTCAGGTTTACAGCTCTCAAGCTGTTCGAGCCTCACGCCACTTGTTTTTTGCTGTTTTTTCTCACGAGTGTAGCTGTCGACAAGAGCTATCTGAAGTCCACATTGAAGAGATAAAATTTCGTTTGCAGTTCGTGAAGAACTATGTCTGCCTGTATGGGAAATTGAAGCACATCCATACAAGCCCGAGGATTCTCTATCATCAGTGGTAAAACCAAATAGCACTCACGCCTACCTTCTTATTTGATCGGGAAAAGGAGAAACCCCACAATGGCCTCAATTGATTTTCCCCAATTTTCTAGACTACAAGATCACAACCTACCCTCATCTTATCCGCTCCTTGATCCGATGACATATTACATACAGGCGCAGGCTTCGGGATGCAGGGTAGGACAAGAGGAAAGCATGTTTCTGCCACCTTATTCCTCGTAAAAGCTCACTGAGCTCTCGCATCCTCTCTCTCCATAGCTAGCTGCGTGCCCTTGGAGCGATGGATTTAGACCCTCTCAAATCAATCCCATGATATAGATGGTAGCATGAACAACCTACTTCCATCTTGTTCACTTCTGAACGACCATCGAGTGACCAATTTGGTACAAACGTCGACACATCCACCAGTGAACAAGACAAAAGCACGTTTTCAACTGTGTATTTCCCGGGGATCCTCAACCAGCTCTCCCAGCCTTTCTCTCATGGCTGTGTGCCTTCGGGGCCACGAATTGAAAACAGATCTCGCACTTCTCTCACAATAACCCGCACAGTAGGGACTGCATAGCAGTATGGCCAGCCTATTTGGTCGCTCCTCCGAGCTCTCCTGTCGAGAGCTGCGTCCGGGAAACTTAGGACCCACTACTGCTATTTTCCTCAGCCTCCAAGGATGGAGTATGAATCTGTTGGTAAACGTTAGAATTTAGAATACAAGAGGAATAATCAGAGAGGTTCAAAGCCACGACTCGCTTTCAGAGCTTTTGCGGAGCATATTGAAAGAAGTAATAGGACAGCCTGCCAACTGTCTTGTTGCATCGGTGATCATCTGTCGGTAAGCACGAAATATTTCAGAGATACAAGAAGACAGTAACACACCTCTATTGATCTCATTCACGAGCAACGCAGCACGGCTAGGCGAAACAGCGCATCGCTTAAGTTTCATTTGTTCTTTAAGACTATGTAAACGTCAGAGTTTGAAGCTACGTAAATCACCGAGTAATATCAAATGAGACTCACCAATCGTAACATAAACATTCAAAGGGGTTGGTCGGAGAATTTAAGGGTGAACTATCGGCTTGTCAGCTGTCCATAAAGCAAAACATATATCTAAGGAGAAGCTGGCCATCACACAGGAGAATATTTCGGGTTCCAGGGCTGATAACCTGCCACCGAAATTGAGAACCTGCGGCCCATTCTGTACCAGCCTCATCACTTCTCCGCGGAAAAACGCTTTGAACCAGTACAGAACGGGTGCACGTTCCATCTTGTTTTTCCTTGTTGGCCAGGAGTAGATGGGATTGAAGATCAGGAGGAAAACCTGGTTCTGTCTGTTTTGTGTGTCGTGTGTGAGCTTTGTTGGGGGCTAGGGCTATGACTGGTATTCCCGGATGCGGTCTAGCGACATTTCCACTGGGCGGAAACAACTCTGGAAGTGATGCTCCATGTATTATCATACCAACGGAGAACCCCGGCTGGGAATATTCAGAACGTCAGAATTCGTCTGGGCAATGTGGCTATCTACATAATCTAAATTTTCTTTCGCTGGCTCATTACTTCGGTTTCGTTCTTTTCATCTTCGACTTTCTTCCTTTAATTACTGCCTGCGAGGTCTTTGAAGTCTTCTTTCACTCCCTTCGCCGGTCACACAGTACAGGCACACCATGTTCTCACACCAAAAGTTTCCTCGTGGGGAGCAGGACATTAGAGGAAGTTTAATTCGAAGACTTCTCATCTGACCGTATACCGTTGCTCGCTAGCTACACGACAAAATGCCTTCCTACTTCCATTTCTGTTTTTAATATTCCATCTTCTTTTTTTCACTCTCGTGTCACAAGCAACTTCCGTAAGAGCACTCCACTAGGGTAAGGGTTGTGAATGATAGACTTCATCCAGTTGAAAGTGTAGTGTGGTATCGCTATGGAGTAGCATTTTCTATCCAATCTATAGAGATAAGAGGCGAATTAACAGTCGTCAAGTACCTCTTTTCAAGCCATCTTGTCCGCGGCGGAGCTCCGCAATGCTCCGTTTGTGTTGCTGGAGGCCGGAGCTATACGATATTCAAGGAGATTCCCTTGTCATGATGTCTGCTTTATTTCGCGAAGCATAACGGTAAGCGCAAGGCCCCCGCTCCAATATCTGTATTCGGCAGCCATTTCAATAGTAGGCTTTGACGGTAGGCCTGGTATTAAGCTGCAGTTCTCCCCCACCATATCACATCGGACTTCGACGCCCCGGGGGGGGGGGAGGCTGAGACCCCCAAAATTGGCAGTCCTGATGAACACCCTGATGATATGACGGCCAGACAGGGCGTTTCTGTGAGCCATATCATCTTAGAAGCTTTTTACCGATATAGTGCTAGTTTTCTCGTTCTGAGCTAGAAGTGCTGGGTTGTTATTTAGCGCTGGTCAGGGGGATGTTACCCTGCTACAGTGCTAATCCACCTCACCCTAGATTTCCGATGACAGCTAGCAGAGCCGCCCAAAGAGGAAGAACCGTCTTTCCCGCTCTATGCACTCGTGGCTGCCGATTTGTGCTTGATCTGCGGCGGAACCCACTCCTTCTCAGTTACCGAGACTCAGGATCCACCGCCGTGGCGGTCTGTGCAACGCGCTTCAGCACAAGAAGGATCGCCTTATCGACTGATGGAGGAATATTAGTACAGGCGTACCCATCTATTACATGTATCCTGGCGTACACCTGTACAGGTGTTATCCCTTCTGCCGCCCTTTGGACTGGTGCTGATATTGTTGTCGGCTTTGATCAGTGGGATCAATGTGGTCTTACCCTACACGCTTAAAACAGAAAGGCCTTTTACGTATAGGCTGCTTGTGTTAGGATATCATCAGGATAACCACTTATTTTCTTTGAACTTCAGGTTCCTAGGTCCATTCGCCTATTGAACCTTTATGTTTAGATGTCCTTTCTATTCTGGTGGTCTGGATTCGGCAGCCAAGGAAAGGACACCTATAGCAATTCCATAAGCCCGGAACTGGCCGGCAATTAGTGTTGTTCGAGTACCAGTACCTAAGTCTACTAGAGTATATGAAGGCTATCCGGATAATTTACTCAATGACAGCTTCAAAAAAAATTCGCAGCTTGCACGCTATTCGCACCCCCGGCATAGTGGTATGATATTTCTCAATATCCATCACATGGACCAGCAAAGCACTACCCTCCAATATTATGGTAGTACCTCGTGGCCCCCCTTCTCCTTTTCCCACATCATCAGTCTATTCACTAAAGTCAAATTTGATCACTGCACAATGATTGCGATATATGGGATCAAGCGGGGAGTTTGAGATCTCACTAGGGCATCTCTGTCACTCGACCCACTCATTATATCCTTGGAGACAACAGACACACGAGCTTACTGGAATTCAATTCCATATAGGCGGCTTTATGTGTGCTTTGGAGCCATGGATCCAGTTCTTTCCTAGAGAAACAGATGAATCTCGCGGCACACCTCAAAACACACGGCCAACGATGATGCCCCGAGATATCTTTATTTAAATAGAATATCTTCTTCCGCCATCTAACCTACGTCAATCTCACACTGATAGTCGATTTAAGAACGAGGTGAGGATAGCCCGGACTCAGTCATAAGCAATCACTCGTTCATATGTTATCACTCGAAGTAATATCGAGTGATACATCATGACCAAGCGCACAGCCAGGTATCGATATCTGGTCTTAATAAATAGCCTGACGCCTCAAGATATTTATCCAAGCCTATGATACCGTTACTCACACCTCGGCCATCAAAAAAGATCCCCATACGGCGCCGGAACTGAATGTCCACAACTGATCGATCACCGATCCCCCGCACAACACATGCGCCCTGTCTGGGCCATTCATCAACGCGTTAATACGCACGCAAAACAAACTTGGCTGTAATTATTTAAGCTCGATGTTGCCTGTATTGGCCACCTTCGGCTTTGGGATATCAATCTATGTCAACATGAGCTAGCTACCGACCGGCCCCACGCGAAGAATGCTTTCCAGCAGAGACACTGTCCCCATTGAAGCGCAGTCAAGGAACTATTTAAGTTCAATATTGGGATTCTGACAACGTGTGAGGAGGAGGGGGGTATGGTGTTTGTTGAGAAAGAGTATGCGGATCATCAGATCATGTACCACTGTCACGAATCAGTAACCGGCACGTGGGAGATGGTTAGACCATGCAATGCACGTATGGAGAAATCTAAAAAAAAAAAAAACGGTTTGAAAGGACGAGCAGTGTGAGATAGTTAGCAGTTTTATAATCGATATTTATAACACTTTATCCTGGATATGACTACCAGAAACCCTAACCCACTTGGAAAATGAATTTTTTTGCAATTGTTTATTTTGCTTTTGACACTGTTCGATATGTGATTTAAACATCATAACAACATCTTGAAACTCATGTAGTCGCGCCGGAACGAACACAACGTAAATTGTAGGAGATCATCTCTAGAACTCAGTGATGTTCTGAGCATATCTCAGTGAACTCAGAGTGGTATATAGATTGACGCAGGACAAGGTCTTAAATTTGGATTCCAATCATAATGACTGTCACACATGCAGCCGTAGCTAAAATTCAAACCTGGATAGAACCAGTCGTACACAATGAGGTCTTTTCAGCTCTGATATACTCAGACGACAGTAACAACCACAATCCGGAGAATAATCAAGACTAGACCGAACAACGAAGAGAAAATTAATATACTATGATTTGATTGACTAGGAACATATTGGATATTGTGTTGGAAAACGAGAAGAGCTCGAAATATCAAACCTCACAACCACTCAGTATTCCGGTAGATAGCGCAAGAAGACACAGACACGAATCTCTGAACCCACTCCGCACATTCGCCATTCCCCCACTATCACAGCACCGCCAACCACCTAAAGCGCGTTAAAACGCCGCGTGCCCTCTCCACGCCTCGTTCATGAACTCATCGTCACTATTATACGTTCCATAAAAAAACGGCTCCTCCCCCCCCAAATCCTCCCACACCCACCACCTCGAAAAATCCAGCCCCCACCTCCTCGCATCCAGCACCGGCTCCCCCGCCTCCCGCACCACATCCCGCTTCGCAAAGTCCATGCTCCCCGGAATCACTTCGTTCAACCCCCTCCCCTTCCCCTTCATGATTGTCCCAATTCTCACCAGTTCCATCCTCGTCGCCCGCAACACCCGCTCCTCCATGTCATCCATGTGCTTGCCTTGCGCATTCAGCCTCATGACCTCGGCGTACTTGTCTCGGGCTTGGACGTACTCGCGCGGGTCCATTTTATACCAGGCTTCGTCGATCTGGATGGGTGTGCCCTCCACATGCCCAACGAAGAAGTCCATGGCGATGCGCTTTGCAACGCTGTAGTCATCCTCAATATCGAGGCCGACAGCTCTCATCAGGCGATCTGTGCCTGCCTCGACACTGCAATGGTCTTCCCCGATGGGTATGAGCTCGCCGCAGTTGCAGCGTTCGAAGATGCGTTTTTCATTGTGGGCGGCGATGAAGGCGCCGAGCTCGTTAGGCCCGCCGGGGAGTGCGGGGTGGTACAGGAGGCGTTCTGGGACAAAGCCCGCAGGCCAATCATCGTCCTCGTCGTCGGAGGCTATGCTGGCTGTGGTTGAGGGGGTGAATTGGATCGGGGAAGAACTAGCTGCCCAGTCCTTGTCGTCGTTCGCGGGAGTGTCGTTTTTTTGATTGTGAACTGCAGCAGTTGCTTTTATTGGGTAGGTGCAACGGGTTCCTCGTGGGTCGGACTGTAGAGGCGTGATATAATCACGACACCTCCTTGCGCTGCTTGAGGCTTGCGGGGTAGAAGTGTGGTATAGCGGTGTGTCCATCTTCGGGAAGGCCAATCGCTCTTTCATCATGCGAAGGCTCGTTCCGACGGGCATTTCGCAGGATGAACTTTCGCTTGAATCGGGAATATTATCAAAGCTATAAGCCACACCACGTTCCAGATGAAGACAGTATACTGTGTCAGGCTCGCTGTGGAATATTCTGTCACCGAATGTGGTGACGCCGCTTGTCGACGTGGTTCTGTTGTACATCCGGAAGGTGAGGTCTACATCATTCATGATGTATCCAGGCGTGTGACCAGGTCTCAGATCGAGATTGATGAAGTGGGCGGCTGGGGTTCCAAGCCAGAACTCAACCTTGAGCTGGTTTCGGCCATTGCTGTCCATGGCGATCATGTCAGGGGCGCGGTATGTGAAGCCCTTCCGAAAGGCAACCCCTTGTTCATCTGGAACAGGCGGATCATCTGTGGAACTGTCTTTTGGTGGATCAGACTTTGGCGGGTCGGCGAGTGGCCGGCTTGTCGTCGAGTGATAGAGGCTGTGCGCATTCCCAGTGTGTGGCGGATACTTTGCCGCTAGATTTGCCTTTGGTGGATTGCTCTTTGGTGCTTCGACCTTTGCTGAATCGGCCTTCGGTGGTTCGGGTTTGGGTGGACAAGGCTTTGGTGAATCAGGCTTTGGTGGATCAGGCCTTTGCAGATCAGGCTTTGGCAGATCAGGCTTTGGTAGATCACTCTTTGGCGGGTCGACCACCGGTAGGTCGGGCTTTGGTGGACCAAACAATTTTGACTCTGATATAGGCGAGTAAAAGATGGACGGGATGGGTCTTGGGTTCCCCGTTGTCGGCGGACTGATGGGCACAAGCTCGGATTGCTTTTTCCTCGAGCGCCTATTGGGGCGGATGGGAGCCATGTTGATCGATGAATGAGCCTTTCAGATAGAAGAGTGGCGATGGTGCTTTGCGGGGTGATGGGTGGGGAGCGGGATGGTTGTGTTGTCGTTGAACGTGGCTTTGCTGTGTGTGGTCACAGACAACGAAACGGTAGATGCCCGACCCTAAGCCACCTTTTCGATTCTTTGGTGTTCCATATTTTCTTTGCGATCGGAACCGCACTTTCGAAAATACCATCTGTAATAAGCACTATGCTATCAGTAGGAGAGTTGGTTCCTTAATAATTCACATAAAGATATTGAATGTTCTCCCGAGGATAGGCGAGACGGAACGGTGATTAGCCTGGGCCCTGGCCCCTGGGATGGCTGAAGACGATTATGAGAAGAGCCCTTCTGCCAGAAAAAAAGCTTTCCAAGTCACTCTTCCGGCAATAGGTGTTCGTTGACGGCGTAGAGCTTTACTTGTCCCATTCTCCACAAGATCTACCAAGCCGGGAATGCCGCCGTATGTCGCAATGGATGAGACCAGGTCGCGGCCCGCTGAATGGGCCAGATTTACAGCAACCTTCTTTCCAGAAGTGCCACCTTCTTAACTCGCAACGAACAGTTCTCCTTTATGTTTCTCGGCAGCCGAAATGAGATATCAATATCCGGACATGAACAGGTGTTCTAAAATCAGAATCACCGGCTATCACTCGTATACCCGGTTTTCGGTTCTTGTGTACGTACATCCGGGAGAGGACACATGATGACTTTTGGTAGGTCCTCCATGACCTCAAATACCAGTATATTTCCTTGAAGAAAGCTCGTTTCCGTTTCCTCCATTGCCGTCCTGTGCAACTATACGCCTTATCGGACATTCACCGAACTGACTGCGCGAGTCGATTACAGTGCGGAGGCGACGGTAACAGGATCAGAAATAATCATGTTGTCGTGTGCTGGATTCGGGTGTTCCGCTCCTTACGATTATATAAAGGGGTACTCGACCTCTGTAGTTCGAATGCAAAACCTAGGTTACAGAGAACAATATATCTATAGGGTCACCAACAAAGTCGACTTCATCAAGGGTGTACGAAAAGACATACGACTCGTCGAAGCAGAGTGTGTAGAAGCTGTAAAACAAGCGGAGATTGCACGTATATTACCCCAATATAATATCTCGGCGGTGATTATATGCTGCCAATTATTAGTTGGAAGATATCCGAGGAGTGGTTATATTCGTTCTCGATTCCAAACGTCATTCAATGGATCAATATCATTACCACAAGCTATATTCCTGTTGAAGTAGGTAGCAGTAACAAGTATTTTTGCATCAAGCATCCGACCACTCCGTTTCAGTTCATCAATTCCATTAGATCATCACGCGAGGATTCTTTTTGTTGCACCATATAAACGCCATCAATTCTATAGTCAATTCTATGTGATCTTCTCCTCAATCCACTCAATCCCAATCTACTTAATCTCGATAGTCCTCATATTTTTCTCATACGCATAAATCATATGCCGAGTTCAAAAACTCAACTGCTTACTCGTAGAGCATAAAAACAGCCCCCTTACCGCTCTTCTCATACACCAGCCGTTCGCTGCAGCAACGGCAAATAATCGAAGCTAGCTCTATCAATCTCATCTGTGCAACGTCGAGCCGTCCCAGAAACCAGAGAGATAACGAGCCGCATTCTCCTTCTTCCCACAACCATTCCATCACTCAAACATCATCCGTCTCTCATCCCTCCATCTCGAGCATCATCGTTCTATCATCCGTTCATCTCTCAAAACGTCCCTCAGAGCATCCTCAACTATCATCCTTCAAAATGCCCCACCTCATCATGCCCTTCACCCGCAAAGACGGCCCCAAGAAGTCCAAATTCTTCCGCACCACCGAGGTCAAGCTCTCCAACGCCGCCAAAGAGGCCGCCGAGCTCCTCAACATCATCACCCTCCCGCTCGTCTGGTGCCCCTCCGAGGCCAATAAGCTCATCCATGCTTTCCAGCAGTGCGAGTACGAGATTCTCTCTGACCCCGACCTGACGCGCTTCGTCGACGCAAACCTGCACAAGTGGCAGATGGCCATGTACAAGCACAACCAGGAGTACAAGAATCTGTACGAGTGCATGATGACGCTCAAGGCACTCTACAAGAAGCGCGTCAACCGCGAGGACACTCATTGTGGGGAATACGCGCTGTGCTGCAACATTAATCTTGGCTGGGCCAAGTTGAGTGATACGTTTGATCCGTATGTGATCCGTTACTTCAATGAGACCGAGCATGGGAAGAGGGATAAGAGTAAGAAGGGGAGATTGGTGGAGTTGGAGAAGAGGATTGCGGACCAGGAGAAGATTAAGGAGGACATGAAGGATAGCGGTTCGACGCATTGATCAGTGAGCTTTGTGTGACTGTGGACTGATGATAAACAGGTATTCTTGATGATGGTCGTGACTGGCGTATGAACTATGACGGATGGTGAGGCGGAGGCCATTCGAAACCGATGGTGTGCGGTGTTAATTGCGGTGGATGCCATGAGGAGTCCTTTCTTGACATTTCTTTCTGATTTCGTTTTTCTACCTTCGTCTTTTGAGGGCTGATATGTTGTCGTGTTGCAATGTCTGGGGCGTCTGAGGCCTATACCAATGATTCCTTAAGTTTCATCTTTCTTCATTTCTTGCTTTCTTTGACGACAAATACTGGTACCATATCTGTTGTTAATTGCACCTGTTTGTTGTTTGTGGACTTTGATTCTGTTCGTGCTTTGTTGATGCATACGAGTTATGCAAGACTTTCCTTAATGTTGTGGTGAATGCATTTTGCAATCTAGGCTGTCGTTGATATTTTTCCTTTCTGTCAAATTCATTAGCATGTTACATGGGGACTTTTATTTGAGTCGCGTTGGGCTATATATAATGCTACAAATGACATGATATTTTCGCAGAATTCAGGTCGCGCATATCCAACCCTCAATCAACAATGTTGACATCCTACCCCATTCAAGCTGTGCAGGGAGCGTTTCAATAGCTATTTTAATAATTCCTCTCTCCACTCCGGGGGTGTTATATGACTGTTGGTGGATGTCACTCTCTCGTAAAAAGGACTCACCACCTCTTGCAGTGACAGTGGAAAGATAGAGTTACCCTCATTGACTATCGCACTGCCTGCAAAACGTTCGACATTCTGGAATGATAAGCAATCGTTACAGTCAAAAAATTCGCTCTGTGAGCCTCACCTGGCCAGACCCTACCCACAATATTCAATTTATGTTGATGACCGAGAAAGCAAGTATTACAAACAAGATCGGTCTTCATACATCTTGGAAACATCAACCTATTGATGCCATAGGTTTCATGGTCCGGCGCTAGAGACCTTTCTTGAGGCCAGGTTTCTGGGAAATCGCAATTGTTTCAAATCTGTCCTGTGTATTATAATATACAGATTGATAAGTGTGATTGAATTTTATCCCATATAATAGCAAGCTGTTTGAATGACCGAACAGGCCATAGGTATATGTCACCCATTGATTACGATGGAGTAGAACAGCTAAAGCGTTGAGTACCAGCACTCCCGGGGGAGAGCTCACAGAGATCCTGAGCTCCCAGATAACAATAAATACTAAATCTACACCGGTGACTCACGATTTAAATCACGATCTACGGATAATAATACTCGACAGATGATATTATTCAAGAGTCTGCGAAAGCGCTCGGTGTCGCCATCTTCTCTCCTTACTCGCGTTTTGCGACCTATATACATACGTATCCGAGCATGTGTTTTGAAGATTTAGAAAGCTATGTGTATCATCTACCAGCTGTAGAACTCCTCTTCCGTTTTACTAACACCTATCTGAAAAACGGAAAAAATCAAATTTTCATGTGCTGGACAGTCACTGGTAATGATCTTGGGAGCGATGAGCTTGGCTGCAAGGTGACCAAAGTGGTTAGTGGCTTGGCGCCGCTCACCTCACCGTTGATGTATTCTACATGTAGTTCTGAGTTCATCTGCTGCACTTTTATGAGCAATGAAAATGGAAGTACTCTATCCAATCAATCCATATATTCTCCGATAAGACAGCTTAGAATCGAACTGTATGATCAATTATAGCATAATCACTTAATTAAAAAAAATGTTGAACTAGACGTCAACGAACCATAACTTGAAATGGCAATGTCTGCTGATCATGATGCCCCGCTGAGAGAAAATGCTGTGACATATATCGAAGTTCACCATTCCTTTTCGGGATCGAAACACATTGCAGCGACGACAACTCGCCGACATTGAAAGAGGACACGTGGGGGCTCCGTACCGTTATTCTATTGCCTTATTGGGAATGTTATTTTAGCCAGTCACAACCTCGAAATCTTGTTCGCTGTTGAATTAGGTCCCGTACAGCTAGAATATCCAATCCTAATCTCCACTCTCTCATTATCACTGTCAAACGGGTATTTCTTTCGAATATTTTAATACCCCAGGTATGCCTCCATCGACGGTGATGGATCCAAGTACGCAGGAGGACTGTTTCCATGCAATGCAAATCTTCACCCGAATGGTAAGTTCAGGGATCCGGTAGTAATTTGCAGGAATGGGCTGTTTTAGATATATCGATGATTACCTTGAAATAATAAATTCTTTCTTTCAATGATGAGTGATGAACGGATTAATAAGAAACAGAAAAACCAAAAACGCCTGTTCCAAGAAGATAGCAATCCCTCTCGAGAGATGCAAAAACAACACAAGGTAAATTATCCCTCCTGTACTGCGACCTACCCAGAGCAATATTAACGGGCATGCACTACCACACAGCGGGCTCGAGTTACAGACGTCGAAAAATCAAGAACTGAGCAAGAAAACGCAGCCACGAGCACCGATGATGACGAGAAAGGTGAATACGCCCCGACCGCTGCGAGTGATAAATCATCCAAGAATAAAAAGAGTGTCTTCCTGCCACTTGAAGGAAGGAATATCCGATTTCTGCACCTCCGGCACCCGGAGAACGGGCCCCTCGAAAGGGTTATGTTTGGCGGTGGGTAAACATTTACTCCTCTCTTTCGAAACTCTTTCGGTTTACAATGTATCATTGTTTTCAATGCAGCTTTTTCTAACATGTTTTCATCCATAGTTACCCCGCGGCTTCTCTGGAGATATGCGAGCAGCATCCATATCCCATGGGGTAACCCAATCTACACGCGAACCCCACCCCCACCTATCTCTAAACGCGGACGTAGTGTCTCACCTCACGTCGAGTCTCTCAGAGGCCCTTCCCCGACGCATTTCCGCAGCATGGGCAGCGGTGATACACCTCCGGAGGTCAATCGTATGGCTCACGGTGCTCACTGGACCTACGATTACTGGTTCTATGACGCCGAGCAGGAGCATTCGGAAGATGGCGAGGATGATGACGAAGATGAGGTGACCGAGAAAGATCGCTATGGCCTACAGACCCCTCCGTTCTGGTACATCGATGAAGATATTTATGGCCGTCCGATTAATAGTAAAATGGAACCATTTACGTTCACTCCGTGGAGCCCTCCTCTTGGATATTCGTAAGTAATCTTTGTGCGGTATCATGGAGATGTATCCCTCCGTTGACTAACATCATAACATTAATGACTGCAGCCGAGAAGCTCCTTATTGAGTCAGGATTCAAACAGCCAAACATGTTGCACGGTTCCGGAAAGATATTGAGACTTGGGCGGCCGATGTTGAAGATCACTACAAGTAAAAATGTGTTGCTGACAAAAGCTTTGTTTTATGTTGAGCTTTTCTAATCGATTTCAATAAAATTTCCTTAATTGCTTTATTTCACTCTGTTTCCTATAACACATATTTCGGTCATGACGGCTATCTCGAGGGAAGAGAATATGATGAGTATAAACTGAGTAATAGCTAGCTTTTAATCTTACCTGGGTAAGGAATATAAGTGCTATCATCGGCATATTCTAGGTGCGGACGTGCTGTTCGTATAAACAACAATGTCATCTGAGTTAGAGCATGCTGGTGCCGCTCAACATACTATGCTGTGGCTTATTTCGGGGGTACCTTATATTGTTCGATGCAACCAAACATTGATGTTGGAGAATTCAAATTCACCTTCATATCTCATCGGCTGAGGATCGTTCTTAAAAATGTATAAATCTTTACTGTTATCACTAGATAAAATATATATATATGTCACATATGTTAATGCACTTTGGCGATTTAATTTGATTCGGTCTGTCGAGTAAATATACATATGATCATGACGTCAAGCTCAGCTAAAATGACACAGATATTCGCCGTGAATTGTTATTGGGTCCCGCCATAGGTATCGTTCACATTCAAAGGCACAACGAGGGGCGCCTGTATGTTTAATACCATCTTGCCCGTCCTCATTCCATTCCACAACAAGCACCCTCAACCCATTCGTCACCACTAAAAAGCCTGATCGTTCATGAGCTCTTCAAATGTACAGCCCATTACCGCCCCACTTACAAAACCAACTGACACTCCCAAGCAGTACAGAACCATGCCCCGCTCGTTCTCCCCCGACAGAATCCGCGTCTTCTCCGCCACCGGCGAAGAAATCACCGGCACCCCCGAAGCTGCGCTCTCCCTCCGCCAGCTCGAAGGGCTCGAACCCATGGGTGACGGCACCTTCACCATCCCCGACCCCGACGAGATGACCACTCTCGACATCCAGGGCATCCACTGGGAGATCAACCGTGTCCAGCGCCGCATCGAGATGAACGAGCGGTACAGTAAACTATGCGCTCAGCAACTGATGTTCATCCAACAGACGAAGTTGATCAAGGACGCTGCGAAGATGGCCTTGGACGTCAAGGAGAAGTACCCTGAGATTCTGTGGGGAACGGCGGAGGAAGTGAGTATCAGGGTCGTGCTGCAGGTCGCTGCGAGGCAGCTGGGGGAGGATAATCGGAAATTTGATGAGGAGATGGTGGATTGCAAGAGTGAGCTACAGTTGCTGGAGGAGCAGCTGGCGGCGGAGACGCGGAAGTGTAGAGAGTGCTATGCGGAGATTTTGAGGGAGTATGGCCTGATGACTGAGGGTCTGGAGTAGGGGTGCGAGAAGGAGTGTTTGTAGGAGTTGTACTTTTCGTGTATTATAAAGAAGCGCTCCACTCAGCTTAACTCATCGGACGACAATCTCATGCCACGTATACTTTGAGCGCTGATCAGTACATAGGTGTCATTTAAAAGATCAAAGGATAAATGACGCATAGCATAGGTGTCATAAATGGAGGACTGCGCGCTGCCTCCTATATTCGAGAAGACTGACAACCAGAGGAGTATAGTTGTCGGCGCGGTAAAGGCTTGAGATGAGGCTCAGGAATATCTCGTCGCGCTGTGGCTAGGCAAACCAAATGTACAAGTATACAATTTTACTGGTCAAGAGACCGATCGAGGGGGGAAGGCCCTTTACCATCTCTCACAAATCTTACCCATTCGTAACACAGTCGTATGGAGGCAAATACGAGAACAAACTCATGGGTACGATTCCCAAGTAAGATTATGTTTTGCCCTACTTCTACAGCCGTTTTCATAATATTAGGCCCAGCCGAGCGTCGTAACACATAGTGATAATCCACAGTCGATTGCCTCCCCAGGTAATTCCTATAGCTTCATCAGGCAATCCGGCCGAAAGTTTAAATTCAGATACTTAAATTGGTATCTCGAGTTTCCTAATGAAGTAATCGTGCTTAACTTTGCAAGAATTTCTCTGTGTTACGACGCTCGGTTGGGCCTAATATTATGAAAACGGCTGTAATTTGAGAGCCCGAACTGGATGGACTCGTCACTGCCCTCACCCTGTAGCTTAGATGGGCTCCTATTACAGAGATTCGGGAGCAATTACCCAACAAAAAAAAAAAAAGAGGTTCGGGAGAGCGTCATGGGACATCACTCGTAATCTGCGGGTGATGCACTGTTTCGTTTTTATATATAGAGAGGCATTTATCATGGGGTCAGGGTCTTGGGAGTAGTGTGGAGCGATTGTATTTTACATCAATTGTCGGATCACCTAAGATGGTTTGAAAACAAGATCCTCGGACACACATAAGCTTGGTGACACATTTCACTTTGGCAAAGCTACGAAGATGTGAAGCAACAACAAAACAACATGTGGTTTATTTCTATAGAAATTCACCCTAATTCAAACCCCAGCCACATGCCATTTAGTGATTGTGGACGCCCCTCTCACACAAGCCTGGCGAACCAGAGAGGCACCCCCGAAGGATGAGACGTGATGGCCTCCCTGCCTCCGTGAAAAGGATCCTGAGAAGGATGTCGGAAGATACTCTCGAGATACGGGATAATAGGGCCTTCACGGAGAGGTACAGTGTGGGCGGTTCTTGTAAACGACTTGTTGAAAGAATTAGCATGTTGTTCGACGAGAGTGCACGTGCAAGGAGATAAATTGCCACATACCTTGGACCAGAATGTCGTTGTAGTGGGTTTGCGAGGCGAAGTACCTTAGCGAGGCCATCCGCATGACGTTGATCCTCGTCTTCGTCACCGTAGGCCCAGCAGAACCACACCGTTTAAACAGGACAAGCGAACCATTGGACCCATAGATATATTTCGGCCGGAGAAAAGCACGGAACCTAAACATACGTATTCCCGGCCTGCCGGAAGGCGATGGCTATAGGTGGACACTGGGAACCGAGATTCGCTGCGTTTTTATCGTGGTATTCACGGCCAGAGCGGCGAGTGCTTGATACTTTTGGACTCGACGCCCAGCTCTCGTTGACTGCCTGTTAATTACTACGTTAGCTAGAACCTGAGCACTTAAGAGTTTGGATGTACCTAGAACACCAAAGGCTAGATAACGCGCAGATTTCAGAGTCCTGAGGACAGATCTTGCTGCATATGGAGAAGGGATAGCTTAATAGCTTCATCTCATAACTTCCTACTCATATGAAGGAAATTAGTAAATGTAGGTACCATATCGGTTAGGAGAAGAACATACGGCTCACACCCCACCAGACGTCCGACCCGGTACGCCACCATGTCTTATCAATCCTGGAAGGATCGCTGGTTCACCCAACTACTCCTGATTGCGAGCGCTGACCACTAGATCCCACTATCAACAGGTAGCAAATCAATTTGATTGCCTCATCCCACAGCTCGCTACTCACATGAGCAAAATTAGTAAAAGTAATTACCATTTCGAAGAGGAAAGATCGTACGACTCCGCGCCCACCCGAAAACCGACCCGGCACGCCACCAATGCTTTGTCTCTGGTTCATCAAACAACTTCAGATTGCGATAACTGAGGACTAAAGTCTTCTGTATATACACGGAGAGCGGACCAGCTAAATCGCTCCGTCCCACAACTCCGATCCCTATTCATATGGTGAACATTAATAAAGGCACTTCTATTTCGAAGAGGAGAGGAACATACCGTTCTACCCCGGCCAGATGATCCGGCCACACGAGACCCACCCATGTTTTATCGATGTCAGGAGGATCGCTGGTTCGTCCAACTACTTCTGATTGTGACTGCAGAGGCCCAGCCCTTCCGGGTAACATTGTCATCCCAACAGTAGCAGAGTGCCTTCTGCTTCACCTGCTGGCGTGGGAACCTCCACATCGCGAGTTTAAAGGCGATGCTGCTGGAGATTGGCCATGCCGAGATGGCGTCGGGATTTGAGGGAAGAAGCTCCCAAGCCGGCAGACAGGGAAGGATGTAGGGTAGGTGAGGGAGACCGGCCTCCACTTCTCGGTCTCCCTTCCTGGTCACCGTGTTGTCTTTTTGCATATTTGGAGCACCCGGGTCAAGCCTCACAGATGCAGAGATGGAAGGGAGAGATAAGCTCGGTATGAGCAGAGAGCAGCCGAGCTCATCTTTCTTTCCCAGATCATATCATCTTTTATAGTTAATTAGCATATGCTGAAATAGGGGCGAGATGGATTGAATTGAAAAGGGAAGAGAAACACATACTGGACTTCCATACCGAACATCTCGATTTAATAGGTCTCCGGCTGTGGCCCCCGCGGGGTTCTTATAAGGGCAGAGAGCACCGAATAAGGAAAGCTCCATTTCCTTTCGATCTTGATGACCTATGAGTGGATGTCGATAGATTAGCCTAATACTCAAGACCGAAATTCATTCAGAGACTCACCACAGCAAAGCCTTGGTTTCGATAACCATGACCCTCGATTGGAACCCCCAAGATGTCATATCACAGACCTTCCTCGATGAAGGGCTTTGATTGAGGGACTGCAGAGAAACTCAAGGTTTCTGTATCTTGCCCCTGTTTCAGAGAGACTGATAAAGTTGATTAAGAGGTATGAGAATGAAAGATATGCAGAAGAAGGGTAATGCTTTTAGAAGACGATCTCAGGTGCCAAGCGGTAGTGAAAGAAACAGGGGGTAGTGAACACTCTTGTTACGAATCATGCTTGTTACAGGTAGTACAAATATACTGACTGACAGGCATACGCAACACTTTATACCACCGTTCATTAAATATACACTTATGTAATGTCAGAGATTCGCACGCTGTCGCCATACTTCTGCGGCAACCGCATAACGTATGCTGTGCCAGCCAATATATGGAATGCGCAAATCCCTTTACATTGAATCTCATATATCTGCTTATTATCATTCGTTGCACTCAATTCATCAGCTTGTTCGGAATCACAGCGGCTTACTCTCATGTAACCTCCCGGGCTAAAGTTCAAGAAAGGACGTTACTTACACGTATTATCAATCCTAAACTACAACAGATTTCCACAGGATATATATCAGTATTGCTCATCATGCGCGTAGAAAACTCGTATATCGCACTTTAATTCCCACTCCCGCCGACCGAGTGATAGCCTATGATGGCAACGTATCCCTCGGCTCCATTATGAAAATGGATATCCTCCGAATAGCCACGCCGGGAAAGATATGCGGAGTCTATCAATCGATCCTCGGTTATAGGTCTGGTGTGGTTAAAAACTGGATAGGTTACGCAGGTACCATTACTGCGCACGCTCGGTAGTCGGACAAGGTCAGAGGTTCGTACCTACATGTACGTATGCTCAATTGCTAGCATTATCCTTTCTATGTTCTACCACTGGAAGTCATTGACTTGTATTACAGGACGTCAACCTCGACAAACAGTCTTATTCCCAACTGATGGAGAAACTCCCGGCTGTTAGAGCGTAGAGAATATATATGTATCACCATCAATAATTCATTTCGGTACGTACCAAAGGCTTTTGGGGTTGAAGGTTCAAGATTTGAAAATCATACCGTCCGTTAACGACTATAACCTAGGTCTTCTCCCATAGTGCAGAAAGTCTCAGGTCGGTTCGTCTTCTCTCCTGCGCCAAGACGTTCTTGGCATTTCCACATCTACCAGGATGATTCGCGAACCAACAGCACAAACATAACGTCTCTAATCTCTCAAGACCATCGTCATCCATCACGTAGTGTTCCTTCACATCCACACTCATTCAAAATAAACTCAATAATCACAGATATTTAACCTCCATTTCGCCACCTTCCTTAATAACCAACCACACTCTCTTTAAAAAAGAAAGAAAAAGCACCTGCATCGCAATAGTATGGAATCCCTCACGCCCCTCTTTGTCCGTCAGAGGTTCCTCCACCGCAAGCTCGACATCTACGGCAAGCGCTACGGCGAGCATATCAGGACCCTTGACGAGGATCGCCAAATTGCTCAGCAGTTCTGCCCTAAAATGATGAAAGCGTTCGACCAGCACCAGCGCTTCGAGATGTTCAGACTGAAGGAACGCATCGGTGAAATCATGGAGAAGATCGAAGATGTACAGAAGAAGATTGAGCAGAAGCTTGAGGAGTTGAGGAGCCTCTGGATTCTTTAACCGGGACCGACGAGGTTACACTGCCGAAAGGGTGTGGTAGCTTCATTAGTCAAATAATTGCTATATTGAACAGGGAAAGGTAAGTAGTACTCCCAATACATTTGAGTCAATACTGAAAAAGGGTGATTGGTTCGATAGATGCAGGCAGAGGTCACGCTTGGGAAGAGAATTCATAGGGCGTGAGGGAATTGCCGAGTATTACTTATGTGTCTAGAGTCCACGTTCGTCAAAATAATGTCGCTTCAATATAATATGCTGTCACATCGAAATAAGATCTGTCAAGACCGTATTCATCTTTCATCAACAGAAACATTAGGCAACTGATAACGCAAATGGAATATAACTTGTTACATCGAACGGGAGGCGTAATGAGATCGCTTACAATTCCTAACATTTCTCAGTATGTATATAACGTTCCTGACATCGCTAGGATCCAATATACATCCGCCTTATACCGTCATATACATGGTCCAAAAGATTCGCAACACTCGTACTCCTTTAGCGGTTGAGATTTGGTTCAGCCCTCAAGCTAACCTGGTGACCAATTTCTTATTAGTTCTACCCTATTGGCGAGATTGCTTAGCTGTTCGGTGATTGCTCTCTTCCACTATCCTGCCCACCGGGGAAACAGAACCTTCGTCTATGTGTTTTTTGCGGGTTGTTGGGCCATAGGTTGAGAAAGCTCGATCTCAATCAAATAACCCTAACCCAAACACTGATTTGGTTGGATTGAATGTTGGCTGTTTTGTGGACAATGAATTAAGGTTTTCTCTCGCAGACCTTTTAGAATAGTGCAAGGTCAGCGGGGGAGGTCTTTTTCTCGGTGGGGTATACAGGCAGAGATCTTTGTAGGATCTTCGGGCATAGGTAGGGATATATATGAGAGTGGATTATGGCTGTATAGATGTAGAGTACGATTTACTACAGACCTTTAAATGAGTCTAATTGAGAACACTAAACTGTTAGTTTGTACTGCAGATTAACTACCAATATGATCGCTCTTACGCCTATACCACGTGGATTGTAACCCATTTCCGACTATCTGAATGACGCAAATGGCAAGCTCTATATCCCGCTGAATGCCAGCTGCTGCTAGAACAGTATGCTGTCTAATCGATAGCATGAGTAATCAGCAATCAGGAACTCTCCTATACGAAAAGTTAAGTTCCTCTATTAGACTAAAGTTACTTGATCAAGAACAAAAACATTCTTTATTTTCTTCATTCTTGAATGGGTTTCATCATTTCCACTTATCGCTTTGATTATTTCACGATATTTTAAGATATATGATTCACCGTAGAAGGATATTCTAGTGACTCTATCGAATGCCTGCTTAAACTCCTTACGACCCGCTATGTGTAACATTGGACAGATATCATGAAATCTGCTTCGTGGACCTTGTCAAGATCAAAGACAAAGCTCTTAGTCTCTTTAAAACTCTCCATCGCACCAACTGCTTGAAGATGAGGTATACGTACGTAACTTTATAACCCTAACCCTCCACCTACTCATAAAGTCCTCCTCCTCCGGCAAGACCTTTCCATTACCCCTTCACCACACACCTAACATCCCACTTTCGTTCATCCCCAGCAAGAAAAAGCTTCTTCATCACTCTACTGCCAAAAATCCACTCTCCTTCATCACCAAAATCAACATCAACCACACTTTTGTTCATCAGAACAATCGATCACCCCCACCACCGTCAAAATGAATCGTTACTGGAACTTCTACCAGATCACTTCCCTCCCGCAGTCGGTTGATCGTAGCAAGCTCATCCATGTCTACGGGAATGGATCTGAGGAAGACCCAATTGGTGCCTTCTGGGATACCATCGATACCCTCAATGTCCCCTCCGCTGTCGATCTCTACGGTCTTGAGATTCACGTCTTGCCAATTTCTTACCCCTCTGAGCCTACTACTTGGGAACGTGCCAAGGCTCGTGGAAAGAAGGTTCTTAAGAAACTTAAGGTCGACAAACAGATCTGTAAGTTCAACATTTGTTTCTTTTTGCTGATATCTGTGATATGAGGCTGAGATCTGGGTAGTTCGCGGTGGATGGTGGCAGTAGTTCCCTCACGGCAACGGACAAGGATTGATATTTTCGGAGTTTATGGATGGACCACCGGCGTGTGGGAAATATAAGATGGCTGAAGACCTTCACGTTACTTCAATAAGGAAAGGGACTTATTTCTCTTTGCCTTTGTCGTTGTGGAGGATTACACTCTTTTTTTCACTTTTATAATTTGACACTTTCAACGTTGAGCTGTGGGTCGTGGAGATGATTGATGTACTGATGACAATACTTGTTCATCTAATGTCAAATACGGATATCTCTTGCTGTTACAAAATAGTCTTCTTACTACCTTTCCATTATTTCTTTCTGTGCATGATGGTGGTGAAACTACGTAAAGAAGGGTGGGAAGAAAATTCTAGTCATCCCTTCGAAAAAAAAAACAATGAAAGATTTCACATACGAACCAGAAGCTTTTTGATTTGAATCATTAGGCTGGAAGCTCGAAAGTACGAAACTGGGTGTTGTTCTATATACATAAAAGAAGGATCCGGGGGTCCCCAAACCCCTCGTGATGGGGTTACATGTACTCTATGCTAACATCACCTCTTGAGTTCATATTGGAATTCAATATTACGAGTTTCCCAAAGTTGAATTTTGAATAATATGGCGAAATTACTACTCTCGCAGTCTTCGAAGATATCACAGGACTGTGCTAGTTTTCCCGTACCACTGATAAAAATATATATCTGAAATGAAGTACACTCAGGATCTTAATTATAAATCGTATTGTTATATTTTCCTTTTCCTTGATTTCGGGTTGTCGTCGCATCTTTCCACGAACCCTCCATACGGTCTAGTCAATCATAACACTTGGCATCTTATATAAATCCCAGCAGACTCACGCGCCCCAGCAGGAGCCACCTTGACCCCAAGGAAACACTCCCCGCCACTTTAGTCATCATACTCATCCCACTCACCCAAACTCCAATAGTCACAGCCACTCACTCCTACTCCACTTCCACACTTGCTCTTTCATCCCAGCTTCAAGCATCAGGTTTCTCATAGTCTTCGCTCATAACCCGGTACCTTTTCACCATCTTCTATCTTTGATCCACAACCTGCCTCCCCTTTGCCTCTCTGTCTCCACAGCTTCTTTCCGCGTAGGGTTCTATCGATGCTCTTCATGATGGCTACGTTGCAGACGCGTGACGGAGGTGATAAGTGGGCATCATCTTGCATTTGTGTGGTATGTTACCTCTGTCCCCTTTCTTCACTGAGGTGATGGCTAATGATTCAAATTTAGAATTCAAGAGATATTCGGATCTCTTGTACATTTGTGCTTTTGAGCTTCGCTGTCCCATGGATAGGACCAGAGTCTCTTGCTCTCAACTTGGTGTTGCTACATATGACTAGTATGTAGAGCGGCGTCTGATTAATTAAGTGATGAGCTTGCATGGTATCTTATCACGAATCTTTTATCAAAGCTTCTCCTGATGGTTGCTAATTCGTTGGTGATTTAGAGGGGATTTTCCTATCCCATTTGTTGTTAAATTCTTTCCACCGGCTTCGAGTGGAATCGTTTTCTCTATTTTTTATTGCTGCTCAGCGTTATAAAGCAAGTACAGTTTTCAATTTTTGAATCTCTTTCTAATATCCTTATGGATCCTACTCCGCTTTCTATCCGATACTAGTTGCTAATAGATTAATATTTTCAGCAGAATTCTATCTCAAATTTTCCTTGCTCTTCGACATAATCTTAGGTTTTATTCTTCTTACCCGCTTTCGGGCGGTGGTAAAGGCAGGAAACAAGTTCGATAGATGCGTTTATCTGGATAATATTATTATTCTTTCTCTGGATATCGAAGTAGTATTTTGATCATTGCTGATGCCTAACTAGGCATCCGGGAGTGTGTCTAATCTCCTTGGGTTTGGATTTTGAAGCCAGCCCATTAACGAAGTGGCACACACCGGTCTGCTATTTTGATCCCATTCTGCTCCCGTTTCTTCAGTATATATGAACAAAGAACATCGGAATCCTAAATATATCCATACTGTTTTATGATCTTGAGGATGACAGTGGTTCTTGGCGAAGCGTTGCTCTTCCCCTACTCACCGAGGATGAGACAGAAGGGTTGGGGATGGGGGGTAACAGTTCGGTTAGCCATATGGCTAACCCATGGTGGGGTGGTTGATCTAGCTATCCTCATCTATCCATGAATGAACACGTGGGATTCTGATAGCTAATATATGTCTAAGTTACCAGGGGATTTTCGGATCCCCTTGGAGTTGCGGCGACTGTGTATGCGGGTTTATATAGTTGTCTGGGCTGAGAGGTTGCAAATAGTGTCGGAATGAGTTCGGGGGTGCGCGTTGGTATGGTTCATTATTCATTTTTAGATCTATATTCGGTGATAAGTGCTGACGGTACAAGGTTCCCAGGAGACTTTCGGATCCGCATGGGAATACCCAGGGTGCCTCGGGGGTGTAGTGTTGCCCGCACATCTGGCTGTTGTTGCTCCCGCTCCTATGAAGGGCCCGGGAGCACATCAATCTCGTGTACCATTCTTTCGACGATTTCTTGTATCCTGCCCTGACGATGAGGTCGGGATGAATGAACCGGGGGTGTGTTCTGTGTCTAGGGTCCGCACTGCTCTTCACCGTTGTTTCTAACGCGCTGTTAGATAGCTCCGCGGTATCTACTGGGCATAACCTGCATCATTCAGAAGCCGCACTGGTATGGATGCTTTCTCAGTATCTCACATTCGTCACCGTTAATTAACCTCATGTCTTAGCTTATCGAGTAGGAAACGCCAGGTGGCCCTCCTATACATCTCCCCACAGCGGTATGACATCCGCAAAGACCTATGCGATGCATTGTGTCCAGTGACATCTGTTGGAGCGACGAAGGGGTTTTTCCGATAGCCTGAGCGTCATATGAGGTGACTCATCAAAGTGGTTCATGGTCTATCGGCCTGGAAATTTCCTCCTCGGGCTCAGGATAAAACCGATAAAGAGCTGTGAATACTCGAAGGGGTCATGGGAGGTTGATCGGTTGATGACCTATACTAACACGGCCTTAGAGTCTTGGAGAATTGAAATGCGAGGAACCGGTGGATTGAATATTTACAGTATATCATCTGCCACCTCCGGAAACGGTAAGGAAAAGCTCCCACCGCCATATGAAGCCTGTACTCTTGCTCTAATAGGGCAGGAGACCGATGACATAGATTTTTGACGACGTGCGGTAGCTAAAAAGAATATCAGAAAGTGTAAAATTCCTTACTAAGAAATTGGAGATGCTTCGTGGTTTGTTTGGCCTAATGTGTGAATATAAAAGTTCTAGAGTCATTCCCCGGGTAGCTGAGTTTCATATGTACCGTGTGATACAAATAGTTGGAAGACTTTTTCGATGATCGACCTGCAAACTGCTTTTTTTGTGTTCAAGTCAGGCATTCCCTCTGCTCGAGGGGGACGGAGTGAGAGGGCAAGTACGTAGCCTGTTTGGGAGCGAAATGTCATTGTCAAGAGAAGATAAGAAAAACTCTCTATGAAGCGAAAAAAAATTATTTCCGTAGCGGTTCGGTTTTCTTGAATAAGCCTAGGAGAGACGTCCCCCGCCCAGGACCCCCAAGGCGCTAGCGTGCCGAAAGTGGTGTGGCGCCTGTGCCCAGGCTTGGCATTCACATAGCACTTGGGATAAAAAACACACATGGCGAGTGTGGCCTAACGGTTAGCACTCGCCCCCGGACGGACACCGTGAGGTTGTGCCTTGCCTTCGATTACAGGAGGTTCAGGGTTCAATCCAGGGGTGGGGGTAGTAGATATGGCTGGACCATCAATGCTACCTTTTGTACTTTTTATTTACATCCTGCTAAATAAATTATCTATATTAATATGCACGTTTCTTCTTCTCGTTTTTTTACTACGGGTTTCTGACTGGTGAAGGATACTCAACTCCAGTGGATGTCTTTACTATGTGTAGTATAACGCAGAGTATCGTTAAAAGTTTTCCCTATATACAGACGGAAAGCGATTAGTTAGGCACAAATAAAGATCGGGATAGTGGTCTCTCGTTCTCAGTTTTCATGCAGCAGTGATGTAGGTCAACAATTCAGGGCTCATATGTGAGGAATGTGTCAGTCATGGGAAAAGGATATAGAGGACGCCCTTCTCCCGTGGGTAAAAGGTCATGTAGGGGGTTGCTGTCTTCCCACACACGTGCAGTTTGATCTCGTTTTGCATTCGAGGCCTTCTCCACGTTCCAGCAGCGACCTGGCCGATGATGATGAGAAAGCTGCGTTGCCCACTATTTCTACAAAACATCCCAGTTGTCTCATGTGATTTATTCGTTACATATTCCCTCTTCTTTCGATTTCTATTTCCATTTCCTCCCTCTGTACAATCTCAATCGTATCCATTGCCGATCTTTGAAAACTGGCCCATGTTATGTTTAAATATGGCATTTATCCGGAGGTGTATATACGGTTTCGACAAGTAAGCTGTGGCTTTTGTGTGGTCTTATAGAGGCCAACTCCCCTTTCAAATAATGAATATCGGCTCGACGGCAATGCCCAATTAATATCTGTCGGGTGGTTGGCGGCCGGGGGAGTCGTGGTGTTGGGTACTGGAATAATGATTTAATCCTTCCGATTCTTAGTCTGGACATGCCCTTCTGATTGCCTCTAGAGTGTTAATGTTAGGGTTTTGACTTTCTTATTTTCCACGAACAAGATACATTGGGCAACAGAGTCGAGTTTGGAGGAGGAGTAGGGTTAGGTTAACACCTACTAGCGCATCCCAAATGAAACTAGGCGTCCTATCCGACGATCTTGGCACTCGCAGCAACCTTGGCACACAAATACCACCCAGGGCGTATAACACACATGGCGAGTGTGGCCTAACGGTTAACACTCGCCCCCGGACGGACACCGTGCGATTGGACCCCCTTCGATTACAGGAGGCTAAGGGTTCAATCCGGGGGTGGGGGTTGTAGCTATGGCTGAGACCATCAATGCAACCTTTTGTTCTTTTTGCGCACAAATATAATAATTTGCGCCGCCATGTTTTGGAAAATAAATTCATCATTTTTCTGAGATTTTTACATACTTAACTAAATGAATTTTATTTCGACGTAAGATTGATGGTAAAGAAACTGGGCGCATCTTTAACAGGCACATTACCGGAGGAGTGAGTTTCGGACATCGACGAAGAATTCATAAACGACGGCGTCAACAAACTATTGAGAGGTCTCAAGAAGAGCCATCATCTAATATAATGACGGTTAAATCCAAGAGTGAAGCCACGATACCTTAACAGCCCAAAATGTTATGATCTATGTTTTTTTGCAGCTTCTACATTCTCTAAAATCGACGTTCTGGAACCCGAATTCTGTCTTGATTTCAGAAGCGTTCTGAGTGCGTGTGGCTGCTGCGTTATCCACTGTTGTCGCTATATGTTGTATTTGCACTGTTCGGACTCCGTTGGGGGTGTAGAAAAAAGAGCGAATTCTATATAGGGATGATGGTTGTCTTTTCTTCGCTGCCAGAGGTTAACTATACCTCAGCAGAAGAACACCTGTCCGCCTAGGTCAATCAACGGATCCCCTCAGAGACGCATGTCGCCACATCAACGGCATATCTGTCCATCAACCCCGAAGACACCGTTCCCATGCGTCGATAGAGAACACTTGTAATGGTCCCCGTGCAACAGACAGCACCACCAAAGCCGAACCCTCAGTAGTCCCTCAACCCCGGCTTTCACATCCCCTTGCTTTGATCTCGATCTTCTTGATGACTGGGAGACTGATGTCGCTAGGCTTGTGGGGGTGGATATGGCAGGCGACGTTGCGGTACGGGGGCGGGGAGGTGTGGGCGTAGTAGTGCATATGGGTAATGGGGGGAGTTTGGTATGTTCGGAGGTGCCAGTGTAGATGTGAGAAGAAGGGTCGTGGCATTCCCGTTGATGATGCCTGCTATTCGCGAGCCCCGGGGTTATCCCATGACCCGTAGTTTGGTCTTGACACTGTGGCTATAACACTATCCTGCAACCCACCACTCATTAAACTATGCAATCCTGAGCTCCGCTCCTTAAGAATCATGTTGATGAGATCTGAGGTCGATTAGAGAACATACGGTCGACAACCAGGCACCTTTGGTTACTGGCGAAGGCTTCAAAGCCCTCTGCTACGGGTCAAGGGATAGCGTTCAGTGTTATCACTATGTGGTGATGAAAGGAGGTTCAGTGTGCGCTATGGCAAGGGTTGAACTGGGATAAGACTGCTACTGGCCGGTGTATGGTATTCATTATAATACAAGTCATTTATACCTCACTTTATCGTCACTTGTTTCCGCGCATAGAATTAATGAATGGAAAAAAGAAAAATTCTAGTTTCTGTACAACAGCAAGGATTGAACCCAGCGGCAAGGAAACCATAATCCAAGATCGCCAAGACTACAAGCCACTGCAACAAATTTTCACCGAAGCAAAGGCCGACGAACTGGACATGTGTTTACACACTGGGACGACAACATTCAAACCGGGAATTCAAACCACAGCAAACATAACCATCACAGGTCACAATCACGGTCACACACTTCAGAAACGAATCACGAGAAGCATGAAGGAAGAAAGAACACCACATTATATTTATTACCCCATATCCATGCCCAAACTAGCAGCAGCCACCAGTGTGATTTCCCATGAGGGATAGGGCAATAGGCTTTCTTCGACTTTGTCGATGCCCCCGCCAGGAAACCCACCACTTTCTCTTCTCGGTCCCATGCTCACTTGGAGTTGGGTTTGGGATGTTGAGTTTCCCTATTTCCGGTCATGTTAGAAAATGGTGCAACAAGAAAAGGAGGTTTTGGAGGTTACTACTTCGGGGAGGGGGGAGCACCGGCAGATGCCATCGTGTTGACCTCTACATGTTGCATTAGTGAGTTCGCTTTAAAAACGGGCGGCGAGAAATGGCTTACCGCCCACGACGGCTTTGCCGAGAATATCAATCTCTTCTTGGCAGGTAGCGTAGAGAATTTATGGAATCTGTTGGAGTTAATGATACATCAACAGCTATTCAGATGGTTTCAAAGGATGGAGCGAACTTACAGGTTGTGCCGATGGACATGTATCAGCCACCGGAATTCCACCGGCAATGTCGAAGCTGCATACGTGAGTACGAGGAACATATGCGATTTCAGAACTGGTGATGCTTACTATTTGTAGGAGGGGCGATCCCTGGGAAGGGATGCCCACACTACAGCAGCCACAACAATTCTCTAAGTCATTGATTAGCTTGGCTTTTTCGGGAGAAGTTGAGATGGGATTGATCTTACGTTTTGGAACGTTGGGACGGCCACCCGTATTTCAGCGATCGCTAAGTCATATTAGCTGATTATCTTGAAGAATCAACGAAAAAAGGAAAAAATACCGGGAGGAACTATGGGCCGCCAACCACCCCAACACCCAGAAATGACCTGCATTATAACTTAGATCATAATTCAAACTTGAAATCAATTAACGACAGAACATACAGACTGAAAAATCCCTTCCAACACCACCAATAAATTAATTTCTGCTGTTTTCCGTCAGTCCGACTCACAGCAGTGATATTGGACAAACCTACGTGTTGGTCGGTAATGGAGACAACGCGGGTCTCTCTTACATGGGCTAGGGGGGAGGAACCGGCTGCTAGCCAGCGCCACGACGTTCTCCTTCTTATTGTTAGTCCACGATTGATTTCAACTGGAGAGATAGGTGCCGATTGAACTTACCCCTTTATTAACACCCACCGCCCCCAACCCGCAGATCCACCACCTCTGTCCGGATCCCGGACAGTGAGGTAGACGTTGGTGGGGTATCGGTGGGTCCTTTTCGTCCCACATACACCGATATTGCGGGTGGGATTGGCTATACACAGACTTCACGTTGTCAGCTTATTGTCACAAGAACTACGGTTTGGAGGATCGAGGATGTAACCTACTAAGTAGGGAGCAACACCAGTAAATCTGCCGATTTAGGGTTGACGGTTCTAAGAAATGAGAATAATTAGTAGCTGTTGTCAATGTTATCAGAGGAGTAACTCACCCGATGAACCTGGGACAACTTCGGCCTCTCTTACAGGGGAAGCCGCGCGGAAAAAGAAGAAAACCCCAACAGCCGACCTTGGGTCGGCCAAGGTTAGCACGGTTCTATAAGAAAATATTCGTTAGTTAATGCTTCGAAAGATTGAAGAAGGAAAACTCACCGTAAAGAACCGAAGACAACTCCAGTCTCTCTTACAGAGAGAACAGCAAGGGAGATGCGGGAGGAGGGCAGCCAAGGAGGCCCAGATGGGTTGCCATGTTTGTCCGGTTCCTGAAACAATGAACAGTTAGTTAACATCGCGAAGAAAGAGTACAGAAGGAAAACTCACCCAATAGAGAACCGGAGACAACTTCAGCCCCTCTTACAGCAGGAGTCGGGATGCGGGGCTGGGAGCCCGCACCCTCCTCCTGTGCTTTCCACTCGTTCCGTGGTCAAAGGAACCGGGAGACCGAAGAGACGGGTCTCTGTCCCATTCGATGGATGGTGCAGAAGGGATGGTGTTGAGAGGGAGAGATGGAGGAGAGAAGACGGAATGGAGGAATCCTGAGCATTCGAGGGAGGGGGTATTTATACTTGAAGTTTTATTTCGCCGCAGGATAAGTCATCACCCGCTTGGCGGCGGTGGAATTTGTCTTGGTATTGGATATTGTTACAAAGTGGGAATTTGCATTCAGCTCTGATGAGAGCTTCCGTACTTTTCATTCCTGGCTGTTGCATTTCGGGAAAGCCGGAGCATCTTCATGCTGCCATTCAACCTGTAGGAGGGAAACGCGTTCAGCCTGAATGCCTCAAAAGGCGGTTCTCAGTACCGTACAAGAACCACTACCGGCACAGCGTGTTCGTGTTCGTGTTCACCGGTATAACCCATTTCGTGCTTGTGAAATTCAGCCCCGAGAGCGGTTTGTCAATGTCAATAGCTTCGCGGGTCCGCCGCTTCCTGCTCTTGATCCCCTACTCCGCCGAATAAGCATCGACCATCACCCGACTCCGCACAACCGCGCCCGCTGCGTACCGATCGACGCTCATCTTCCAAGGACATCGTCCCCTTCAGCTCTCGCCTCCCAAAGCCTATACCTGGCATCTCAACCATGCCACCCGGCCACTCACCCGCCCCACCACCCCACAGCACCACCCCACACCACCGCAGACAAGCCACCTATCGATGTCAATTAAGCCTACATGTATTTACTCAAACTACTCCCGCGCCCCTTAGCCCAGCCAGCATTCAGAACGCCTATCCACTACATCCACCGCTAAGCTACAGAACACACATAAAACCAACACGACACTCCCGCTTGCCCGATGTCCCCTGCATTAGGTGCTGATGAGAATGGTCAGAGAAGAATACACTCATTCCATAGTCCAAAATATCTATACTACCCCCCTTCGCCTGCTCAGCGGTCTCCTGTTCAGCGCAACACAACATAAAACAAGCATCTCGGCGGCATGACTGGTGGCCAGTTTCGACGGGGAAGAATGTCAGGTCGCAACCACCGTCCCTAGTACTAGCCTGACAGTTTACAGGTTTGAACTGGGCTTCTACATTGGTAGCTGTTTAGAAATACAGTGAGTGCTTTCTCGTTATTTGACCCGTTCGATTCTCGGAGGTTACATAAACCGTTTTTATATGCAGGTAGAGCTCAACGAACACCCTGTCATAACTCCCACCCTATGATAAACCTGCACACCTTTGGTGTTGGCAGGGTTCCTAATGATTAGGCGCCAGGGCCTAGGAACGGGTCTTTAGTTGAAATAGGTTATTATTCGGTGAGTTTAGGTTTTGGTCTTTAACGTAAGTTCAATTCAGTACGGTGCGGTTTTGACTAGAATGAAAATAGTTTACAACCGTTCGAAACACTAACATTATAATTGACCTGTCCGCTCAGTTCCAGGATATAAGACACGGTGTCGTCGGGTCTCCTTTACCATAATCGTCGACACCGGCGGGGACACACTCGGTTACCCAAAACCCATCCCCTAGCCAGGCTATTTCTCCTCAGCCATCCAGCTCTCTCCCTCACGATACCCCACTTCGAAATACAACCACGCCACGCCCGGCGGCCAATGCTTCCCTTCAACTCTCAATCTTCATGAAACCCACAGACCGACCCAGCTCCCAGCCAACACACGCACCCACGCGCCCCTCCCTGATCTTCACAGCCTTCCACATAGCGAAGCTAGACCCACTACTGACGAGTACGGATTTCCTCTCTCTGGTTCTCCTGGTAAACGGAGGGTAAATTGGTCGTAAGGACAGGAAGCCCGTAGTTTGATTCCTCCCCCGAGAGCCTGCTTATGGAAAAAAAAGGCTGCTGGTGTTGTATTGAGGAGAGCTCAGGTTTTGTTCTATTTTTTTTTCTTTTTCTTTTTTTTTTACAGCGTGCTAAAATTACAATATGAGCCGTGACATGCGAAGAGATTAAGGTCAAAATGTAAAGCGTAAATGCAGTCCTTACCCGGCATGCCCCGCGGGAGTCCTCGCGGGGGAGTGGGAGTCCTCAGTTCGCAGATACAAAATCGTATATTCACTTACATTGATTGATTTTTAAAAGCTAAAAAAAAATGTACTCCTCGTTTTCGCTCCAGTGCGCAAAAAGGACAAAAGGTTGCATTGATAGTCTTAGCCATAGCTACAACCCCCACCCCCGGATTGAACCCTTAGCCTCCTGTAATCGAAGGGGGTCCAATCGCACGGTGTCCGTCCGGGGGCGAGTGTTAACCGTTAGGCCACACTCGCCATGTGTGTTATGCGCCCTGGGTGGTATTTGAGTGCCAAGCTTGGGGTAGGCGCCTTGTCGTTTCGGGAGTGCTAGTGCATTTTGCTTCATGCACCACCACCGTACGCGTGTGCAAACGTCCACCGAGCGAAGTCTATCCTGCCTTATAGACCGTCAGGACTCCGGGAAATGGAACCAGTGGATATTCGTTGGGACTATAGGTTCCACCAATTTTTCTTTTCTTCATTGAAGTGAACGCCGGCGGAGATCGATATGTAAAGTTCTTGGTCGTAAATCATGGAAAGGCAACCAAACCACACCAAAATATACCAAAATTAGCCTAAATACAACGAACACCCACAACCATTTGAGATCAGGGACCAACAAGGCCGTGTAGAGTAAAACCTTGGTTATCAAATTTAATACATATAAAAGGACACTCTCTCAGGTCAGATGTTGACGAAAGTAGATAAGCTAGAAGTAGAGCAACTCAAACCCTGGGAACTAACTTTGATTTCTCTTCGTAACTAACCGCGTTTTTTCATCTAGGCTACAGCTCGAACTGCCGATTTCTCGCTGCCGGTACCATACACCAGACCTGCATCAAACGCGGTCCAGGTTCCGAGGCGAGGCGAAGGAGTGACATGTCCACTCTGAGTCGACCTTTGTCCTTCTATACCCTCGAAGTCCGGCGCTGTTGTCCACGAGGTGGTTCAATGTTCATGAGTAGGGTACAATTAAAAAAACCATGCGGTAGAGGAAAAGTGATAGGAATATTCTCCATCCATTACTAGCCTCGGAGTAGGTTATACTGTCAAGCGTGTGTGTAATACCTAGAAATTATCCCTGACTGAATTAAAGAGTGAGGATATTTCGGGGGTGCACAGCTGCAGAGACGATTATAGACTCAGCCCTAACCCTGTTATCACCGGCGTTTGTAACTTTCGAGCTCTGGCGTGAGAGAGAATTACCGGCAAAGCCTAGCGCGGTTTCAAGAATAAATCACAGTAGTACTAGCCCTCATATCACTGCTCGAAGGGAAAGTGAAGAAGAAAGTAAATGTCAAGAACCGGATGCTGTATGCACTTTATACAAAACCCAGTAAGAAACGGTTCTCACTATTAGTGTTTCCTAAAGGTAAATTGCGTCAGGGAACTACTAGACCGCTTGCCTGAGTGTTTGCTGTGTCGGAAGTCTGTTATTGAAGTCGCTTCATCAGCGCTACGGTAGATAAGATTAGATAAGATCATAACGATAACCGAGGGCCAATGATAGCGAGAACTGATAATTTCTCAACGATCACGAACCTTCAAGGGGACGAAATACTAAGTAATGGAGCGTGGAAGGAAATACAATTTAAAGCACGAGTAAAAGTGAAGATTTTTGTGTGGCTTATGATTTTATTTCTTAATTATATGAATACAATGCCCCCGCTTCTTCCCAGCCACCAATATATTTATCTGCCCATAGTCGCTGCCATATTCAGGGGCAGTTTCCGTGGTGTTGGTGTCAGTAGATAGAGCACCGGCTCTATCAGTGCCTGGTGATGGTTTGTGACATCATGACTGCGTGACATTCCCCACCAGGGTGGAATATGGGCCCTTGATAGAGCCGAGTTTACCCGATCGTTCGTCATTTAGAGCTCCAGGGGCCAGATATGCCGATCAGTGATACGCTGGCCCCACATGCCTCGTCGGTCCCATCGCGACACGGTGAAGGGGAGTTTGCAATGCAGGATTTTGTGATGGATACCACGAAGCGAAATTTTCTCGATACGGGTACGTTTATGCCAGAGAAACCAGGAAAAGCAACGCTGTTTCACAACCCGGCTGGCGGCCGGATGGGTCCAGCCATTGCTAGGAGCGGCCAAGGATACATAGAATGTCCTCGAAAAACGTGAGCTTTTTGTGATTGTGAGAAAGAATAGTCAAGAGATTCTTACCGTAATTAATACGAATACCCGCTCAACTCGATCCTCCTCCACCAAATTAATTCCGGGGGTGCTCACCTGCCCACATGTATTGACTCATGTGGGGTGAGCTCAGTGGGATAGGTCAGAATGAACCTAAAACGAGTCGGAATCGGTACTCGAGGCGGGGGGAGCCAGAAGACCTTAGGCCATGATGAACGAGTTTAAGACCGACAAAGCATCCGAGGCATCGACCGAGGTGCCTCTTGGGCACCCACCAGGGCCCACAAATCTACCAACCCATGTCTTCGTAAGAGCCGTGGGCGCCGACCATACCCTCCTCAGGCAACCGATCTGACCCGCCCGGACGGTGTCGACGCTTGCTTTGAATTGTGCAGGTCCGGATATAAAAAGAGCGACTAAGGGATGTAAGCTAATTTCTTTAAATCTCAACCTGAGGGTGACTTACAGTCTGTACGGTGTAAAAAGTACCTTATTTCGATCATCCAATTTTCATCCTTACCCGGGAAAGCTCCCAGCCCCGGTATCGAAGCTCAACAACCCACAAGCAATGCATGAAGCAGCAGCGGTGTTGTAGCAGTGGTCATATTTCGCTAAAAATGCGAGTTAATGTGCACAGAATCTAATAGTATCCAAGGATTTGAAACTTACTACCTCGTTTTCCATTAATCTGGCCAAAGAAATTGCACAGGAGACAATATGGGGGTACAATTTGTGTCATAGCCCTAAATGGAAAGATAAAGACCAGAAGGCCGGACATAAGATCTTTGAATTTGCCCATAAAGCCGGAGACCGTCGTCTTTGGGGATGACTCTAGGCGCAGGAGATATGAAATTTAGAAGTGTCCATCGATCATCAGTTGAGCAGAGGAGGAAGGCTATACCCGATATCTTCGGCGATATGTGCGGCGATGCTGATAGCTCACTCGGATGAGCTCGAGGCGACGCAAGGTCAGCCGATATGCCTTTTCCAGAGGTCCCGGAGGTGGCTGTACTACCCTACCTAAACGACGATTGGAACCTGGACCATATTTTTATTCATCGGTTTCTGTTTCCGAGGAGTTTAACGTCTTATTGAAACCTGAACCATACTGCTTGTTGTGTATTCTGGGACCCAGGAGCAAGGTTGATGCGAGGGCGCAGGCAGAGGAGCCGAAAAAGATTGTGACTTCAGCCTCTATTATTCGTACTGCTCAGGAGGCCCAGGGAGGATCATACACTCTTCGGTGGGTTCCCCCCACAGAGAATTCATACACTCCTCTGTGGGTTACCCACGGAGGATTTATGCATCCCCCCGTTAGTCCCCCCACAGAGTGCGTTTTCCGCTGCTGGTTCCCAGTCGATTACCGAGCTCGAACTGAATGATCTGTCTCGCCGGAGGTTTCTCGCGTTAATTAACTAAGGTTTTCGGGAGGATTATTGAAGACAAAGAAACCACAGGATTCTAGAAACGATAGGAGGAATATATTGACAGGGCGGAATTTATAACAATGACAAAGAGTAGTGTATTATATTTAAGCCAGTTATTGATGTTTTTAAGATAAACAATATAAATAAAGAAAGACTTACAATCTCTAACCTCCAGGCACGGAAGTAGGAAGAGCGAGAAGACAACTTCAGGTCTCCCTTACAGCTTTAAACAATCAGCCGCGGGCCACCACATAGCACCTCCGAATCCGAGCTCAACGGCAGAGATAAATCTTCTAATGAACGGTTAGTGGATGAAAACAATGAGTGAGATGGCGAAAGAATGCCTACTTCTTCGATATCGGAGCTCTTTTCACAGGAAACCAAGCCTGGAGCGGACAAAAACCCCCGAGATGTTTAATCATCTTCACCCGAATTGTCCTATGCATAAAGAAGTTTACGCACGGAGCTTGGGGCGGGGGCGGATTATCCTTCTCTACTATGATTAGTTAGACTTCTTACTTTATCCTATAGGTTGTGTGGTTGAACACGGATACATACCATTGTCCTTCCTCTCACCGGCAGCACTGCTGCTCAACGGACTATACAGGATCGTGGGAGCTAGCCCACCCGGATGGCTCCTTATAGTCCTTCTAGAGCTGTGCTCAAGGACTGCCCCAAGAATGGAACAGGGCAGCGTACCTGCGGCGCCCAGATACCTCGAGATGAGATATCGATTGCCTAAGAAATGTTAGCAATATTAAGTAAACCTTTAAAATATATGAAATTCCACCTTTAATAAGTGTGAGACAACCGGGTCTCCCTTATATTGGCTAGTCAAACGTATAACTGTTAACAAATCGGAAACAGTGACTGCCCAAAATATAGAATAATACCAAAGGTAAAACCTCTCCGCCCGCGCAGAATGCTTCACAGGCGGGACAGAGACTTCTGGTAAGCCGAGAGCGGGCGTCACAAGGATGTAGCGGGAAAAGGTTCCCCGCCCTTTGAATACCGTCGATGTCCAGTCTTATGGCGGTTGTAATGCCCCCGGAGAGAAAGATAGATTCTCCGAGTGCAAGTGCCATACAGCTCATGGCTGCATCCAACTATAGCTAGTTGAATAATCTACCGAGCGACGGTACATACCTCGGACTCAGCTCGGGGGGTGAATTGAACTAGTCCATGTGCATGGTGATGAACACCGATAGCTATTGATGATTCAGCTACTAGAACGGATAGAAAATCGATTGATGGTAGTTAAGGGAGGTATTTACTCTAGAATAGTTTGTGGTCTGATGATAACTCTGGTTCCACTTACTAAAGATCAGTACTCATAGTCAGGTGAGAAGGTATAACTCCGATCAGTAAGCGATAGCCAGTCAGAAAGACTTACCAGATCAGATACTCTATTACCCCGGCCAGCAAGGTCCTGTATGACAACCCCGGTCTCTCCCACTGCGAACAGTCATGTCAGCAAATATTACTCAGGTTGCTGAAAACCGATATATCATGAAGCACTCACCAGATAGAATAATCTACCACCTCTGCCCGCAGAGGTGGCATAAGATCCTTTTGCCTCTCCCACTGCAAAAAACATCGTAGTCGTGTGAGAAAAAAAGTACAGAGATAAACTAGAAAGAATATATCAAGACGTACTCACCAGATAGAATAATCCACCACCTCTGCCCGCAGAGATGGTATAAGGAAGGACCGGTTACTCCCACTGGGGGTGTCAGAGAGTGGAATTGCTATTAAAGGGGAGAGCGTATCAATAAAACCCACCATGTCATAGTACTCTACCACCTCTGCCTGCAGAGGTGGCATAAGGCCCCTTTTGTCTCTCCCACTACAATCCACAACGCAGTCATGTCAGAAAAAGGTAGACCGATAAATAAGAAGGAATATATCAGGAAATACTCACCAGATAATAATCCATCACCTCTGCCAGGAGAGGTAGAGTCCCCGAGACAACAGAAACGGAGGCCCATATAGTACTAAAATCAAATTAATTATAGCTATTAGAAGACCCCGAGAAGGTGCTTCTTACGATGTGGTGCCATCTCTCCCAACCCACCGGATAAGACCAGCCTATCTCCGTCTCCAGATAGGTCGAGCCCCACACTAAGGCCGCAGCTATGTGTGATTATGGACATTGAGAAAGCCAGTCTAGATCTTTAGTATCAAATGATGATGATGATTTATCGGAGATGGAGTTATACCGTATCTCTTTTGACTGGAAGGCAGGAGCATGCCTCATCCAAGAGAATGGGACCGATACTGGCCCAGAGCCAAACCCCCCCCCCTGACGTTTATAAGGGCGTATCCTGTTATAGCCATAATAGTTAACGTTAGCAGAGTTAGGATAGAGAGTGATAGGAAAGTGAATTCGATCGAAGATGGGGAATACCTCTCTAGGTCTAAGACAACTCTGGTCTCTCTTACTGGTTGATTTCTTTCATGCACAGCCCAATGATTGGGTGTAGACATGAAGGCTGATGTAGTGTTCTGGAGATGAACCGGGGCGGCAGGTAGAGTATAAGAATGCTTAGGCGTTCTCAGATACTGAGAGGACACGGTGGGTTTGATCATGATTTGTCACTGGGATGACAAATGCGGCTGATCAAGAAAACATTGTAAACATAGCGCATTTGAGATTGTTGCAAGCAGTAAGCAGGGATAATATTACTACCCAATGCAGGCATGGCAACGCATGCTAATAATTACACCACAAGTGCGATATGGCAACCGGTATCTGCTGGAATAGTTGAGATTATTACCAGTTTTCATTGCATCTCTAGTTCAATTGTTCAATAATTGTAGTTTCCATCATTCATTAGAATATTAAAAACTATACAATATTACACTAAGACAACCGGAGTTTTCCTTATCACTTCTCAAGATTGCAATAGTTTATAGAATGAATGGAACTTTGTAATAATGTTAGATTAAATTCATTAAAGTATTACACTATATTATCACGAGCTTTAGGTCACATGAGATGCGAATCCTAGAACAAGATAAAGAGGAGAGAAGATAAACACTCAGGTATTAAGATAGATATAAAGATGACTTTTTATTCCCTAATAGAAACCCAAATATAAACACAAAAAGGAAAAGAACCACCACTGCTCTTTTCCCGCCACGTTAATCTTGCAGGAAAAGTAGATTATCTAGCCCCACCGGGCACAGATACATCTGTAGCAACTTTGTCCCCCGCTCCATCCACAGGCCTAAGATAGACCACCCCGTAAAATGCGCGCTTGGCAGAACGACTCAGCCGCAGGGGCTCGCAGGCCTCGCCAGAACCCAGCCGTGCACTTGTTACAGCGGCCAGTTTTGGTCAGGCAGAGATTCCCACGGATGGAAAATTTGCCCCCGACGTACGTCTTACGTCCCAAAGCTCTTTTTGATCCCCCGCTCCTTCTCAGCCACACCTTGTTTTTGCCCTCGGCGGCCGCCACAATCGTCAGGCAACGTTTGCCATGAATGATGAATCTCCATCTATGTAGGCGGCACGCAAACACCAGCACGGAAGGAAGCACGAGGTAGGCCGAGTCGCTTCCGTGTACAACCCATATCAGCTAATCAGACGTAAATCTTAGCAATCAGGAAACCACAAAAGAAACTGGCACCCAGGTGACCTACACTTATTCTACTTCAATACTTACGCCCGGGAATTAGTTGTCTTTTTGGAGTTGTTCAAAGTCCCCAATCAATCGACCACTTCATCTACGGCGATGACATGTTGGTTTAGGCCCTCGGTGTGCCCTTTTCGCCTCTTAATGACACGACCTGAACCCTGAATTCCCCCGATGACAGGATGAGATATCATGGGAATATTCATCTCGCTCTGCAACAGCTATTGCAGAGCGCGATTCATGTTTTGACGCGGCTGGTCAACTCCCCCATTGGGGAGGGGGTGGAGACATCGGGTGTATTCTGATTGTTCTTCATAGACTGTTGAGAAATACCATTAGCAAATCTGTAAGAATGGAGTATGGGGAAAATCATGTCATCTCAGTCAAGGACATACAGTTTTGGTCAGAGTTTTGACCATTGAACCTTATTTGTGAAAGTTGATATGGCTGGGATGAGTAACACTTTTACTCTTGGGGTTTAACAGAGATGGGGTTGTAAAAAGTGTTCGTCTTCTCCAGGGAAAACGTATCGACGCAAGACTCCACCAGCGCAGTCGTCACCATTGGAGGCGGGAGCTGTGGTGAGGTAAGTAATAGCGTATGGAAACTGGATTAAGAGGGCCATGTCACCTTGATTCCACATCTTCAAAGAAGAAAATACTTCCGCTACCTGAGCAGCGCCTGCCGCTAGCGCTGCGAACGAATCTACAAACTCATTTCTGAGTGTCGCCGCAGTATTGGCAATTTCCTTCCTTACTGAAGCGGCAGGGTCGCCTTCAGTGGGCTTTTGCGGGGATCGGGGCCGGGTGTCCGCTGTTTGGCGGCTGGGAGGGCCTCTCGTGGACCTTCATGTGCTCCTTGAAGGCTTTCTTGAGGGAAAAGTATTGTCGACAACCCGGGCAAGAAAATCTTCTAGGGCGTTCTGGGGGCCCATAGGCAGCAAAGTTTCGCTGCCCACACGAAACCACCCGCGAATCTGGCTTCCAGCTCCAGACACGGGGCCATGAAAGCCCATAATTGTAGGCCAGGAGATAAATATATCTCTTCTTCCTGGCCTGCAATGTTGAACGAGGAGACGCCTGTCCTCTTTCAGATACCTCCTCCAGGGTCGGAGGAGCGGGAACCAAGACTTTGGGGTATTAGTTTTTATATCTTTCTATCTAGAGGGGTTGAAGACGTGATACGTACCGAACTCTCGGAGCGAGCCCAGGAGATCATTTTAGCCACGAAGAGAAAATGAAGTGGTCACTATAAGGATTGTTCCGTGCTAGGGTTGAGCGCTGTGGCGTGTTTATACCCGACATGGGCATGTTGTTGACTGCCCCCTCCAGATAATTCAAGGATGTCAATGAGACGCCAGCCACCAGGATCGACGGCATACTTGATCCTACTTTTTGTTAGTTGGTTCTCCTCCCTTTTGTTTGTTTTTGGGGATTTTGATGTGGTACGTACCGAACTATGGGAGCCTGCTCCCCAGCGCGCGGACATATCCCCAGTGGCCAGTTGTTAGGACGGATGATGGTATAGGTCTTGTCGCTGTACCCTGAGAATGACTTTGGACGATAAAAAGACATTTGCGGTGGGGCGGGGCGATGGATGTGAAGTTTGAAGGTGAGAGGTGGAGAGAAATAACGGTGTTCTTACCTGTTCTTATTGATAGAACACCTTGCATCTTTCCCTGTAAGATCTCTGCAGTGTTACCAATTACTTTGCTAATCTTCCGGAAGCGGCAATGTCCACGAGCCGCGAAATTCCAAGCTAGGCGGTGTTCTACCCTCCTATCTACATGTATGTATTGCTAAAAAAGAGGTCAAAGTAATTGAGTAATGTCTTTAAGATATCTTATATTTTCTAAGTTTTTCTGTCATGAGAACTAGATCCGATTTCCTTTTATCGCTTCAAGATGATATCTTGAACGATACTCCATAGTTCCGATACCACAACATTCAATCGTCTACACAATATCCGGCGCGAAGGCGAGTGCGATAACTCATAACAATGCGCCCAGGCGGTATGAGCCGACGTTGTAGCATAAGCCAGGATGGGGCGTTTTCAAGTGCGTTCTGTTAGATCGATCAAGTACGGGGAAAATTACTTTCGTACTAAACTTCAATGATGTATTGGAGATGGAAGTGTCTTTCTAGAGGTTATATCCTTTAAATAACAGATCCCACGAGGTATTGTGGTACTTGAGTCTAACAAACACGCGCCTCGGGGATGCGGACACGTCTAGACTGCACGTGGCGACATCTGCTTTTATTTTTTGCTGATGTGTTACAGAGGAAGATGCCACTAATTCACACTGATAGATTCCGCATACATGGACGTAAAGAGGAAAGATAAAGCGCGACCGCACTCCTTCTACATACGCTGAATTTCAAGTTACAAGATGGCTTTCGGGTCAACAGAACCTCCAGTTTCCAATCTATCTCTGGGTAAGTCTCTTCTCCAAGTTCACGGTTATCTGCAAATACCCCGAACACTTCATTTTGTGAGTCGCACACCAGATCTGCTCGCAGGGGTCCTTAACGCGAAGCCAGTTGTCGTCGTCAACCCATCGCAACACCCTCCTTCTCATTTTCCTGGAATTTTTTCTCGAAGGAAAGATGATGATAGCGTGGTCCCCTTTCTTTCCATTCTCGCACCTGGAATAAGAAGGTCTCTGGTGAGCTCGATCGCTCTATCATCGCACTGTTCATCTGCACTACGCGCATCACACTCGACACGTTACTCCGGTTCCCCATTGCCCTTGCGACTCTGGTGTTTACTATCATGCACTACTACACGCCTCATATTCATCCAGGCTTATAATTATTAAACATCTCGTATACCGCCGACGTACCAGCTACATAAGCCACAATCCAGACACTTATACCGGACCAAACCCACCGCGCCCCCGAGTGAGAATACATGACGCGAGTGACGACTGATGAAACGAGTGACGGACTGTGAACCGAGTGACGAATGATGAACCGAGTGACGAATGATGAACCGAGTGACGAATGATGAACCGAGTGAGGGGTTGTGACGCGAGTGCGGAGTTGTGACGCGAGTGCGGAGTTGTGACGCGAGTGCGGAGTTGTGACGCGAGTGCGGAGTTGTGACGCGAGTGCGGAGTTGTGACGCGAGTGAGAAAATATGAAGCGGGGATCACGTGGGGGTGGAAAAGGGGGGGGGGTGTATGTTTTTGTCGTTTGGTTATTTTATGCGCCCGCGGGTGGGTTATATAGATATGTAGGAAACCTAGCTCACAACGCTTGAACGGAATATGAAATCTTACAAGAAGTGGCTCTTTAGACTTTAGTGGCAGGGTGCCGAGCTGACAGTCCACCTCTCAGATGGGCGGTTCATATCATATTGATTCAGATAACTTTATATAGCAAAGGATGGGTGTATGATTCCATTAAGAGGAAGTAAAGTTTATAATCGTGGGGAAGGAAGCCCCCGGGCACAATCCCAGAGAGATACATTGACTGTGTTTATTTGTATCATCTTTAGCTTTCATTCTCATCTTTCATGTAGACATGACGGTATAAAGAATTAGGGATATATACTGCTAGAATATGGTATATGCCGGCTGTATTTATCTCCCTATGTTGTTGATTCGACCTGACAAAATAAAATAGACTTCGGAGGCAGATTGAACCTAAATATATAGTCTCGGGCACCCAGAGAGAAGAACTATATATGGATAAAGCGTTCTATTGTCACCCCCCCTAACACAAGAGCCTCCTCAGTAGCTACAGCAGAGGAAAAGAAAATATGTGAGTATATTGATAACTTATCTCACTGGAGCAAAACAAAGTTATAAGGGAATAGACAATGTGTGTATTTTGATAAAAATAGCAGCTTTTGGTGAATTATGCGGGTAATCATATAGAAACAGAGCGTAGATAGGGCCGCTTCAGCTACCATGTATCGGCAGGTAGGAACGCTGCACGATGAGTTGAGAGAAGTAGCAACACTCAGGAAATAGTTGAGATAGCCATTTCTGCCGTTTGGCGCAATGATCGACATCTCTGCCGTAAAACCTGTGGTGGGTCATGTCACAAAATCAAACCATGTGCGCCGGATCTGCTTCTATGTGAGAACACATATATCATTCAGAGACTCAAAACACGCGTTCCCCTCAATTGCTAAAGAAATGACCCTAGGCCGGGGAATGGCACCTCCCCAAGCAAATAAAGAGCGAAAGCCACCATCGAGGGCTCCTCCAAAGACCTTACTCAGGCAAGTACAATTGCTGCCAATCGGAGTAAGAACGGTATTCGGAAGCAGAATGAGGTGAATGGTGTTTGCTCTGCGAGCAATAAACGCTGCGTAATCGAGGTCGAATCGGTGGAGCCTCTCCCGATGAATGTTCGCGCCAAGGGGATGACGGCAAACTACTGGATATATTAACTTTTACGCTGAATTCATCACAAAATATGGAAGCCAGTTGACGTACCGCTATCTGGAGGTAAAGATGTTTCCCTGGTTTAACACCTCCGCCCCTTCAGGACTTGAACTCAATGGATCGTACTGAGGATCGATGACTGGGCATCAGGTCATAAGATGTGTGAAGACATGACAGCATCACCGTACCAATATCCGCCCAAGAACCCGACACCAAAAATCTTTTTCCAATTCTCCCCTGGCTCGATATAGCCCGAATGTGCATTGCTTTCACACTGTGGTCCAGGTGGGCGCGCAGGAAATCCTTTCGACGGGCTCATATGTGTTTGTCATGTTCTCTCCTTTGGTTGTCTACATGCATGTTGAGTTGCCATGACGTTGTTCTACGTGCGGCTCTAGTTGCATTCCAAGTAACCCTAACCCGCACAGCAACAATCAAGTCTCGGCAACCCCCATGGCATCGCCGTCGGCAACCATCGTTGGAACAACCATGTGAGTACAGATTGAAACATTCTACTTTCAATCCTCAAATGACCTGAAAACCGCCTCTCTTCTGTCCTATTCTCGATAAACGTCGGGTATCGTGTTCATCTCCTTCTGTTTATCGTCAAAGAATACTAAGAAAAATACTACAAATCTGTGGTAGTAAGTGTAGGCGAAAAGGTTCCTTCGATCCTTTTTCTTTTACCTCTGGAAACTAACGCGGTGGAGCGGGGATAAAGGTTTGTACACATTCGTCTACACACTATGAGATTAGAGACGCTAGCGTGATATGGCCAGCCTACTTCAATCTACCTGCCTGGAAAAAAAAGCATTCATGCATCCCATACATCGCCACGACCGGTGTTAAATCAACATACAATTACGAAGAAGAGTTGATATTAAACTTCCGAAGGCAATGGTGTCAGTGTCAGAATGGCCACAAAAGCCCAGATGTACAGGACAGCAGCAAACAAATCCTCGGATCACGTTAAAAAAATTCAGTAATTCCTATATAGACCACCAGTCATCAACCCTTATTCCCCGGATCAGCTAAGATTCCTTGTCTTGGTGTATAGGTCTATCATTGGAACACATTCTTCCATGAAGCCATAGAGAGGAGATCTTCATCATCCACGCCCACGGTAATCGATCATCGCCCACAACAAGGCCCCCAAAATACAAGAACAGGTGTTCTTTGATTTAGTGAGAGCCACGTGTCCACCACCGACTCGTCAAGACCAAGGTACTCCCATCTTGCAACCAAGATGGTCGTATTGCAAATGGGAACAGAATTATCCCTGAGCAAGGGCTATAACGGAGCCGTTGATTTGGAAAACTAACCTTGTAAGCCTTCCACCAAGGTCAACGCTTATCAGGCGCATGATTCATTCGATATCTCGTCATGCCTCAAACTCATTCAAAACTATTGATTTAGTAAATGAAAGTCAATCACAGCAGTAACATCCGTTTTATCAGTAACCAAGCGTAATTGTAGCGCGAGGGAAGTGGAATGAAGGGAGAGAACGTCGATGTGATGAATCACCAGGAAGTAGAAACACCTTCGGACCTATCTTCGGCTGCAGATCGATGTACTATACACATGGTGGAATACATGTGAGGGTGTTGGCGGAGCCTCCTCGCACCTTATTCCAGACTCTTCCTCTACCATGTCTTGTTGTCGTAGTTACCACTACTGCCAAGGAATAACATTTTGTTTACTCTAGTGAAGTATTTCAGACTGTAAACGAGAGAGCTATACTAAACTTCATTCATACTCTACCAAGGCATGCTCTTGGTTACCGGTTGGTATCCGTCTTCGCTCGAGCGAGAAAGACGATGGCAGGTGGCGGAATTGATTCCTGATCTGAAGGGTAGCGACCCTGTTTTCTGGACTAATAGAAACTCCTGAGATCTTACATCCCAAGGGATACCCGCCATGGACCTTTGTCACAGCCGGGACCTATACATGTGCGGTAAATCATCCCCGGAAGTAATGTTTTCAAATGGGGTTCAACAGAGTGATGAAGTCCCGATTTTCAGCATTAATTGTTGGGAAAGTGGTCTTGGGAAGAAAGAGCCACGGCGTGTTCGCGGTCTATGTTATGTAACTGGACGATAGATGGATTGACATAATCTGAAATCTCTTGCCTCCATTTGATTGGGGCCAGTAGACATAGTTTTGCGGGCAATATAATAGCGAGGGAAAGATGGCCATGAAGAGGCACCGGGTAGAGATATATGTCTAGTTGCGGTAGAATAGAGAGAAGTAGATATTACATGACCTACAACAACGGCTGTCATAAGAGTGAGCCACAGAAACGCTCTTGGCATTCTGTGCTTAAATACCAGTTTTTCTCCCTATCTCTCGTAATTTCTAACCCCACTTTCTTATGCTGGGTCTGCTGGCAACATCGACACGACAAAATTGGCCACTGCTCCTAGGTGAAGGTAAAGATGTACGTTCAATCTCCATTCTTTCGTTATGAATAATAATAATTTGATGATAAGAGAGAAATAGTTCATCTTTCGATGACATTCATTGAGTGGTTGCACTTATTGGCTGCTCTTGTCAACTCATCTATCCGCTAATCTATCTGCTAAGTAAAATGGAACACACCTCTGAGTAGAGATAGTAGCGGTAAGTTCATCATCCCCCTTTTCTCTTCAAACAGTTGACTAACATCTCTCCAGGAGTCAGCTTGTAATACCTACATACTGTAATCCGCCTTTTCGTGGAGAGTCACAGATCTCTAGGTAATTAACTCCTTCCTTCCTTCTTTTCAGTATTTAAGGTCCCACACCAAATCTAACATACCTGATCAATAGGCTCGCATTCCGAAACGATTATGAACCCTTCTACTGTAAGTAGAAGCGTTCCCACGTACTGGTATTAAGGATTATTCGGCATTCCTTGTTGATGTTAGGAATAGATGCTTAACGATATGTCTGGTAGGCTTTCTCACCCTTAAACATCCTTGATGAACAAAGACAGCCCCAGAAATAGCGTGCTCGTGTTCTATCAATCGAACATGACCTGTTCAACAATGCTGTTGTCGTTATATGAGATTGTCAGTATATGTGGTAGGCGGGCTGGACTCGTTAGGCTCGAACAATTCCTGTCCAAGCCGATGAAGAGGGGTATTGAGGAAAGAGCGGCGTGCTCATTTTCTGTTGCGGGTCTGGACTCCACTCCGTCTGGGGCATGTTCCAAAGCTGTAACAGAATTTGCAGCAGGATGGCTAACATCTCAATACCAACATCAATAATGGTAGCGTGCTCATGCTCTCTCCTCTAGATGTGCAAAGTCGTTAGCTAACGCCGTCCTGGTCAATCCTTTAGGCAAACCTGTAGCAGGCGGGCTTGATCTAAACATTCTACAGTTCCTTGTCCCATTTAATGAAGAGATGCATTCAGAGAAGACTGGCGTGCTCATTTTCTGTTCGACCCAAAGCTGAACCGGCTTCCGTTGGGAGACGTGCGGAAGGTCGAACAGAATTTGCAGCAGGCTGTATAACAGTTTACAGCAATAGCAGCGTGGTCATATTCTGTTTTAAATGTATGCCTTTGCCAGGCTAACGCCGCACAGGTTACTTTTAATTCAGAATTTGTAGTAGGCGGGCGAATTGATCCTTCACTTCCTTCGGTTCCTGTCCCACATAGTATGGAAATATATAAAAGTGAGACTGACGTGCCCATTTTCTGTTAGACCCTGTTGTAGAGGCTCACTGTTGCGAGATTTAAGAAGATCTAACCGAATTTCCAGCATGCTATGTCTCTTTTCCCTCTTGCTTCACTGATTGAGCTACCCTTAATGAACTACATGCTTTAAGATATCCAGCCGCGAGGATTAATTATCTATTGGCAATCTGTTCTCAAGTTGTATTTAGGGTTGAATGCACTCAACGTAATTTTGATTTTTGTGCTGTATATCCGTTTCTAAAGTGTACTATCGAAGTAGCATTGATCGGGGCCTAGTTGTTCTAAAATAGACGTTTTTCTCCACTCCAAGATCTAGAGTATCCAAGGTTCCTGCTCTGTAAAATCATACTAAGATGGAAACATCTCAAGGGTCAAGACTCAGCGGTCTGCCGATGTCATTGCGTGTAGTCAAAAGCTACTACGAGCCACATTGCGCATTGGAAACATAGGACCAGCAACTACAGCTAGTGCTGTAGAGATGAATGCGTAGAGTGCCTGTCTAGTCATTTGGCAGTGTACGTATTTCTTGTATACATCTACGCATGCCTTCTGGACAACTACGCATGATAGGTTGCAGCAGTATACGCAGGCGTCGACCATATCTACGCAAACGGTGGAGCTAGCTACGCAGCATGACCGAAAAAGATTCAGCTACGCAGTCATGATAAAGGTGTGGCCAGAGACCAGTACATAGCATCGGTCTACCTTGCCTAGCCTTTACTACCCCACTTCACCCTCGCTCGCTAAATCATGCTGGTCCTCAGCTTGTACATAGGAATTCAATCAGTGATCATCTTTTTATAGGATATTCACCACTTTTCAATTACGAACAGATGATTATGTGCACAGAGTCCGGGTTTTTCAGGACTGAAATCAGAACAAATTCGTCGGCGATCAGTGCGCTGCTGATACGCATGCACCAGGCTGTACTCGACTCGTTTTAGCGACCTTATTCACATTTCTAAACTAAGGATAACTTAATCCTTCACGCGCGCCTCTCTAGAAATCGCTATAGCCATCGGCATAGTATTGAGCTCGCATAAACATGAGGAAGCCTCGGATCTGGACAGCAGAAAACGGGAAATGATTCAGAATGCAATGAAGAGTGAGTATGTGCGAAAGATCGACTATGTCAGGGATAATGATATATCTAGCAAGGAGATCACATAAGTGGGGGTAAAAACTGCGGGGGCTCAGGTTCATAGTTAATTGAATAATGGGTTACTCTACCATCCCCCGGCAAAGGATGATGAACACCCGGAGCGTCAACATGCACCTCTGGTTACCCCTCGAGGAGAAATCAGAGCACAGAATGCAGTCAGAAAAAATAGGCAGAAGGGAGGTGGAGAGCGGGCTTCGGCCAAATGGAGTGGGAAAGGACTGGAATGAGACGAAATATTCTCACACTTTGATACTAGTATTAAAGATTCGGACAAAACAATGGAACTAATCTCTTTTCTGAATGCTTTATGATAACAGTAAGATAAGAGCGTTCTCCCTATGGTTCTATATACTAGGGACGTCATAAGCAGGATACGAGATATATAGTTCACCCCCGCTCACTGGTCAAACTCTTTGTAGGAGGGAATCAACATAATACCCCTAGTCAGGTAGTCATAGGGAACAAAAAACTTTCGCTTAGGTATTTCCGTATGTTTCTAAAACAAGACCTGGTCGATCGACCCCATGCATGCCTAGAAAAAACAAGACCGCCCCTCTACTTGACTTTCATCGTCATCTAAATTAAAGTTCGAGAGGTTCTTTTCTCCTAGTTTGTGTTTCCAGAGACCGAAGACAATCACGAATACTATGTAGACTCGACAAAATACTATTCATGTACATATTGTCCTTGAATGCGTTCCCATCATATTTCTTTATCTTACTTTATTATTTTCTTTTGTTATTTTTCTTAGTGTGTGAGAGGTGTAGGAAGTGCTTGGAAAGTTCTGAGGCAGTGCTATATTGTCATAGACTACGGTGTGCATACAATTAATGAGTTAATGAAAAATAAAATGCGTTCCAATCGTGGACTCTCACTCGAACCCGTCATATCCAGCTCTGGTTCCGCAAAAGGATCGGAGTCCCTGGCCTGCTTGATAAGGTGGCTTCAGGCTATGTCTTGATATATAAATAGATCACTTAACTTGCTTATAGCCCCGGAACACTCCTCGTACGTATTTATTCATGGACTGTGTGATCTTGTAGGATGGACTCAGCGGGCCACCCCTGACAGGAATAATTGTGAGAAACGCTGGTCAGAAAACATATCTTGATTATTGTAATTGGCTAGCTAGCTATGATAATGCTCATTATTTATACTTAAAGATAACTTCCGGCCGAAATTAAATCCATATCAGATAATATATGAATCACGGATTATCACTCGGTTCTCGATATCTCAACTCCACCCCGTTTGAAGACAGTGTACCACCCAGATTCGTACACATATCATTTCAGTATCTAGACGTATATATGGATAAAACTTGATAATATTTGCCTATTCCGTCTAGAATCAAGATTCCTTCACTTATTCCATTTACTAGAGATCGACCTCATCAGGCCGTGGAAAACACATGTAGATGGCATTATAGTGTTTAAGGGGAAGATGTAATCTATAATATTATCTACTCCCATACTCCTGCTTCAATCTTTCCAGTCTCAGACTGTGCTGACGTTATAACATGGTGTCGCTGCTCTTCCGAGGCAAACTATCCGTCATCAGATATCACTCGGAGTATTGCTCGACACAACTTGTAACTTGAAAGTACAAATAAAGTATAACTACCACCAGTTAAACAATCAATCCCCGTCGAACACCCAAACATACTCCCCCTATTTCATGGACACCTCAGAAATATGTAATCCCACCGCGATGATCTCCGGCGGCTTGCCCGGTTAATACCGCCAGTGAGAGCAATGTGTGGGTAAAAACGAGAATTTTGGTATGACCTGTGCTGCGAGTGTTGGTTTGGGAACGAGCCCGAGTCAACTGACGGGCGCATTAGCTCCTCTACATCTCTTCGAAATGAGAAGTTCACGGTGCTTGGACTTGTGCTATCGCGCCTTTTGTTGTGTTAGCATGGCTTAGCTTAGTGCCGGCTGAATTGCCTGCCCCATCTGTCTGTCCTGGCCGCAAAGGTGCTTGAAATAAATGTTGTCACCCGCTATCAGGTCGACATAGATAGACTTTCGATAGAAACCACGCTCGTGCTTTGCCGGACCATGTACCAATAATGACAATTATTGGACAATCGGCGTAATGGATGTGATATAAATATTTCTGAGGTATCCAGTATAGAGAATAGGTAGAAGGTCCCCTCCTGGACGGTGACCTTTCTCCTAGTTATACATCCTTTTATCCCCACGTAGTCATGGAATGTCACTCGCTTAGAGCTTCTGACAGCACTTCGCCCCCAGGAGCGGTGGAAAATAGGACCATCTCCTACAGCAGGCCTGATACTATTCCCTCAGAAGTGCCTAATGTCTTTCCTCGGGAAACACCGCCTCTCTGTCTCGGATCCTGTAAAACCGGTGGTTTACCTATATGTGTAGCCGGATTATATATACCTGTAAACTCTATGTCAGCAATGGATATTCTGTTAGGTGTATTACTCACTAGGTCCGATATATTGGCACCGGATACGCCTCTTTTCATGTTTCCAAAACAATGCATGAGTCCCATCGTGTGTTATGTCTGTTCTTATCCCACCTCAAGGAATCATGTTCTGCTCGCTGGAAAAAAGAAAAAAAGAAAAAAAGAAAAAAAGAAAAAAAGAAAAAAAGAAAAAAAGAAAAAAAGGAGAAAAAAAAGAAGGAAAAACAAAAACTGGCTCCCACACTTTATTATCTTCTCCCCGCTCACATCCTCCAACCCTTATGCTGAGCGACTGATCGACAGTTTTCTCTTTATATTCTCTTCTATCCAATGACGCTAGGAATAACATGCTTCACCCTCTTATAGAACACAACTTTTGCCGATGTCATTGCGCCCTGGAGCGGATCCATGGTGTTCTCTCCCCTGCGGATATCGAAGTATGCACTCCCGTTGCCCGGTCAACGGGCTCGAGCTAAGCCCTTTCCTCTATGAAGATACATATTTGACAATGCACTACGCTAGTGCGTTGTATGTAGCATGCCACGTTTCACGATGCAAAGCGAAGGCTTTACCAGGTAGTTTCATCTAAAAAGGTATGTAATTCCCGCCAAGCAAGGTAGGTCATCGCCGCTGCGGATCATTTGTTGCGGTGGGGGATATATGCCATGCAAGGACAGGTCGTACCTAAAAGGGAACGTAATAGCTCTAGTCAGTATGATCCCTCTTATTTTGTATATATCATTGTGGTGGGATACGTACTAAATCCTATCTGCGAAATGTATATTGGTGGCGATTTCTTTCTTATCGGCTGTCGCAGTGTGTGCTTCTTCTCGACGACGAGAGGTTGCCTTTAATTTCGCATGTTACAAAGTCCACACAACGCAGTCGAACATTACTAGATCAATCCGAAACTATCTACCCGCTCGAGTTAACAACTAGGACCACGAAGATGTGAGCAGGGCCTGCGTGAACGAACATTATATAATCAGGGAATAGACTCTAGATGACATGCGCAGCCCATTGTAGCAAGAGGACTTCAGCTCCGAGAGCTGCGGTGGACTCGCTTGACGTTTGTAAGCCAATAATCCGATATTGCTTTAGGATGTCTGTGGAAAGAAAGGTATCAGTCAATGATCATGTCAAAACGTCTCCAAATGTCCAAGAAAAGAGCAAGAAGAAGCTCGTACCTTGTGTCCTCCTAGACCGTGCAGCCAGAGGATTCAGAGTTGTCTTGAGTGTATGAACTCTGGTGAGCTTTATCCCACCTTGGAATATCCATTCTGCACTTCAGCGAGATAGATGGCGCAGAAATCCGTCTCTGCATTTATTGGTGAGGAGAGTCCAACCGCCGCTGAGTCTGGATGGTTACATGGTGGGCGCTGCGGGAGTATAAGAAAGAGTGGCAGGACCTTCAAGAATCTTGTCTGGATCACGGCCTGGGGCTATAGGTCATTTTTCGATGATGTCGCGATTGAAAATTGCGTCGGGTTTTGATTAATGCTCGATGGAAGTGAGCCGCATAAATGGTTGGCGGAGTTGAGGCTGTTACGGCTCATTCACGAGGACATTTCACTCGCGAAGTTTCGTGGGTGAACCAGTTCAGTCAGGAAGTATTGATTATTACGGATCAAAATATTGGGCTCTTCCAGCTGATCTCCCTCCGCGTATTGGAAACGTTATTCCCTGACTAAACGGTAAAGAAAACCCCTCGGCACTAGAAGAATGTTAGCGTATACGAGTGCTGTGTAAATGCCTCGAAGCATTGCTTTGCTTATACTACTACTATTACGTAAACACCGTTGGTGGACGTATGGATAGCTATGTAGCCATTTGGCTATACCACACGTATACCAAAAGCACCATACCTTAAATACTCTGTATCATAGACCGAATAAAAGACGTCTTAAGCTTCATACTTATACTTGTGTGATAAAATCACACAAGAAAGAGCGCCTGGAAGAATATATGAGGTGATAAGCGACAATGGGCATAAGATTCAGGTAGAATAAATTCGGAGGATTTTTTCGTCACACTTTACCGCTGACTTCGTGAATGGACTGAATTATTCCTGACTGAGCTGGGACGTTCCGATATATATCTCACTTCCTGGATGAACAAGTTCACTCACCAAACTTCGTGAATAAACCGGCTTCATGAATGAGCCGTAACAAGGCGATGTAGTAGGCGGTTATGCAGGGTTAGGGTTCTAGAGCAACCGCAACCATCTGAACCCCACCAAGTCTAGGGCAAGAATTGGGCTGGGGACTTCATCAATGTGATCACAAGGAGAAGCAAGACGACTGTAAGAACGATGACAAGTACTTAATTAAATCTAAATAAATAAAGAATCTCATCATAGCACCGCTCTTTCCCCTCCGTTACGCTCGCCCCGCCTGCGAACCGATACAGCGATAGTATGGAAACCGGCCTCTCTTCGAATTAAGACATTTCAAGTGGTATTATATATTATTTCACTATATATTTTGCAATATAAGATTGTTGAGCATGGTGATTCTCCCTCCCCTCTTCGGTGACGGTTTACTCTTGTTGTCATTTTTATGTCTCCCCTCAAGTCTTGGCGCCTGTAGGAAGCTTGGCATTCAATAGCACTTGGGATGAAAATAAGACATGGCGAGTGTGGCCTAACGGTTAACACTCGCCCCCGGACGGACACCGTGAGGTTGTGCCTTGCCTTCGATTACAGGAGGTTCAGGGTTCAATCCAGGGGTGGGGGTAGTAGATATGGCTGGACCATCAATGCTACCTTTTGTACTTTTTATTTACACCATAGTGCCAAGCGAACTATTTGTGCGAATATTTTATTTCAAGATGAATCGGAACATGAACCCCGGCATCGCGGAGGACTTAGAGCCGAGTAGTGCGACTCAGTTTTGAGATGAAGTGATTTTTATCGAGTGAACATTGACCACCGATATATCATCGTGATCAACGTGCTTCATTTTTCTCGGGACATTTTCTGAGTCCGGAACGCCTCCAGCTCAAAGAAAATTTGGCAAGAAGGAACGCAAACCCGGTCCCTCAAAAGATTGAAAGAACAACCCTAACCCTTGCTCACAAGGGTCAACATATCTGGCAAAGACTTTGATAAAGTTGGCATTTACTGCATTTAGGCAACGATGTGTAGTCATTGAACCTGAACTAGGGGTAGTTAAACTGTTTCTTGAAAGTGTAATTAAGTCCTTTTAATAATTCTTATTATTATATCCGGCAACCCCTATCGCTTACAACTGGCGCACATCACTACACTGAGTAATAAAGAGGTTTCGAAAGAATTTGCGACATAATCTACTACTCACCCACTCCCACCTCTGTCCCCATAATAACTATCCTTTAATTTGCCCTTCACCGCCAGTTCCATTCATCACCCTCGTTTAAAACCTCACTTCTTCCCCTCAATCTGCTCTGCATGCGCCACCTTAAACTGCTCGAGAAACTCACTCAACTGCGCATCCGCCTCCGGACCACCTCTTAGCTCTTCCGGGAGTTCAAAGTACCCCGAGAGGAGGGCGCCGAGGGGGTACTCGGTGGCCGATTCATAGTCTGGCGGCGGGGCGGGGCCTTCAAAGCCGGGCTTAAGAAGAGCAGGTTTCTTGATGTGGTCGGACATACTTGGTGAGTTGTAATTGTTGGTTTATTGGTGAGGCTATTGGGCTGTTGTTGTGTTTTGTTGGGTTGTGGGTTGTGGTGTAGTATTCGGTGTGTGGAAGATGTTTGGGAGGGCAAGCGGGCGTGTTATATAAGCGATGATGCTTTCAAGTAGGATAGAATCGCTTTGAAAATCCTCTTTCATGTTCTTGTATTGCGAGCTTGAAAAACAAAGACGTAGTTTGGCACCACTAATGGTGTCCTTGAAACGCAGAATCAATAATAGTGTGCTGAGATCCAGGGTAGGTACTGAGCGAAGAGCGAAGAAAGTGATATGTGATGCTCGTAGTGCTTGAGTTGTGCCTCTAACGCAAGATGCTAGCTTCAATGAATATTCGACGACGAAATCCCTAATAGGACGAAATGTGATACCTCGGATTCTGCAATGGCTGCTTCTCCAACGCATCTAGATGGCACCTGTCCTTACGAATATATAGAACTTCCAAGGGCGGTTGAATAGAGTTCCAAAAGTGTTCCTCCAATGGCTGGGTCTTACTGGAGCCTGTTGGAGTTCACTAAGGATCACCGGAGGTGATAGGTCTTGACACGGGTAGGGTCTCTTAGAGTAGTAGAGATTAGACTAGAATATTTTGAAAAAATTGTCATGGGACCTAGCCCACTCGGTGTCCTCCGTTGACGAGGCGTCTACCACTATACCACGCTCGCCCACACAACTGTCAGCAGCCAGGAAGTAATAGTTAAGGTAGCGAGGGTAAAGCGAGCTAGGGAGACACCTAGCCCTAGCCCTGCAATCGATCACAATCGACGACGACCTACATCACGAGCCACTGGCCACCCATTTGTGACATTTATAATTTCAGAGGTTACTCTGAGCGTGGAATTTCCTAAACCGCGGGTTGTGGTGTAATGTTTAATTGTATCCGAGACACCAACGCCAAGGCTGGGTTAGGGGAAGGGAGACCTCAGCTGTGATCCACATTACAGCAGCGATCACAGCAGAATCCAGTCCTTGCGGAAGTTTCAAGGGAAACAAATATCTATGCTTGTGAATTGATAGGGCATATTGGGGGGTAGTAAACAAGTGGTAGGTTGGGCGGAGATCATCACGGAGCGGAACAATTCATATATGGCATATAGATCATGCGCGCTCGTGCATCGAAATCTGGAGACTTGTTGCATATATATATCACGTTTTAAATAACGACAAAATGCAGACTGTAAGAGCTGAGATTTTTCAATGGCATGCGTACTACTTATAACTTTCAAAGATAATTAATATTAAATAGACTTAATTAATCCGTACAAAAAAAGTGTCCAACAACGTATATCTATAACACCCTCCAGCACATGAGCTAATTTTACAATCCAGGGGCCTTCGAATTCCCTTGAAGAATGACCCAAATCGTTCCAAACAACCCACCGAAAGGTGGCATCCCAATTACAACCATAACGGCATTTCTTCCAGCTCCGAACCACTATCTTCATCTTCATCCTCACCAGCCTCACCACTCTCACTATCCTCAGCATCCTCACTATCCTCACCACCCTCACCATCCCCAGCACCCTCACCAGCACCTGCACCTTCCTCGTCCGCCTCATCCAGAGAAATGCCGTCATCGTCCTGATCCTCCCCCAACATAAATTCCTCTAGTACATCCAACAAGAACCGATCCCGCATCACAGACGTAAACCTGACCTCCAGGGCAGAAATCTGCCGCTGCACGTGTACAATCTGGCGGTTCAGAGCCCGCGCCTCGCGCCAGATGGCCAGTTTGACTCTAATGTTATGCACGATCTCGTCATTGGTCCAGATGCCAGCGTGCTCGAGCATCATTCTGAGCGTGAGTTCCACCTTGCGCATATCCTGGGCGCACTGATAGAACTGGGTGCGCAGGACTTCAAGGTGCTCGCGGAGGCGGGCGGCGGGGGCGCGGAGGACCGCAATGGAGTGTTGGAGGTCATTCATAGTGTGCGAATGAGATAGTGGTAGGACTTCGGAGGTGTGATGATGCAATTGGGTTGAGATTGAAGAATTGGAAATGTTATTGGGGCTGTGAGTTTGCTTCTGTTATGTTCGGTCGTTCGTACTTTACTGATGCTGTTGAGTAACCTGGAGAAGATAGACTGATACTCTGGGGATTTCCGACCGCCATATGAGCATCGAGATTGAGTTCGACCTTTCTCTGGGTATGCTTACATCGAAGCTGTACAGGATGCGTCTTTATTTCTATTGTCGAACTTGACGCTCGAACATTTATTCGATCGATCGATTCCCCATACTATAGATGCTCAGATATCGCGGGGGGAGCTGCACTATGGGATGGTTCTCAGCGCATAATACATGTGGTATAGAATCGCTCTTTCATTATTTTCATCTTTACCGGGGTTTATTTCAATTATATACCCGTTAGGTCGATCGAGTGGCTGGAAAAGGACGCAAAACGAAATAGGAAGCAGGCCACTAAATTGTAAGACAATCAGTTTAGGCGCTTTATCTACATCGGCAATGCTGAAAGATGTAATACCTTCTGAGAACTATAATTCAACGCAGGGAAATGATAAACGAATATAGCGATATATGTTCTTATAGAAACGGAAATTACATGATTTCAGCATCATCTGCCCAGGCTCGTTAGTCTGTGGGGTAGAAGTGATTATGTACTTTCCCATCATGTACAAGAATCAGGGTTCTTGTACTAGAAAGCTCTTAGTAGTTACATGCCGGTTGTCATGGAAGAGTTAGATGTCCCTAATCTTCGGATATTTGCTACCTTCTATACCTAGTGGTTCAAGACTTTACATTGACATATATATTCACAGTATACCGGTGGACGATTGTCTACCCCGTTGAGAATATCATGCATTCCCGGTGTAAGATGTGGAGAGAAATTAAGTGGAACGAATTTGCTATGAGTGTTGTTTACGTTCTCGGAGGTGGGATTTTCTTTTCAATTTTGGAGATACGATGTTAAATCATTTCGCACTATTCCGGACCAATCTATAGCTGGGTCATGCAGGCGAAGAATTATCGACATGGAAATATGGATTTTTCATCCGGAGGTGTTCAGGACATCATGGGGGCGCTATTTCCCATGGGTATAAAAAAGAGTACACGATGAACTATAAGTATAATTTATCATATACCCGAGATAAATGGTTCTTCTTGTACGGTGGATGTGCTTGTATAGCAGTAGTTGGGTAGTTTTACCTTTTGTTTACGAATGGGAGACAGCAATCGTCACATCTATCACAGCATTAAACGAGTTAAGCTTTGCAAGAAAAGACTGTTGTTCGTGAAGTTTAAATAACATTGTAAATGCAACTGTAAAACCGTAAAATGTCATAAACCCTTGCCCATAGCCATCTATGACCGAACCTTTATAGCAACCGAAATCTTCGCAACCCAGTAAAATCACCCATACTAAAAAAGAGATGTAGATATCAAGCAACGATCGCGAAATGCTCCTCCCCAAATCTAGCAGCATGCTCGCTAGCTAGTTGTCCCGGGTAAGGCGTCTTCCACGAGTGTATGGCGGCGGAGGCTCGAAGGTCGACTGAGTAGATCCAGATGTAGTGTACCTCGGCGGAGCCTCAAGCGGCGAGACAACAGCACCAGTTGGTGTGAAAGTTGTACTCATCGACGGACCAGCACCATGAAATCTTGACGAAGCCTGCGCATTACCAGCAGAGGAATATGAGGCGTTACTCCCCTGCGAAGAGTTTGGCGCAGTGGAATCGTTGCCGCGTCCGTTAAGAGGTCCGTTGCCATGTAAGCTGCGATCGTGGGTCTGTGACCGGGTGAAGGCAGCAAGAACCCTCATGATTCCTAGCTGTTGAGCGCTGGGCATTCCATAGGGCATGGAAGGCGGTTTAGCATCTTCCGGCTCATCGAAGCCTACTACCTCTCCGGGGAGGTTCGCCATGAAAGCAACGGCGTTAGGATTCGCGAAGTGAGCTTCATCTTCGGGAGGGGCTGTTGAACGCCCGCGGTTTTTACGGACACGCTTTTTGCGAGGTTTGGTTGTTTCGGTGTCGCCGAAATAGCCTTCTTCTTCTTCGAGACCAGCTGGGATAAAGGCTGTGGTTGAATCGGAGGCGGCGTCAGCGGGGTGGGTTGGGAGCCTGGGGCTTCTGAGCGGACGGAACAGGGATGTGCTGTTGTTTTCGAACTCGGGGAACATGGAGTTCTCAGTATCGAGTGACTGATCGTAATCGCGCGGGATAGAAGCCATCGGTTTTGTTGCGATATATGCGGATACTATTTGATGGAATGGTTGTGAGAAGAGCTGTTGTCGACAGTATGAGAATATCGGGAGGATGAGGTGCAGGGATCTACGCACTTTGTGCAGGACCTTATATAAAGCTTGGATGTGGATTGAGAATAGAATAAGTTCGAGACTCTTGAAGCTATTATGGCAGCATATGAGGATTGAAAGGAGGAAGGTGGAGGAGATAGATGGATGCTGAAAGCCTGGAGATGTGTGCTTGAAAGGGAGGTGGTCAGACTACGAATGGTAGGAGAGCAGAGTAGGTGTGCTTGAGTTTACCTATTCCTGCAAGCCAGGACATATTGCGAGTTATATATACAGGTAGGGAATGGACATGTGCTAAAGTTGAAATAGCGAGTGTCTGCTGATATTTCAAGTTCTACGAGTTACGTCACCACGACAGCCCCTGTCCGATACTATCCACTTCTCGCCGTTCATTTATCATGTTTTGCTGATACGTATATGCTTGTGAGCTGCCATCAACGTTGTGGTAGGAGGGTGATCTGGCTTCTGGTATTACGAGAAGGCCACCTCTGACATCGTACACGCAGAGGATAGCAATGTATTAACCACACACTCTCTCGATTAACGGTCGCGTATTTTTATACACGTCATCAAGAGATGAAGAATAATATGTGATTACTTTTATCCTCTATTTACTGCTCACAATCTCTCTCTATTTTATGAGGTCTCCTCATCTCGCATTACATGTTTACACGATGTCCAAAGACTAGCAAAGTGTCCTACAGACAGGTCAACGCAGATCACGAGCAGTAGACTTTTTCTTCTTTTTCTTTTCAATTCACTAATTGCATGCAACCTTACCATTATGGCAACTACGAGCAGTAGGTTACATAAATTAAGAACGAAGGTCTAGCATTCATCAGCAACTGAAGAGGCATATACTGCACACCTCCAGTGAACTGCGTCCCTTTCCGTCCGAGTAATACAAACTCTGCGGATATTCTATGGATTTTATATATCCTCCATACCTCTCCCGATCGAGACTCTATTTCCGAAAGCGTTAGCACTTCCAATATCACGTTGGTCGATCACATTTCAGGGGATCCTCATCGTTGGGTCATTGTTTTCGGAGTGTCCTTCTCCCACTATATACATGTAGATAGTAGAGATCTATACAACGTATATATGGGGTAACTAGGGAGTTCTTCGTAGATGGGACAGATTGCCGATAAGTGTTAGTATGAGAACTATAGTCTAATCATCATTCTATAAATAGTATGCCTTCGTATCTGACCGGTACTACCTTGCGTGGGCTTCGGGGGCTTTTGTGCCTTATGAAGTTAGAAGATGTTAAGATCAACCGACGTTGATATCCCGAATATTCACGGTAAAAAGTGATCAAAAATCTCACAATTGACCACATAGCTCAAAAGCACAAATTTATATGAAAACGACTGTATTTAATTCCCACCTAGTGCTAATACGAAAGAAAAGCCAAAACACCCTACAAAATGCCTCACCGCACTGTAATGAACGCTTTATCCAAAATCCCACCCCTCAAATCTGGCAATGCGGCTCATCATCCTCCAATTCCGCCCCACAGCTATGGCACATCAATGGCAGCTGCTCCCCCTCCTTCATCCCAGGAACGACCAAGCTCCCATCCTCCTTCTGCTCAACCGTAGCAATGAAGTCCCTCCAGTCCTTCGTAACGACGCGGCGGTGACGCTGGCGCCTGAGAGTCGCTCCAGGAGCGAAGAGAGCCGGCTTCTCGGTACCCGTTGAGGCATCCTCGGAGGTGGGCTCTTCGGACTCAACCTCAACAGGTTTTTTAGTCCCGTCGTAGTTCTCGTTGGCGGGGTATTCGGCCACTTCAGGGGAGTAACTGGCTTCGTCGTCGAAAATCTCCGGACCGGTGGGGTCGTCGACGCAGGTGATTGAGAGGGCCAGGAAGGCCTCGAGCTCGTTTGGATTCTCTTTGGCGGCGTCAGGCCCGCGGGCGGAGAGCTTGAGGGTGGGTTGGTCTTGGGATGAAATAGACATGGTGAGTAAGAATAGGATAGGAAATTGGGTTTAGTGTACAAGTTAGAGAACGACGTTGAACTTGAAACTTTTATGGATGTTGTTGAGTGTATCCGGAAGTGTGTTGTTCGTTGTGTGGGTTGGTTATTGCTGTGTTGGTTTCTTTTATATTCGTCGGTCGCTGCAATCTGCTTTCAATTGCTGGATTGAGCTGGAACCTTGGGAGATCCACTTAGAACACTAATGTCACACTTCTTTGTCAGGCAGCCACTTGGTCGCGAAAGGACGTTCAAATCTTGAACTCTGCTAGATACCTCACTGTTGACCGCCAATAACTTATATCACGCGGGGTATCCTACATAGGTAAAATATTGAGTAAAGATTGATATATATGCGGAAGTGGTCTTTGTCCGCATTAAAACCGATCCATTAATCAGAAGCCTTAAACCCAAATTTAGAGTAAGTGAACTGTCAGACTCAGATAGCATCGCAGCCTATCAGATAGTGATATTTCGAAGGTAAAAGGTAATGAGGACAAACCTTTGAAGTAAGTCATTCTCACTCTCCTTGTACATCTGTCGGAAAAACGAGCACGTATATCTTAGATAAATATACTTTACTATTCCCTCTCTAATGTGTCTGCTATATGTATATATATCAATCGTCACTCATACTCATATATACGCAATGGCAAAATGCCCGCTCCATTTAACTTTGTGTTACGCAAGCGTTATTTTATAAATTGATATTTTATCATAACTAGCTCCTCATTCCGATCACAATCCCGCATCCGTTCCATCCCATCATCTCAATCCACTCCTCTGAATTAGTTCCCATTCGAACCAATTCAACCTCCATCATGCGTTTTAGAATCCTCCTCCTGATTCTGTCAGCAGCGTACTCTCTCTTAACCTACCGCCCCAGTGTTGTGGTTGCAGGACCGATGAGAGCCACAGTCTCCAATCTTACCAATCTGGCTGAAGCCATGGCCTACCATCGAGACGCATATCTACTCTGCCTATCACTCATGTCTGAGCATAACACAGCGGAGCGTTCAAAGGCATCTCCAACCGCCATCTACCACCCCCGAGTCACCGCCGGCGTATCGTCAATTCGTCTCCACCTCACGAACACGAGACTCAACCGCCCGCCGACTCGAATCACTATCGCCCTCGGCTCTGCTCCGACCGCTCTAAACTCTCCGCCATGCACCTCACCAGCTGAGCATGAACGCTCGACCGTAACCCTTAATCATCGCTTTCCCGCACCCACCAAGTCCTATGCCGAGTCTATCTGCTCTGATGAAGAAGCTGCCAGACAAACATCCAGACCTCCGTTGTTTCCATACTTGGACATCCTTACTACAGAGGAGGAGGACGATATCATCCGGGCAGTCAGGAGCAAGCATGAGACTGAGACCAAACGGTTCCTTATGCAGCTTTGGCTCTTTATCGGTGGACTGTTTGTCTGGTGGTGGGCGCTCCTCGGTTGGTAGAGTGGGGCTGAGATTGCGGTGGAGGGTGGATATGCTTTGATGATGAGGGGGATGAAAGACTTTAGTTGGATGAACGGTTGCTATTTGATGGAGGAGTAAGGGTGGGATGAATGTTATGTTTTCAAATATTTTTTAACCGTAGTATTGTGTAGCTGTTTGGGGGTGTAATGTGGTCTGGAAATGTGGTTTTTTGTTCTTCTTGCCAGATATCCTTCATTTCCTATAATACCATAATGCGAAACTCTTGAAGAGGTCATGTTGCGAAATGTGGTTCGTTGGCAGGAAAATAATAACAACCTAGCGTTTAAGATATAACTTTAGAGGCTGGTAGGAATTATTGAAATAAAGAGATGGCGACTTCGGAATTGCAAAAAGTGTTTTTTCACCGCAATCTTAATTCCTTCCTAATTTCTGCGATATCTAATACTACCTAATCTAACCATATCATCGCTTCCGAACTGCCTCCAGATGAATAGTAGTTCCCCAGTGCCTGCCACTAGAGCAAATGTAGAACCTAATCTCCTCCTGGATCCCTTGAGTCGCTCAAATCGATCAAACGACTATTCACTCTCTTTCTTTAAATATGTAATCATACTCGAGAAGCAGCCAAATTGCTCGATTTCGCAGATATCGTACACCTCGCAAACACCACCGAGTAGCAAGATCATGGTTTTGCCCGATACTCCAAATTGGCAATCTCTGCCGACATCTCACTCCTCCCACTCCTCCCATATCGCTCACACACACCATAGCATAATGCCAGATCACCTTAAAACCCATGCCAACTTGCACAACTGTCGTCAAGCTCTTGGCGGAGTCGGCAGGGATAACGCTTGGCAATGAAGAATGTGGTTACACTGCATGAAATAGCATCACACAGCGTAAATATTATGTAAGCTAGACTCCCGAAAAGAATATTAAGATGCGCCGCGTTCGGAAATGATATATTTGGTGGCTTGGCGTCACAGTGTATCACTCGCTGTGCTGTTGCTTGCCGCCCAGCAAAGAGAGGTGTCGATTTGCGAGGAAACGAATGATTTTGAATCCTTTCACTCGGTAATGGGAGACTGCGAGAAGCATTGTCGAGGTTGTATTGTAAAGCTTCACAATTTGTGGGGTGTTTGTCGTGGCCACCGTGGTCAGGAGTGCCCGCGGTGAATTTGTCTCTGTTCTGCTGAAGTTAGCTTTCGTGTTTGTGTTATCTCGACAAAGGAAATAGCCGAGTGGACTCAAAAGCAAAATTTCGTTGTCATTAAAGTGCGTACTTTGCTATTCTCTTGATATATCGCTTGCCGAATGCTCTGGTATAACGTTCTTCCACCACAAGTCCCCCCCCATTTTGCGAGCGGGTCTTCTGGGTCCTCACTACGTTCATCAACCCGTTCTCTCTTGTCTTGTATAACTGATATGATGCGACCGGAGAAGATATATCGCCTCGCATGAGAGCATTCATGGTAAATTCTTTCGATGAAGTGGAGAGCGCCCGTGCGAGGAAATGAAGAATTCATCTTTTTTATACGCCCAATAAAATATTTGACCCATCCATCAGGGTTGACTGATTCTGCGCCAGCTCCGGCAAAGCACTGGGGCCAAACAAAATACCACTGCGCGGGTACATTGCATGATCAGCATGGTGGCATTTGAAAAAAGCGGGGATTCTCGCTTTTGTGAGTTGTTGAGTCTTTCTACTACGATGTTAGTTTCTTGTATGCTGTTGCAGGTGTTTTAAGGAAACGTATGGACACGACATCAGTGTGTAAACCTGTTTTCTCATGGTGCTTTTGAGCCTTTATTGCGTACCTGGGCCCATTGTTCGTGGCTGCACGGTGTAGGTAGGTGTAATAGTTCCCCAGCTCTTGCAGAAACATAGCGATGGTCAATTCCGGTTTGTGGTAGAGTGACCAAGGGCCTGGTGGAAGATTCGGTTGAAAAATGAAGCGTAGGGACATTACTGGCACATTTTTTGGTGGGGTGAATTAGGGTTCAAGTGAGAGTGTAGTGGGGAGCGGTTGTTTCACTGAGGTTGCTGCCAGTGCCCCTCCTTTTTCTGCGGTCAACGAAGAAAAGAGGAACATTTACCAGCAACCCAGACTCTCTACCGCCTCACCATTCCTGGAAGAGTAGTGCTCTTTCCTTCTTTTCTCTGCAGTATTGCCCTCTCTACTGTATTCTCCTACAACTATCTCAATCACCACAAGGAAGACCTCTTCCTTCAGTAATAACTACCCAGGCAAAAATCTCTTTCCTCACTGTTCCTGAACGACAACCAGAGAAGATCCCACTCCGTTCTTGACCATCTTCCCTATTTCGCTCTCTCAGGTCTCTCCAATCTTCTTCACCAGGCCCATATAAAATGCCATCAAGCTCCACCGCCAGCCATCCGGGGAACACCCCACTTCCCGCTGGTCTCACCCCTGAACTTCACAGCGCGCTCGTCGCGGACGTCAACATCGCCTACAGGCTTGCCCGCCGCATGGGCACACAGAAGAATCACGAACAAATCCGCGTCCTACGCCTGGAGATGTTCACCTACGCCGCCTCAATTGGCCTTCAAGTGGTCCTTCCCTGGTCATCTCTTAAAGAACACTACCCTATGCTACTCCAGGGCTACGTGGACGACATTGCGTCCCACTTCTACGCCCGTTACGGCTGGGGGCGGGATTTGTGTGAGGAATTGCTGGGCAACATCTTCACTGCGCGTGAGCTGAGGAGGGCTGCGGGCCTTCCTGCCGAGGAGGGGTATGGTATGTGTCAATGATTTTGTTGTGTTTTCTGAGGAGGGACGCTAATAATTATTTAGAGGAGATTATCGCTACTAGACCAGGCATGAAGACGACAAGGGCTATTGAACCGCCTGTCGTCTCGTCGATGCCAGTTGTCTCATCGATGCCAGTTGTCTCGTCGATGCCAGTTGCCTCGTCGATGCCAGCCGTCTCTCCAACGCCAGCCGTCTCTCCAACCCCAGCCGTTGCGTCTGCGCTAGCTAGTCCCTTGACTCCCGGGATGCCTGAAGTGGCTAGCATGGTTGTTGATAGTGTACCCGTTGAGGTCGAGCAGAATGAGGAAGCCCTGGATTGCGTCGACAATGCCCCCCTCATATTCGAGGAGGATGTGCAAGACTTGGATTTCGTGGATCCTGCTTCCATCGCGGTCGCGGAGAGGCAGCTGGGCCTGGATGCTGAGTACGAGCCATTTTCACAAGAATACGCCGACCTAGTCACCGATGGGGCCTGGGAGAAACCTGACGTCAAAGTGAACGTCGGATCAATCGATAACATTACCGCACTGTATCCAAAGCCGACCTATGTCCAACCACCCCCCATGCTCCTCCCTCTGAGGCACAGGGCTTCCGCCGAGATTCTGTTCTTTTTCGGCGATTGCGAGAATCCAGGCTTCATTATTAGCCCTCGTGACAACTACAACGTGTTCCTTGAGCTCATCCGGAACAGGAGTAAGGGCTTGATCTGGTCGGAGAATAGGAAGAACTGGTTTACGCTTGACAACAAGAAGAGTTATGAGGGAATGTGGCTCAATATGAGACGCGGGTGCACTGAGATCTTTTTAGATTGGCAAAAGAGTTATCCGGATATTATTCTAGAAGGGAAGACCCAGTATAAACTCAATTGCTATGGCATTGGGTTTGAGTAGGGGCTGGCGAGCCCGGCGTTACTTTGGAAGCAGTTTTGTGTGGTGGAATTAGGAGTGCTTTTGTCCTGTTTAAATAGATCTCGTTACTTTTGGGCGTGGTCATTTGGGAAGATCTGGTCTTAAGATCTTGTTGGGATAGATCTGACCGTTTCTTCTGTGCGGTGATTTGTGAAGCTTTGGTCTTGTTAGGATAGATCTGGCCGTTCTTTGTTTGGGTAGTTACGTAATACACTCTTTCATTTCCTGATAGTATTGTCCAATATTTTATTCCATTAATAATCGGGCTGTGATTGTGAAGTCGTGACAGGCCTCTTGACACCGGTGGGATAAACTGTTGATTGTGATCTTGAAGTGAATGCTGTTGAGAGACTTATTATCAATTCAAACACCTTTTTATCCTGACATAGTAGTCGCGGAATACGTGTTTAATAAAATGGGACCTTTCCTTATCGGCCTTTCATCATCATTTGCTGATAAATCAAACTTATAGGAGCTGCAAAGGTCAACCAGCCGCATTGCAGGCCCTTATGATTCATGCCTCAGGAACAAACACAAAATAAGAACATAATTATTCAAAGCAAATAATTTCTGTTTTACAGAACTTTGACAGAAGACAGCTACCATTGAACCTCCAATCTCAATGGTGAGAAAAAAACAACAACTGGAGTTACAACATGAACGAGTTCGAAAACATACAGATTACCAAAAGAAGAAAAAAAGGTATCATGCACCCGTAGCACCTTCAGCATCGCACGAGTTGAGGTATTCCATCCTAACAGTACCGCATATTCTTCTTTTGATTCCACCACAAACTTGTCTTGCCCATCGTAGAACTCATCCCTTCACTGTCAGTTGACTCCACTCCTTGTCTGGTATCATCGTCGTTCCAGATATCTATACCAATTGTATCTTCTTCCTTCATCTCACCTCTAGAGGTACCACTCTGCTTTCGTCTTTGCTTGAAAAGTGACTGCTCGAAGACCTTTCTCGGAGGTACACCAGAAACGATTTCAGGGCAGATGGGGCGTGCAACGGGGATCCTTGAGCTGTTCAAAACTGTGTTAACGGCCCATTCAACGGCGGGGTTAAAGGTGGCTTACTTTATGCAGGAGAACTTAGAGTCATTCCCGGGGTTATTGGCTTGAGGAGGAGTGATTTTGATGGTTTTGTTAACCATTGTGGATGTAATTGTTCTTTGGGGTTGAGAGAAAACTTTGAAGTTGGAGTTGTTGGAAAACAGCTTGAAGAAACAACGAGATTAGAAGAATATTAAAGGGATAGCCTGACACGTTATGAATTCAATTAATTGGAAAGCTGAGTGCATATACGGTGATTAGTGATTCATAGACGAAGAAAAAGACTTCTCATCAATTGGACCTGCAACATAAATCTTGTTTCTTGATATGATATAAACATATCTAATAAGTATATAGATATACTGATATGCAATGTGTTATTTAAAGGTTTTGATTGGCTAAGTATTACATTGCTTTTTCTTAGTAGTTTGACTAGTAATATTTTGATAATATTATTTTTGTTAATATAAGCAACAAATTGGGGACCAGATTTGTTTTTCTGTATTGATGTAATTGACGATTCGGGGACTTTACTTTTTCCTTCAATTGAATTCCAGGACATTACTTTTCCCTCTAATAATGTTAGTGGCGATTCAAGAAACTTGCCTTTTCCCTCTATTATTGTTAGTGGCGATACGGTGATACTGCTTTTCCCTACTATAGAAATCGGGGATATTGCTTTTTTCCTTTGTTGATTTTAGTGGCGATTCGGGTATTTTGCCTATCCTCTCTATTGAAATCGGGAACTTTGCTTGTTTCTTTTATTGATTTCTGCAAATTTGCTTTTTGTATGGATTGGTATTGATAACAAATCAAAATATTGTTAAATGTTGGTATTGATATTAGTCTTAGTCAGAGTTTAGATTGTTAAAGTTTTATTTTAAAGTTGCTCTTGATCGCACATTATTTTTTCGCTTAATCAATCAATTTCAAAACTCTCTACCTACAATATCTAATTACACAATGCTTCAAATATTCAACGAGAATGGCACTACCAAAATTCACCGTATGCTTGAATTGACCGCCAAATCAGACAAAACTGGCTATCTCAAAATTTACGATTCTACTTTATTTTGTTGGAGCGATGATCTACCAAATTGAGTAATTGACGAGGAATATATATGATGCCGAATTAATTGTTTTATCAGCGAGTTTCTTACAGAATCCACCTAAAATTCTGTTGGAATTAGTTCAGGTAGAATCTGCGATATGGGTAAAGACAAATCAGTTGTTATTTCTTTACTGAACAAGAGCGAGTAAGTAATTTGATTCACTCTTTAATATATTGGAACTAATAATTTTTAACTTAGATTTGCTGATTACCGGTCACATCTACGATTTGACGATATAGACCCTGCACCCTCTTGTGCCACTATATAGTCATTCAGAAAGATTATAGGATAACCTAATGGTACTATCAAGTCCCCCCCCTATAGGGTGACGATCCTTTGATTTACAATCCTCCTACTACGATTTAGAAGCTGCCTTCAAATCAGCTTCCCGAAAGTATTTTGTTATTAGATGGTATATACCAGCAGGAAAGAGGTGGGAGAGCACAAAAGTACCCCAAATCGATAGTGTAATCCAAATCACTGAGAAATTAGTTGACAGAGTTATGGTTGATAATGCATCATTACATTCTTTTTTTGGTTATATAGTGTCGTCATTAAACTATATTTCAGTAATGCAATCGGAATTAGGAGTTGGGTCTGTTGGAGAAACTTTAGGTAGATCGGAGTTTAAAAATGTTGGAAGATATTGGGGTGCTCGGGCTCAGAAAAGATCTGTGATAGATGATTCAAGTTTATATCCAAATTCTCCTCCCACTCCAAAAATCACTGTTAGCTCATCTTCTATTTCCAAACCTACTACACCAGCCAAAAAGAAAGCTTTGAGTATACCTAATAACTGTTCTGTCGATTACGAGTTTGAGGAGATTGGGGATGACATTATTGAGGATGTTCGTTCTGAGTAGAATAGTTTTAGTATTGAATATATGGGTTTCTGGGTCATCGTTAGCTATTTTACTTTTAGTCGGGAGAGTTTATTATTACCAAGGATAAATATAACTATCGGATATTTCTCTTTGGAAATTTATCGAACTGTTTTCTATATTAAATACAATTTTTATTGCAAAAATGCCAAGAACCAATTCCAGACAATCAACCGATTATATCAGGATTTCGAATGACATCCGAACAAGAAGCAATAGAATCTTTCAAGCCTCGAGCTCACGATTAGACCGAATTGAGATACGATTAAATTTCCGAGTTGAACATCAAATTACAAATTGCTGACAAACTATACAAAACTAAAGCAATATAAAAACAAATTCACCATCTAGCAATTGGTGGGATATCTTACCTACAAAAACAACCCATCTCCGACCATATAGTATCAGTTGATCAAAATAATGCACGTATTATATTGCAGTCTTATTAACTAGTGAAAATAATGGTTGGTTTTGTACTAATGGAAAATATCGATTAACCTCCTTACTGGTATATCCACCCGATACTGAAACTGAATTTGAGCAATATTGCTATCAGGTGAGTAGAATCAGCTGAAAGCTCATTAACATCTCTCCATTTTCAATTTTGAGAGTTATAGGTGGATTTTGACAGTTACTAACATCTTCAAATATTGTTATGACAGGATGAGTATACCATTAGTTGTTGGATGTCAATCAAGGGCAATATTCAATTCGATAGTTCATTCACGATAAGGATTCAAGAGGCTCACTAGCTCTTGGGCTTAGTGTAACCTCCTGCCTAGTTAAAATCTTTCGAAACCTACTAGAAGATTTCAATCCTTTTGTTTACCATCTCCGAGCAGCATTTACCACTACAACAGATACCCCACTTGCATTAGAGTTATATACACCAACAAGTAGTGGAGAAATTGCTGCGATTATATATGCCAATAACATACAGAAAGTCTACCCTCGGAGTGTATTAGTTTAGAACTATATCCCCGATCGTCTAAAAGCTATCAGTATATTAAGTCCCCTTTACGATCTATTACAATATCCTGTTTTCTTTCCTCATAGTACACCTGATTGGGAATGCAAATCCAATATCAGTCAAATTCGATTGTATAGAGCTGGACTCATAACAGCGAACCGATTTCTGCGGTTTAGTAGATTGTCTGGAAAATACTTGGTGGATATGTACTCGACAGTGGAAGACGAAAGATTGAACTATATACGAAGAGGGCGAAAGAGAGAATATATTCAGCAATCTCCGAATACAGAGGCAGAAGGAGAGTTACCTGTCGAAAAAGGTACGACTCTACCCAACCTTTTGGATCGGATAGGGGGTATTTGGTGGATCGGGTTTGTAAAAGCTGTAGGTGAGTCAGGTAATCAACAATAACAATAAGTGATTGTACTCCTAAGTATTGAAGAATATTAAGGGCAAAGCAACTAAATATTTGGCTTTCTATATTATTTGAACTCTCTCTCATGTGTTGTGAAAGGGTCAGGTAATCAGAATTTTAGGAGAATAGACAACAATAACAACAACAACAACAACAAGTGATTGTACTCCTAAATATAGAAGCATATCAAGTGTAAAGCATCTAAATATTTAGCTTTCTATCTTATTTGAACTCTCTCTCATGTGTTGTGTGTTTGAACTTGCAAGGGAATAGTATTGTGAAAGGGTGTTGTGAAAGGAAAAAGAGCAAGAGGGGAAACTCGACGATAGCTAAGCGCCTAAATTTTCGCAGCATTACCCTACCTGAAATAGCTCCCGCTCCCAGCACCAGCACCCACTCCCAATGCCTGCGTCATTCCAGCACCAACTTCGAACACCAGAACCTGCTTCCAGCATCAGCAGCCGCTTTCAATGCCCGCATCACCCAAGTACACTCATAACCCCATCACACGCTTTTAACATCTACGTACCCTGGAACACCTCAATGTCCATCGTCACCGTCACATGAATCTCCGAATGTCCATCGTTACCCCCATAGAATTCTCTTATTGCCTATAAGAGCTCTAACAATACCTCTCACCACCTTTAAGCACTCTTCACTGCCCTCTCAGAGGCCTCTCAATATCCATCATTATCCTCTCAAGAATTTTCTAATGTCAATTGCTACCCTTCTAGGATTCTCACCTGATGTCACTAATGACGGCACTGAATAAGAACCATGCGGAGTAATAATAGGAATAGAATACCATGTACATATATCTGCACCCATGCCCGCACCTATGCCTACCACTTCCTAGCGCCTATCACCTCGCAACGCCTGATTATTGCCTACGCCTGCACCCCTACTTACGCCTATTCCAGTGGTCAATATGGTGCTCAAAACGGTACTCGAAACGGTGCTTGAAAAGGTGCTGAAAAGGTGCTCGAAAGGTTGCTCGAAACGGTGCTCAAAAGGTTGCTTGAAACGGTGCTCGAAACAGTACTTGAAATGGTGCTTGAAGAAGTGCTTGACTAGGTACTATATGCGGTCCTTGACTCAGTTCTAGGTACGGTGCTAGGTGCGGTGCTCGATTTGATGTCTCATAGGCGTCGATTTGGGTGTCGGTTTGGGCATGAATTAGGTGTCAATATGGAGGTAGGTAGAAAGGGCGGAGGTAGAGGTAGGGGTAGAGGTAGAGGTGGATGTAGAGGTAGATGTAGATGTAGAGGTAGAGGTAGAGGTGGCAGTGGAGTTGGAGGTGATCTGGGGGTCCTCACCCAACAATACTGCACGCTAGTCCTGAGTGAGCCTAGCGTACATGTAATATATCACTTTCTCTCAATATATCACATTTCCAAGACGACCTGTCATATTTGGACGAGACTAGCTGATTTCATTGTCCTAACCGGCCGAAGGCCGGAAACCACTTGTATATTTCTAAGATAGAATGGCGTTCATACCGGGTAGTTCACTAATGTTGACCCGAATTAAGAATGTACCTTGTCCAGTAGTTTTTCTTGTTGTTTTTTTTTCACTTCGACCTTGACCAACGTCCGCACCTGCCATGTAAAGGTGCTCACTGTATAAGATGATGGACTCCGATATTATGGATTCTGTTCTCGCCTTATCCATCATTCTAGTTACTTAAATATAACTTATCCGCACGCAAAGATTACGTATCCCATGGATAGAAATGATCCCATATCTCCATCCGATAGATAGACCTATGGATATCATATGATATTCGTGCGTTCGATGCGACTCGTTTTTAGCCCCCCAAGTTCAAAATATCAGCAGATCGAAAGAATACACAACGGAGTAAGTTATCTCGGACGCTTATTGGACGAAAGTGAGTCCCCTGTGGACGTGTTTTTGTACTAAATACAAATCGAGCAGCTTTCCATGACACAAACACCTCTCAAACAGGGCCACCTTCCAAAACCTCCGTGTTAATAATATATAAAATCTTCCTCAACCTCCGGGCCCGCAGCAAAAAAACCCTAAATCCCATGCCCAGATCACCAAGATCCCTCACAATTCATCCATTCCCCTTGTGATAGACCTATCCGGGATGGTGGCGGAGGTCCTCCTCAAAGTCTTCCGACGAGGCCTATCGTAAATTGAGACTGGGCGCTCTGGTGTGCCCCAGTACTCGTCGTAGAAAGGAGACTGAGCTCCGCCAGTGTCCTCGACGATCTTCTTGATTCTGTCGTGGGCCTTGTCGAGCGCTTGCATGGCCCAGATGCGTTCTTGGAGAGCGTCGATGAGCTCGCGGGTAAGCTCAACTTCGCGGGCCTTGGCTTCGGCGATTTCAGTGACCAGGTTTACGCGAGCCTAATAATAAAAGATTTAATTAGTTGGCCTTTCCTCTGTGAACCTTCTTCTGTGGATGGATTGGATATCAGCTCACTGGAAAGTCGATGATGGTACGACCACAAACGCAGATCTCAATTGGCTTGTCGATTGTGCGGAGGTCACCATTTTCAACGGCTTTGACGACAATCTCGGCGGCCTTCTCAGAGGCATTTTCGGCGGTGGAGTGGACCGCGGACGAGACCCTGTCATCTAGAGATTTCAAAGCTGACATTGCGAGTGGTTGCACTGATAATTCGAGATGTTATGAATGCTTGTGGGGGAGAGCTTGATGAATAGCGGTGATGAAGAAGTGTCGGAGGAGTGGCGGGCGGTCGTTGCCTTTGTGCGCGACAACAACAACGACATTTGATGTCCAGGGTGCGGAAGCGGGAGTAAACAGGCTTGTTGTGCCTTGCTCTCCAACGTCGTTCCCTCACAACCATTGCAATAAGACATCAATCTATGCCTCTCTTTCATAATCACGCAACAAATACGCACTATCTATTCCTCTCAACGTATAGACAGAAGGAAGACGTCGATCCACTCTTCGAAAACAGTGGTATACCGGCATTTGAGCCGTAAGCTGTGTCCTGTGCCGCCTAGTTGTACTCTGGTGCTGTCCACGCTGATTAGATGATAGATAATCATGTATTTATGTCAGATATCCCCTATACGGCTTGAATTAACCCTCACTAATGGCGCAGATCCAGCTACAGCCACGAGACGCAACATCAATCTAGGCCAGGCACCAGCTAGGTCTCTCCAACTCCCGAGGTAGCACAGCTGCCTCAGAAAATGACTCTCTAGTCGCACGCGCTTCTTAAACCAGAGTAAGTCATTTGAATCTTGTATCTTCCAAGCCCACATTTATCATTCTGTGATGGTATTTACTCATGACGTACAAGAGTTCTCTCCCCACTAATAAGTGCTAGGAAATCCATCTCCATAAACTCTCATCCGCGCGCGAGATCTCTCCTGCAGCTGCCAGTTCCAAAGGTAGATCGAAGATATCCACACCAGGAGTAGAAGAGCTACGAACTGACAATGATAATTAATAGGAATATGCGATGCGATTCCTTTAGAGCATCAAAGCACTGGTCATGTTGGGCGCAGACACAGCACTCTATAGCTATATGGATAACAGAGTGTGAACTTGTGAGACGTGGGCGTCGAGCTGAGGGTATTAAATGTACGCAGGAGGAGTGAGGCAGCTCTTTCACCTGCCGGTGATCGTTCCTCCTTTACTCTTCATCAATGTCTCATGATATTCCCCATGTTAAATCCTACTGCTCCGCTCGCTATTTTGATAAATGGGGGGAGATTGTTCGAATTTGGCGTGGTGGTTTGGAAGGCGTTGGGACATTGGTGCCGCAGTGCCGTCGTCCATAGCCGACGAGAATGAAGATGGTAGAATAGCTATCTTGCCATCGTGTACCTATTTAATACCCCTTCAAGCTTCATTGTTCCCCCCAGATCATGCCGAAGATGTCGTTCCATAGGAGATAAAGACAAATCAGAAGCTCCAGGTTCCCAGATATCGTGTTCCCCGCATGCGCTGTTTTTCGGGAAACAAACATGGTCATAGTTACTAGCCGAGGCGAAATGTACCTGAGACATTCCAACGCTCAAGGGTGTTCTGCCTGTTGCTGAATCAGATGTGTCATCTTTTCTCATATGGTATCCACATTGAAATATTGCACTCTATGTCCATCTAGGTCTAGCTAGCTATGTGGTTGCCTAATCTAGTTTGACCCCCAAAGCTCAAATCTCAACTTCAATTCGCACTTTCCTCTCTTTAAAAGCTCCTGTCCATCCGTCTCCGCAATTTTACAACCATTCGCACCTCATGCCCTTCGCATAACGAACAAAACCAAAAGATCCCTTCAACCAGAAATGGCACCCTACAAAAGGAAGACCAACAAGACCTGCACTCCAAAGAAGGCCGCTGCCCCGCCAAACCTCAAGAGGACCCTCTCGGAGTATATCCTCTCTGATCAAGAGATGGGAAGCATGCACTGTCTTTCCGATGACGCGAAAATCTTCCATGGCTATACCGAAATGGAGTTTGTTGTGGAAAATAGCTCTGACGTGGTTGAAAGTGAGTGCATTCGATCAACATAAAAACAAAGTATATTAGAATAGGGTGTCTGACCTTTGTGATCTATAGATGAGGAGACTCGCAAGCAGAGTGCCCGAATAACTAGAAGACTTAAAGCTGTTCGCCCAGGTCATCCAACAATTAGGAGAAAAGCAGGCCCTGGAAAAAAGCTACCTGGTCTTCACACTGAGATTGTGGAGCTCAAAAACCCTATTCCTGACGTTACCCCGGCTGATCCGACTACTCCGATTCTCGAGAAGATTTGTCTTAAGGATGAAGGGGAGAAAAGTGATGCTGGTAAGATCCAATAGGTTCGAGTGTAATATTGTGACCCAAGAGCTGTATTCTGATCGCGTGAGTGCATGCAGTAGCTGAAAAGGTCGAGCCGGAAGTCAAGAAGCCCCGCGGACCTCGCATGTCCATGCAAACTAGAAGTCGTAGGTTTGCCCCAACTAACTATCCCTGAAATTATTATTAAATTGTTACGATAGCAGCCACATTTCAGTGCCGTGTCTGCGAGGAATGGTTTCATACCGCCTATCAGAAGAGGGTCCACCTGTGGGATGAACACAATATCTCACATGTCCGCTTCCTAGAGCATGGACAGGTTTATTCTTGCGGCAGCAAGATTTAGAAAGCTCATTATCCAGCTGGATCCTGAAGACTCTTCACACAGCTTTCATCCATGGTCACGTTTTGTTCCCCCCTCTTCTCCTCGAGCTTGTTTCCGGGATCGATCTCTTTAAAACTGCTCTCCTCTGTGTATATCTTCTCTGGGGCCGGACTTCGTATTCTATTTCGTTCTTCTCCTCTGAACCACTGAAGATCATTTCTTCTTTTTTTCTAAATTACTTTTTTTCTCTTTTTTTCGTTTTCTAGATTTATAACCTTTTTCAGATTTCTATATCTCGTTTCATGATTTCAAGCCTCCGGGGGAATATATATAACTTTAATTCTACTTTTTCCTTTTGTAAAGCGAAGGGTATTCGGTGGTTTCGGATGTCTTCGCCCTTCTTCTAGGCTCTATTATCATACTTGGAGCACATATCTTTTATCTAATTCCTGTGTTTTCTTTACTCTCCAAATCTCGATATTATTATAATGAAAAATAATGCTAGGACAATTCCCTTTCTTTCTAATTTACTCTTCTGTTGTATTATATTAAAATGTAAATTATTGCGTCATAGATATGGTAATATTGCAGGTCAAGCTTAATCTTACTTGTGGTCCTGCTCAGTTACACAAGCCAGCAGAGCCGCAGAATGAGAAAAACCAGCTAGTTTATGAGATCTTATCATAAGTTCAAGGTTTACCTGCGGGTGAGAGATCAGGAACAGCAGAGATTTCACACCAAATTAATCCTCAGAGTCAGCTCATTTGGGCACATGCCGTACCACCGAACACCCCAAAGTCGGTTATTTGAAAAACCTTGCCTCTTATGTCCCAGCTAATTGGGGTGGATGGTCCAGCTCTCCTGGGGCCGGGTTACCTCGCCATTTGACTGCGCGGCTGGGTTAATTAATGAACTCCATCGATTCCAACCTCTTCTAACCCCGCTCACAACAGCAGCATCTACCCAGTTCAAAACGCAGAGACAACGAGGATGGACATGAATTCACCGCTCGCAAACGCCATGATGGCAATTCGGGGCACCAAGAGCTTCAAAGGCTATGAGCGGGGGCTGATCGACGCCTTTCTCATGGCGGAGCAGAAACCTTTAACTGGTTGGGCGGATGATGAAACTGTGTCTATAACCAGCTTCGACAAGGCGGAGGAGCCAGAGGTTACAGAGGACGAATCTGTTCCTAGTAGTTTCGATGAGAGAGCAGAGCTAGAGCTTGTGAAGGCTGATGTTGTTCCTTGCAGTTTCAAGGAGAACGTAGAGCTTACAGACGCCCATATCAGCAGGGGAGAATTGTTTGTAAAGCGAAAAGAGGCTCTTCCAAGCAGGTTCGACACTGTGGCAGAGCTTACAGGAGCTCCTCCCGAGAACATCCAACCACCCAGCTGTGCGCAGGCTGAGACTGAAGAGGCTCCGTTGATAATTGTCAGGTCGATCAAGACTTACGGCAAAAGGCCTGGCGGCCCACTCGAGGCAGTCCAGGGGGCGAAGAGGGTGAGTAACGTTTTTCCACGGGACAGCATAATCTTTTTGGAGATTATCATAGCTAACATCTTCGGGCTGTAGGTCAGAGTGGACGAAGCTCCCATCCCTGTGTCCAGTTCAGCTGCTACGCCGGTGGTTGGCCAGGCTTGTAAGTCACCTCCCTCGAGTGCTCATATTTCTACTAACAGTACACAGTTCAACCAGTCTACGTCATGGACACCTTCGCGAGTAAACGATTGAGGGAATATGATCGCGGGGCTCCCATTCCTGCGTCTAGTTCAGCTACAACGCTGGTGGTTGTCGAGGGTTGTAAGTCAATCTCCCACCTCGAGTGCTCATATTTCTACTAACAATACACAGTTCAATCTGTCAACGCGATGAATACATTCGTAAGCAGACAACTGAGGGAACATGATCACGGGGCTCCCATCCCTGCCCCCAGTTCAGCTACTACGCCGGTGGTTCGCGAGGGTTGTAAGCCTCTCTCCTACCTCGAATGCTCATATATCTACTAACAATCCACAGTCCAATCAGTCTACGTGATGGACACCTTCGCGAGCAGACGAGTGAGGGAACATGATCATATATACCAGAGATTCAGAACAGTCGCTGCACTGAATCCGAGTATTTCTGCGGGAGGTGAAGCTGCAATCGAACGCTGGGCGAGGGAACAACAGCTGGCGTGGGTCGCCGGGTTGATTCATCCTGGCTCCACGGTGAGGAGATGCTGAAGGTATTCGATTACTTCCCAATGTTTGCTGCTCGTTTATTAGCTAATGGTAATTGTCGGTGTCAGAATGATAATAGAGGGATAGTTGAAACTATTTGTTATTTTGAGAATTCTGATGGCCTCCACGAGTCTGGAAGAGCGCAATAAATTTTATTTTCTGGACAGATCCCCATACCACCCTATGGTACAATTATATTGGTGTGTGGGGGTAAATAATTCGTGTGGGGACGATAATTAATGCAAAAAACGTGGGAAATAGACCTGTTATCGCAACTTGTGTTTATTTATCCCACCATGCCGATATATTCCAGGTTATCCGATATATTCCAGAGTTATCCTCCTGTGAATTCGATTAGCCTCTGAGAGTGATAATCTATCTATTCTAATTTCAGGGTTGTCCCAAAAGAGATAAAACAAGCGAGGGTAGCAAGAATAAAGGTACTCACCGCTGGGGAAGGATGAGCATCAGGTGCCAGCTGGGGAAAAGGTAGCTACCTGCCCAAAAAGATGACTACCTCATATAGAAGATGATCACCTCCTGCGAGAGGCGACTGCTCTGATAGCTGACTTTGCGATGTCAAGAAATATTAACAAAGCAAAGAAAATGATAGTATAGGTGATTAGAGTTTGAGTAATAACTCAAGATGGTCGAAGTTCGAACCCCTGGAACTCTATTTTTTTAAAATTTGTGCTACCATCTTATGATACCTCATGAATATACCAAGGTAATTTACCGCATATTCAGGGCAATTCTTTCTCAAGTCATCCTGATAAACTGGATAAACAGGGCACTCCTCACGGATATCCCCTTCGCCTTAAATATTACCGGCTATCACAGGTAAACTATCTTTTCGAAATTGTTCCCTAGGGACCAACTATATAAATGGCTTTTTGAGAGAGAACTGTGAGAGCGAGGTGTGCGTACCAGAAGAGCATTTGTCAATTGATACAAATGTTCAAACCTTATCGTAATCAAGTGGATGCGGGGACAGAGTTGGATTCTACTATCGAACTATAATCACGCTTAGATATGGTCCCAGGCTGGAGGAGAACTGAATGCTAGTTGATGATCAAGCATAAAATATATCTCTGAACCTATCCACGGTGGAGATCGAAGCTAGAGAAGGCACGTGGTCCCTTGTTTAATTTACATAGGCTTCTCGACCTCATGGCAATCCTGGACGAAGAGAAAAGATTTAATTTGATCAAGCAATGTTCTAGTTACGTACGTCTGTGCCTTCTTCCATTAACTCGTCCTAGGTGATTGAAACATATCTAGGAATATCCGCATCATGCGCCGTTGAAGTTCATAGCTTTTTTACTCGTGTCTATCTGACCTACACAACACATCCGATAATGGTTATCCAAAGCTATATGAAAGCCAAGAATGTTCTCCAAAGGTACAACCTTCTTTGGGGTTTGTTACCAAAGTGGTCTTCCGTAGAGCACACTTCTCGCCAACGGCTACCACCGCCCCCGCACATTCCGGAGGTCTCAAACGATAGGCACCGCGTAATCAACAGAAGGAACCACTTAAGGAGAGCGTCTAACAGACGATGGTCCAAAAGGACACACGCTGGAAGGGTACTTTGAGCCCGCCCAGGGCTCATGTATAGGCGATAAGGATCGTAAAAATCACCTTGAGTAGAATCGGTAACGGTCAACGGGGGGTTTCGCGGATGGCGAATGATCACCGATCTTTAAAACAAGCATATATGTTCTCATAGGTACCCAGTGGGGCTTGTTTCATAGTCGTTTGGACCGGGTAGGGTTCCGTCAACGGTCAGCTCCAGCTATACACTCATAATCTTGGAGCGGGAGTGTACGTCTGAGGTCTTAGCGAGACCTCGTATTGATCGAACGAAGACGTATCTAAGTAACTCAAAGAAGGACGAAGGATTTATTATTTAGTCACAGGTGGAATACCTTATGTTTCTCGGGCATCTTCATGTAAAGGATGAGGAACATGAATTAAAATATGAATTATTCAACAGGAACTGTGATGATTTTGTGATTGCCCGGGGGGAAGTGTTGTCTGCCTCGTTGCTGTTAAATGAATATACCTATTTATCCCTTAGTATAGTGTTCTTCAACTATGGCTGTCACCCTGAATATTGACATACATATTCTGTGGCACGCGGTCGAGTTAAGAAACACGAGAATCTCGGTCATGGAATATCACTCGTGCACATGCACTCATGCGCAATATATTCAAAGTTCAGTATTTATAGAAGATATTGATAGAATATGGAAATAAAGAGATAGATATTCTTTTAGCCGAGACTCCTTAGTGCACCAGTTACATTTGCCGGTCTATCGGAACGATCGAAGCATAGATTATCACTCGATATCTCGACTTATGACCATTAGTTGGGAGTATTTTTTTTTTTTGTTTAATTCATTAATTGCATACCATTAGGGGGGAGTAGCTTTCACGCATGGGAATTTCTAGAAATCCCTGATGATATTGTTCATTATATTAATTCATTAATCCTAACACCATAGCGTGAGATTTCAAAACTTTGATTTGCTTCTTTGTCTTTTCTTGACCCAACTTATCATACACTCGCTGTTTCTGACTATATATATTCCACTACAGTGCATGATGCTTCTCTCCCGTATGGCCTATTGCGCGGATTGACGGGATCTTCCCCACAATATAATAAGTAACACACCCTTTATATAAAGCTTATTACGCTTCGTTTGGGGCGAAAAATTGGATTTCCATACACATAGAGGTCCAAAAGCCCGTCATCATCGATTTATAGTATTTCCACCCCGCATTAATAACAACGGATAATATTCCTGTGGCTACCTTAAATTATTGATTAAAATCGATCACTGGATTCTGTTACAGGAGACTCCCGTTAAAAAACAAGTTCGGAAAGGAATTATAATCGGAGGTGTAACTTCCTACGCCTGAAATTAATAAGCCGCCTGGAAATACCCCGCCCCTGCATATCAGGAGGATGAGAATAAAGATTATACTAACCGATATCCCATTTTAAATGTGAGGACACCGAGCCTGCAGCAGTGCAGAGCGTGCTAATTTTATATAATAGCTCCCTTTCTGAACAATGTATATTTCTCGAGAAGAGGAATAGATCGTCCGCGACTGAACTCCCTCGGCTACCTGTGAGCCTTTCAGCCCCATCCTTACTCATCAGGACAGGTTATCCTCTCCGTTGTGACACAGGAACCTCGAGTACTGGCGCTGGGCTCAGCTGAGATTTGTATATCGAAAACGTATCAAAATAGAGGAATGTCATGTAAACCGAAACCGAATCGTTAGAACTTTATTTCCGTCTCCGGTCATAGCTGGAAATTAATCTTTGCGGCCAATCGCGAGGGAAAACAACTGTGTCTCATCATCTTTCAAGGCAACTTCGTTGCCAAGTCAGAACGACGTTTCTAGTAGCAGTAAACATTACGTGGCCTATATGAATAGCTACTATGGTCCAACGTGTCACCGCTGGAGTTTCTAAACTTTCCACCGGGCCTTCTCCGACCTTTGAAAAATTAAGTATTAACACCCATTGATAGAGCTAGTAGGGGCGTCGACCCCTCCGGAGTTTTGACACGCGCCTTCAAACGTGCATTTGCATTGTAGATCTTTACGGGGAGATCATTTTTCTCCGTGATAATTCGTGCGGCAGAAAAGAATCCTCTGCGAGATTATACTGTGCCACCTGAACATAAAATATATTTCCGTAATATATATGTTGATGTCTTTGCGAGCTATTCTGATACTCCTTTCTTGTCTACCAAAGCTCTGGGGGGTAAGCGGTACAGGATTTGCAATTCCGGTAATATTCGCCCCTCTCGGGGGTGGCAGTGATCAATATAGCGAGGTGTAACTGGCGAGGTGAAACTGAATAGGAACAGAACGAAGCTTGTCAGCCGGGATAACAAGAAGGTGGAAAGAGATGAATGCGGGAATGGTGGACTAATCTACCACTCTCCAGAAACAATAATATCTCAACTTCGGTAAATATGCCCTGGCATTAGCTGGATTGAGGAATAAAATCGCCCCATCTGTGTAGTTATGCCGCAGTTGTCGCTTATTTCTCCCATCCGTGTGATCTCCCAGTTCGCCAGGACTGAAATGTTGGTTCATTGCCCTTTCCCTTGCCTGTCTGGCCGCTCTATTATTGGCTCCCCACGCATCATCGAGGAATAGTGGTTCAGGTAAACTATCCCGCTTCATCCCAGGAAACGTTGACAACCCTCATGGCCGTCGGCTATGGATTTCTCATGCTGTAGACGGTATTAGTAAATAGCTTGTTTTCTGGCAGATAACTGGAGATATACCTCTTTATTCGGTGTTCTCGGAATTTGTGATTCGTTTTGGTTGTCGGATAACGGCACTGCATGTATGCATGCGAACGGGAACAGGGACAGGATGTTGTGTGCTAAGACAACAACCTTAATATCACCACACATCCTCACAACCTCATGAATTTTTTTTAAATTCATCACAAACCCATCAACACCCGATCAGGACACATGAATTTTCTTTGCAGATAACCTTACTGAAATTACTATACTCCGGATAACCTTAGAGATAAGATACACGATATTTCCTTATAATACCCTCTCGTTCAAGTACCATGCTCTTCCTTCTACATCTTGTACCCCAATGACTTGGCTCTGTGGTGGGTTTCGTAGTTCACGAAGTCGAGGTTTAGTCCTAAAATTAATTCACAGTTGCTGAGTAGAGCTGGACTGAGACAACTACGAAGACCGTTCTGAACTGATCCTGATCATTCCCAGTTCAAAGGTTTCAATGTCGCAGAATATCTTTGTTTTATAACTTAAAGTCTAGAATTAAGCTACATGAATGAGTGGAGAATGTTCGTTATTCTGACATGAGTTTTTGATTACGGACTTATCCCTCTTCGAGCTTCTTTTTGGCCTTGTAGAGTTCATGTCTAGCCAGCCACGTCGCATTGCGCTTGCGGCCACCGTTTCTCCTTCTCCTCTCGCTTCTCTGCTGTGACGTTTCCTTCACTCTGGGCCCGCGAGGGTGAGGTTTGCTGTAAGGTGAGATATTAGCACTGTTAGGCAGCATGAGAGACCAAGATTCAACATACCTGACATATTCGGACTTCTTCTGGACCATTGGAATTCTGGAGATCGTCATTGCGTCGATGTCTTCAAGCAAGCTTATCATTTTCGAAGTGCGAGTTGTCGTCACCGGGGAAGGGAGTTTGGTGATAGTGTCATACGCAACAGCCCGCGCAGTATAGACAATGCGAGATGGAGTGGGTTGTTCGTCGACCAGAGGCTGTGGAGTGGGTGCTCTTTCATAGGTCGCTCTCCAGGGATAGCCATCGAGAGGGTATCCATAGACATCGAGTCCAGGAACGCCCATGTTCCAACACGTGAAGACCGATGGCGGATCTGAGAATCCATCATAGTTCACGTTACGCCAGTCTGCAAAACCGAGGGAGGTGATTGACCTGTCCAGAGGCAGAAGGGGTTCGCTGAGAGTGAGCGTGGGGATCTCAGAGAGCTCATGGTCGCAGACAGTCTGGAACTTTGGTGTGCGAGGAACCTCAGGAGTGTTGGGAGGAGGAGGACCTGCGAGAATATCGGCCCAGGACCTGATGCTACTGTTGGTGGATCTAGAGAAGGGGTGGGAGGAAAAAGCAGCCCCCGGAGCTTTGGGGGAGGAAAGGTTGTTCGAAGCAGAAGACATGTTGAATGGCTTGTGGTTGATCTTGCTTGAGGAAGAAAGAGAGGATTAAGAGAACTCGAGAGCTGACTATTTATAAAGACGAAATGCCCAGAACCATTCGTCAGCTTGCCTGCCGATCAGGAAATTGCGCATGCACGATTGAGAGCTTTAGGAATAGCTCCAGGCTGACACTTTTGGTACTTCATATATAGGGCATGCGAGCTCCCGTGCAAGAAAACCTGACTCTGGGCAGTTGCTGGTAAATTGGCAGCAAAGGGGCTGGACATATGACACAATCTTATGGGGTCATAGCTCATACTTTGACTTATCCTACGTCTTTCGAGAGATGAACCCATGGTCTGCAACTCACAATACACTAGGTGATATACAGAAATTCATAGAATTTTCTAAGCCAGCACGAGCGATCAACACATACGTCATGAACTATCTTGGTGGGAGGTTCGGAAAGGGATAGTAGTCAAAAACGAGATATTTTATCCAACGCCCAGGATCAGCACAGTGACCTCTATTTTGTACTTAAATATTCTCTGTTATGGAAAAAGAATCACCCAACGTTCTCACAAAAAATAATACGACCAGCTCAGAGAACAGTCTGCTGATACCATTACAGCGCTCGGTGCGCACCCTCGCCCCCGAGCCCACAATAAAAACAGAAAACAAAAGAGCCCCATAGAAGGTTTATTAACATTTGCGGAAGATGAAAAGACACAAATTGGACGTAACAATATCCAAGGCGGCGGAGAATAGTAAATTGAGGTTCTGCTTTCAGCATTCACGATTAGTAGTGAGAGGAGAGTGGGAACAGGAAGTACACGTATCATATTTTCGCCAAATCTACACATTGGAGTATCTTTCATAATGGTATGAGTGCTGGCCTTGAGCCGGTTGGGGTATTCCACATCCTGCTGAACGAAGCGACTAGTAGGCATAAGGGTGAAACCCTGTACTTGTACTGTAAATTGCAGTGCGCAGCCATAGCTTACGGGCTGCATGCGAGTATGAATTAAACAAAAAAAAAAAGTATCTTTCATAATTTTAAAATTTATTGATTTCATATGATTTTAAGCTTGTTTCATAATCTCTCTGAAAAACCGGATCTCAAAAATAGAATACTCAAATCGCGAGAACCACAAAATTCATTACAATGATTTTATTTCCTCTCTCCTTCATTGAATGCGACCGTCTGGTAGTTCAAGATTAAAAAAAAAGATTTCGAACTCGTTACAAGAACTGTTACAACTGGTAACCGAAATATGAGAGGTAAACCGTAACCCATCCGACCAGAGATATCATAAAAAATTCCCCAGTATAATCTATCCCATAAATCGTCTCCAAGCTAACATTGCTTCCTCACCCCCGAGAAAGAAAAGCCAGGACCATAGGCTTGGTTTATGGCATAACCTGAAAAAGTGCAAGTGAGACCAATAAGAAAAGAAAGAACAACGGGAGTTCTGATGGTGCCTCGTGGTACAGTATGGTAGTCTTTGAGACATCGTAGTTTCCGGATCTTTTTTCTCCCATAACCACGTGGTCCAGAACAGCATCGTTCTCGGTTACTCCCGGGATATCGGAAACGACAGTTTCTGGTAATTGATCGGCTCCGACCACTGGCTCAGTGGTGATTGGTTCAGCGGAGTTGACACCTCCATCCAAGGCAATTTCCTGCACCTGAATATAGACACATCGCATTAGCAAGTTATGAACACCTATAACCGAACGAAGTAATAGTGCGTGAGTATAAAAAATTCTGATCAACCTTATCCTTCTCACTGTTAGAAATAATCTCCTTGACCTCCGCAGCGGTTGACCGATGCTCAAACCGTATCTCATGGCCTGGGAATGAATCCTTCCGTCCAGAAACTGGCTCCTCAACAATCACTGGAAGCTTCCTCTTCGTCGCCGTTCTCGTAATAGTAGTGTCCCAGCTCGTAAAGATATCAGCTCCGATTCCTATAGTAGTCAGGACCAATGCACTTCGGCCTCCGGTGAAGTAACCATGGGCTGGTGTGATGATCTCGGCAATTCGAGGTCCCGTTTTAGTTGGTGGGTCACCTCTCGGTGTGGTAGACCTGGTATATTGCATCATCTCTTCCCTCCACGTGAATGTTTCGGTGGATGATTGGGCCTCTTCTTCGTCGATTGCGTCGTCGGCCCAGTTAAATGTTGACGTCGGGCTGATGTCTTGAGAAGCAGCCGGTGTGGGAATTGTATCGTCGACGGAAATATAGATACTTTCATTCTTCTGTTCGTCCTGTTTGTGTGCTGCTGAACGGTCCTCCTCTCCATCTTCCACTGCGGAATGGTTGACATGCGTGGACGACGATGATTCAGAAGTGATTTCGACAACGACAGCTGACGGGCGTTGCATAACATCACGTTCCAAGGCAACCGGCAACTGAGAGCTCTGCGCAAGCTCCTTCACATCATGGATGAATTTGACTTTGTTCGTGTCGGCATGGGTTTCAATACCTACATGTATATATTCGTGCGGTGGGTTGTGGTCTACATTTTCGTCACTGATTGAGAGGATAGACTCTTCAGCTAGGGCTGGAGAGGCTCTGTCTTCCTCGGAAACTTCGAGATTTTCGCTTTCAATAACGGGGGAGAGAGAGACGCTTTTTTCGATTGATTTCGAATCACCATCGGTGGTGTTGGTGCTGTGCGGATCAGGTAAAATACTCGAGGAGACAGCCGGGACGACCTCCTGAACTTCAGAACGGATCGTCGGTGGTAGGTTTATTTTAGGAACATGGTTGCTCTGAACGACAGGACGGACTCTTGTTCTTGGAGGTGGGGCATCCGGCGGAGTGCTGTAGACGATAACTGGAGACTTGTGTTTCGGGCGCGGGAGCTCAAAGTACTTTGTCGGATCGAATTGGAACTGCGATTTCTTCTTCTCTGGACGGACGAGGAGAGTGTTACTGGAGCTTCCCGAATCGTTGGTCATGAAGCTTGAGTGTTGGAATGTAGAACCGGAATTGCCTCTAGGAACGAACTCGGTGATTTCTTCCCATCGGCGATGGGACTTGACATGCATCTTTGCGCGTAGAGCTAATGTAATTGGAAAGGTGGGATAGGAGCGTTGTTGGTATAAAATACCGGTGGATTTTTGAGATGTTTTGGTAGTTTGGGCAGTTATAAACGACGGTGGAAAGTGAGAGGGAAGCGAACATAGAATCGATGTCCAGGTTGTCAACTTAACGTCATTCAAAGGGTTCTGTGCACAACACAAAGCGCAAACCACCACCTGACGTCTGCGGAAATAGGAATTGCACCCAGGCTAACAAGAAATCCTCTCTTTCATATAATATCACTCGGTTGACTCATCGCCGGCCACAATTGCATGGTGGGACTAAATGCTTCCTCGAACTTAAGGTGTACAATTTATTCCACTTTATTAGGCGCAAAAGAAGATCTATCCTTTAACCATAAAATAAGATTCGTTATTTCAACATCGCAAAGAAAATCTCAATCCCCAAATCTCTCCTCCGCGACCAAGCACCCCAGCCAATCCCGCGTAAGAAACCCTCGCGGATACATCTCAATGCCCTGTCTAGGCTCTGCGTACTACTTTGATACACACTCACAAGCACGCGGGAGAAACGAAATCTCCAATCAGACCAGGTGATACAAACGATAGACAATAGAATGGGCGAAAATAATTTTCTTGCACGCTGGTCAGTTGATGTCGAAAATACCGAGATTTCACTGGGTCTACCCATCGGATTCGGTATCGAGAACTTTATTGGTGCGCAATACCAGCATTGGCTGGAAATACATACACCCTACACTCATATTAGCGAAAGACGTGATTTACACTAGTATAGATTTTGCAGTGGTCCCACTGTACGTGAGAAATCGGGTGCTGGGATATCCCTAGCTTTGGCGTAGCGGTGATCATGCTGAACAAGCGACCTAGAACTTTGCCACATGAGTGCGCGCAGCGAAGGTTCATGACCACAGCAAGTTCGCCCTTATGACACAGCCAGCTCTCAGTCTCCATATTTATCGTATCCTCCTATACCACAAAATGAGCTCCGCTATTACACCTTTTCCATAATTTCTGGATACCAACGTGGGTTAGGGTTGTTTGCGTGTCTTCAAGCTGGCGGAGAGAAAGTTGACATTACCACTACGACATGGAGGAGGTTACTGCTCTGGAAAGCATTTTTCAAGTCCGTTTGATCTCGCAGAGGTCCCATGACGAGCTCGAGAAAGTAGATCAACGACGGAAGAGCTGCTGCAAGCGTACACAAACACCAATGACGACTCGATATGCATTTATGAGTCAGATATCTGGAGTAGTAGGTGAGAGGAGAGGAGAGCCAGATAGCAGTTGTCGAACGGCAGCGCTTTGGTTTATCCGTTATCGAGTATGATACCAGCTCCAATACTTCTAACACATTCGACATAATTGGCGAAGACGGGCCGGAACTGACGATGTAAATAGACAACCGGTATTGAACGACGCCGAAGTTCTAATATTTCGCTTACGTGTCTCAATACCTCTCATACTACACACTACCTATCATCTTGTCGAAAATGCAAGGTCGCTACTTCGAGTCGGAAGAGGACCCAATAATTATGATCCCGACAGGAAGCAAAAGGCACTAGATATCAATGCCTGTAAAGGGACTACTTCACATCAAACATTTCACGCTAACGACATCCCTGGCTCGCTTTGGACCTACATGACTTTGACGTACTACTTTCTGCGCCAGGACAGCGGAGTTTCGGGAAATCAGTGTCACTTGACCTCTGCCGGAGGTGAAAAACACGTGGGAATATCTATCGGAATGGTGGGTTATCATTTATACCGCCAGCGTGGGTGGTTCATCACACTAATTCTATCACCCTCCACTACAGATATTCGATCGTCCCAAATTAAAGCCTTTCTTCTTCGCTAGATAAAGGTAGTGGCAGGTAGGACCACCCCGAGAGCGGTGGCCTAAGATTACCTGAAGGGTTCATAGGCCGGCATCAGGAACAATCTGGAATATCTCTTCTTTTGTAGAGATGCCGCGTCAAAGGTGACATACAAGCGGCAGTAAGTCGACGATTCTGGTCCGGCAAATCGTACATCTCCTCTGTTAATCGCTACAGAAAGGCTCTCTACACACCCACAGCTCACGAGTAGATTTAATACTGGAGACCCTTTATATCACTCCTGGAGAGGGAAAAGAATGAATCCACAGCTCATTGCACCCCAAGAACTGGTCTCGGCTCTGGAAATTCATACCGAGTGATAGTTCATGAAGATGAAAGATCCCTGCGCTCCTCCGGGCGAGCGATATCTGGCTTCAACAAAACACGGTGTCCACACGCCTGCTGTGAGAGTTATTAGCGGCATATCTGGCATATATACTCGGTTATTTTTATTTTTTTAGGCCATCGAAGGGAATGAGCTTGTGCGCTCCAACTTCGGAGACTCTCGATTTAAGGGTTCTTGCGTTCTGTCTCATCCCTACTATCCGAGTGATGTGGGTAGCGACTGCTGGGAGAGGTCGTCTTGATCGGTAGGAAGAAACCTGGAGCTCATCGCGCGCACGATGTCCATGCCGGATGTACGCTCAGGGAGTCGACCTGCTCGATCGGAGTAGAATTCAATGCTCCGCTAGGTATATATTCGGCGTGGTTTTGGCATTATGCAAAATTAGGTTTAATCAGAGATACTCCATCAGATCACCCAGTATTACTATTACCAGCTCCATCATCATGTCATTAATTATGGTAGGTATCACGTTATTGACGACGCTGCAGCGGTATGTAACGGTCAGCACGCGTATACAATGAAGGGGAACAAAAGCTGCTGTTCATCACGCAGTCGTAAACAATCGTTGCCATGGCAGATCATCCCTGTCATAATATTGGGAGAAAATAACAAGCGGCGGAAGTGTCCGTGATGGTACACCGAATTGGATGAGAAGAGGACACAGGCTCTCTTTTTGTCTTTAAACGTCGAAAGTCTGTGAATCCGGAGATCTTAAATGTCAGATAATGAAATATAATCGGGTATAATATTTGATGCAGTACCATTTTTTATCAGTGAATTCCCTCAATTGTATTGAGATGTGTAAAATATAGGAATGATACCAGTGAAAGCTCCAAAATCGCTTGGCAAAGAACGGTAGACATTCATGCGTTAGCCATAGCGTCAATCCTTGTCTTCCAAGGCACTAGGAGTTACCCTTTGTTGTTCTTTCTAGTGCCGTCTCTCTCTCACTTCTCTCCTTCCTTTCCTTGCATCCATTTCTATACTTATTTTTATCCCCGCCTCGATTTCATCACAGGGAATAATTCATATTCTTATTTCTATCAATATCTTTTATACACGCCACCAGCAAGCACCAGAGCCTTTTATCCCCACCTAAACTTCATATTACTGGGTGCTCTGATGCCTGTCTGGATGGCTAATCAAGAGATATGGTCCGGGTTCAATCCTTCGCCTCTTGTGAACCTCGGCTGCGGGCTCGGCACTGGGAGGCCCGACAAGTAAGTTCTGTTATCGATACATCTCTGTTTATCAAGTCTTCATATCTTACAATACATGTTCGATAGTGTTCTCACAGATTATACGACTAGAGGCCTACCCGGGGGGATATTTATTCGGCAGGGGGGATCCGGGAAAGGAACATGCAGGACAGCTGTGAGTTTCCGATATCTTTCAAAACAAGTTTGAGTTCAGTTTGAATTCTTCATCAAGTCCCATCCTATCCTTCATTATTTTTATCATCACTTTTGTAGATAATGGAATACGGTTACTAACACCCGGGGTTAACGTCTAGGCCATAAGTGTGACATCCGGGACTACTGGAACCGACAGTGTTGGTGGAGCCCATATTGTAAGTTTAAAAATACGTTTTGTTTGACTCCAGCTTTTCGATTACTACACGTATACTTGCCCGTCAGCCATAACATACCATGTTTTACCTTTATCCAAGGTTTTTATTTTCAATTAGAGTTGTTGTAATTTGAATAATTCTCTGATATATATCTCTAGCACAGGACTGTTGAGATTTACTTCGCCCAGGAAGGCCGGGGTGGTGGCGCTACGCCATAAATGGGCTTGGAGTGTCAGACCCGACATTTGGTCTCGGGGGTCCTGGAGAGAGGTATGAAAAATATTTCCTCATCAAATTTGCAAAGCACTGACATGATATCTATGTAGTGCCTCCATTTTCCACTTTCGTATGTCTTTTCCGCGCTCAATAGCTGGCCTGGCAGAAATATTCTCCAAAATAAAAACTAATATCTGGTAGCGACTCTATGGACATTGATCCCATCTGCGCTTGCCGGAGCTGGAGGATCCGCCGTAAGTACATAGCCTAACTCTTATATCATATTCCCAAGATCTCAGACCTTTGCTAACAGATATATGACCACAGGCCGGATCGGCAACCACCCAGCACCCTCAGAAATCTCCTGGGCTACTCGAGAATCCGAGACAACTAAAGAGTAAGAATTAGCCTTTGATTTCCGCTGAAATGCAAAACGCTAACGAAAAATCAGTGGGCCGGCGTTTACGAGCCCGTGCCGCTGACACACTCTTCTCTGTCTCCAAGAGCAGAAAATCGTTCATGACAGGCACCCGGCCCTTCCTCTCCTTAATCCGGAAACGGTGCGTCCGCGCTCAGGGGAGCCAGGCTACGACAGTCTCTCCGAGTGTGCAGCGGGTGCCTGTGTTGGCCGGCAAAGTCAATAAATTCAAAACCGACAATTTCCGGGCCTCGTATCTCTCGCATACTGCCATCGCCTACCCGTTGCCGCCTCCCTCGATCACCAATTGCTGTTGCCCCGGGAAACCAAACACTCGGGTAGTGGATCCTGCGGGCCCGCACCCCCCAAGGAACACAGGGATCATATATGTGTACGTACTTGGGGACCAAAGGCCCGCCGATCACCCTGTTCCTTCTATTTGAGGCCGCCCTCCCCGCTTCCAAGGTGGCTCATCGTAGCGAGCATCGCCGAACGGAACCGGCATCGAGCACCTGCCCCCAGAAACAGCTGCCACTGGGCTGGGTCTGCGGATTGTATCCTCCTGCCTAGTTTCGCTGCAGAGTTGATATCCGGTGTGCTCCAGCGTTTGCAGCTAGACCCGAATACCTCGGGCGGTCTCGGTCTGCGTTGGGCACTCCAAGCTCGGAGCTATTAATGCGACGTATGTGTCGCGGTGTTGTGAGAGGGTGGGTGTGATGGGTGGGGGCGGTAGATAGTAATATATCTGCATTTTTCAGCATTTTTTGTTTTAATCTTTTCGTAGGTCCTTGATTCCTCGGGTCCTCTTTTCGATATATGTGGGGCTAAAGGTGATTCCTGCCAACCACAACAGAACATCATGTTTCTGTGTGGGAGGCCATTTATGCATGTCTGGACCTCGCGGATTGGAAGCGGAGGATTTGGGGCGGATGTCATTTCTAATCGAAAATTTATAAAAATAATAATAAAAAAAACTAAAATCACATTCTCATTATCCTGTTCCTACTCTTCAATGGTCTTTAGAGACAGTTTTTTTGTAGGCTAGTGTGGTTCAAAGCACAGTGATCCAATTGATATCGTATAGAATAGACTAAACCCTCAAGATCTCCTCGGTGGACAATCAAGAGGTTGTTTATCTCTTTCTCCAGACAGTCATCCCTGGCTCGGAGGTCTTGGCACACGCAACACCGTAGTGCGTTAGAACCATTAGCTACACGTCCACTCACAACAAAACGCATAGATCACATCACATGAGAGTTGGGTTTCAATACCCTAGAAATATTATGGCCAGTATCTGCTGGGATGTTGATGACGGGTGTATCGTGGTATGATGCTCGATGTTACTGGCTTGGCGCTGGGCCTTCCTGATGTTATCAGTGGTGTTTATCAGGTTGAATCTTGAGTCTATAATGTGCTATCGCTAAGTTTTCTAACATTGGAACGGTTTGATTGGCTGCTGAGTGCAGGGAAGTTGATTAGTCAACACGACACATCAAAGTACTGAGCACTCACGAGAGGAGGAGGATGGGGCCGAAGGCCCCTCATGATTGTAGAGGGAGAATTAAATTTTATTTGATACCCATAATTCAACGTACAACTCGCGGTCGCGAGTTGGTACACCCCTAGTAATGATGTACGAGTCTAAGTGGTTTAATTTTTCCCCGCAGAGGAAGGTTCAAAGGGAGAGAACCAGAAGACCTCCTTTGAGCTCAACAAGCTCATCCTGCATCCTGATCTTTCTCAAGTTCTGATCGTACAGTAGGACATGCGAAAGTAGAGATGAGCTTAACCCAAATGGGTTAATATCGGTCTTATTACGTGCACAGTCACGGTAGGATAACCGTGGTGTTTCTCAGGTAGATCGTCTCATATACTTGGCGAAACACTGCGCATCTCCCATGCTGTTGTTATCTTTCTTCGAATCTACCTCGGAGGTCTTGGCACATCTATGTACACGCAGAATTTCAAGCCTCTTATTAAGAACAGTCTACGAAGCCATTTTTAAAGTCTACGTAGACATTTGCAACCTCTAAGTACGCTCCCCAGCCGCTTGTGTATGCTGCTGCGCACTTCACCCGTAGTTGTGTAAGCCAGAGACGCAACCTAGCAATAGACTAGGCACAGCAGGTACACAACGTATTCACCTTATGAAAGCTAGCTGTGGCTAGTCAGACAATGCGCACTATGCTTCGTAGCTTCCTCCTAGCAAGTGAGGGGTAGTTTAATTGTGGTTGCTGACAACTGAAAGTATTCCCTGCCATCGTTGCTACGGAGGGTCCTCAGGCTCTGGAATGGGGCGATGACTGTCGGACTGCCCTACGGTATAATTTTTATAGTGTGAAGCGCTAAATTCATCCGATTTCGGAGTGTAGTAATGGGGCCGGTAAGGTAAAGCGGTACTCTTTTGCTCTTTTGCGGTAGTTTACCGGAAATATAAGATGTAGGGGTTGGTCCCTGGCCTGTAGTGTTAACCTATCGGAAATATAAGATGTAGGGGGTGGTCCTTGCTCTGTAGTGGTAAATTATCGGAAATATAAGATATAGAGGGTGGTTTTTTGTTCTTTAATGGTAAATTATCGGAAATATAAGGTGTAGAGGGAGGATGGTCTTTCCTTATTAAGGGTAAATAAGCTTCAGCCTGCTGTTTTGGGACTTAGCAAATTTCTTGTCAAAGTCTCCGGCTATCCTTTGGGGGGTTATCGAGGGGGAAGGGTAAACTACCCTTTCCCTACCATTACCCTACCTGATATACTGATAGAACAGATATGTAGTATCTTCCCCCATGGCCTAGATGGTACAGCTTCAATTGTATATCCACAATGATGCAGGTTCAACCCCCGGTTATAGATGCAGTATTTTTTTGATACAGTATCAGTATGATTTTCACTGATACATAATAGTCTGATATCTGAGGATGATTCATCACCCTCTTACCATTGTTCATCCAATTAGATCTACTATTGTTTGCTAATTTCATCCCCAAATGCGGGTAACATAGGTCACCTCGCATTAATGGTAGTTTACCATTTCGAAATTGTACCCTAGGTACTGGAGATCCTGTCCCCTTTGTCAATTGAGTTGAGCTTTTGCTGATTTTAAGAAAGTAAACACTTGATCCCTGAATGAAAAGCCAGGGTAGGGACAGCAAGATTCAAAATAATGCGAGGCATAGCCAGCTCGAGGTTCTCGTCTCTGCTTTACTCGAGCATCCTCGTTGGTCAAGGTGGACTCTTCTTATTCGCCCGTGTCTTTCCAATCAATTACTATCGGCATCTTAGAGATGGTATATGATATGCCTCGAGATGTAATGCATATGCATTCGGTGGTTGTGCCTGACGTCACACTGGATGTGAATCATGAACTATCACTCGTGTATTAGTTACTTGTGCTTGCTGTAGGGAATGCCATGAGTCGAGTCGACGATCCTTCGCGTGATGGAGAGCGCAAGTAAAAAGCATTCAGAGCTCGAGACCATGCTAATTACCACCATGCTTCTTTTCTTTACTCTCGTGCTATCCTGGTGTGAGGCACACGCGCGCACAAGAGCTGCGATTGGGAGGGTGCCTGCAACCCCCAAGACGTAGGGAAATTCAAGCGTGAGGAGCAGGCATGTCTTGGAAATATGTACGGCGTTAGTTCAGTGAGTTCTTGAGTAATTAGCTCGTAATATGTCATAAGGCATGACATGGGTGGTGATGGATCGGTGCTTTCAGGTAATACTCCGTGAGAAGGGATAATTGATCGGATGTTCGCCGAGAAAACCTAGGCATAGATACTTAGTGATTTAGAAAGATAGTGCGGGTTAAGTTGATTCGTTCGGTACTTCTGGCTTGTGATTATCTTACTGTTCACTCGCTCCAAGCCCCTGAAACGTTGAAAGGTGCACTCGCTGGTTGGTCCTATACACCACGGCCAACCATTCATCTCTTACCTTCCTCCACCACAAACAACAAGAGTCACCCCGTCCTATTTTATTAACAAGGTCAGTTATAATCCGTCACAACTCCTTTTCCTTACCAATCAACTCACCTTAATTTAGTAAAGCAATAAATGGACCTCCCAATTATCACTGTCACCTCCCCAACCACCGAAAACAGGGCCCACGGCCTCATTCACGACCACCTTCCCGAGTTCTATCACAACTCACGTAGCCACACCACCCACACCAAAATGGTCACCCGCGTCCAGGACCAGGTCTACGACCTCCCCAACACTTCCGATCACTCACATGCTCCGTCTGCTACTCTGCCTTCCCTGACCTCCGGCGAAAGCACCCCAGCCAGCATCAGCTCCAAAGCCTCCAGCGTACTGACAATCTTCTCCGGCACCACGACTGGCCGCCACGAGAATTACTCCAGCTTCTGCGGCCTCTGCAGAGACATCAGACGCCAGCTTTTGTCTGGGAACATCCTCTCTGACGTCGACATCGGCCACTGGGATGACCATGGTAGAACCTCCGATGCGCACAAGAGGAAGTGGGCGGGCAAGCTCCGCAAGATTATCAACAGTCGCTCTGCCAGACTCAAGGATTGCACCGTGATGATGAATGCCCTTGCTGGGCAGTCATTTGTGAACATGGCGGACATGTTGCAGGCGTTGAAGGAGCATGAAGTCGGAAGTGCCCAGTCGCCATTGCACATTGTTGGCGCTGAGGAGATCACTGAGGATATCACTACGGTTGATTGGGAAGGTATCCGCATTGCCATGGGTGATGAGGGTAGTCCCGATGATGAATCCTTTGGAAGTATCCCAATTGGGCTTGGTGAATCCTTTGGAAGTATTCCGATTGGGTTAGATCTTTCTGCGGAGACTGACATTGGCGGACTTCATGTTGTCATTACTCCTGAGCCGGGAGAGCCATTGAGTGCTCGTGAGCAGGCGAAGCTGGATACGATGGAAGAGAAGAGCGGGATAGTTTTCTTTGGAGAGTTTAAAAGCGGTGAGGAGCTGGAGTGGGCCATGGCCCCGGTCACCATGGAGACGGACAGCATCGCAGCAACTGAAGACACCATCGCAACTCATGGCACCATGGTAACTGACGGATCCATGGCAACTGACGGATCCATGGCAACTGACGGATCCATGGCAACTGGAGATACTGTGGCAACTGAGAGCACTGTGGTAGCCGAGGAGCTCTGTGAGACGAAGTTTTAGGAAGGAAGCAGTGATGGAACGGTATGGTGGCCAGGAAGAAGGAAGAAAGAAGACCGGGAGAGCTTGAGTGTTCTGTCTGGACGAAAAGGCTTGGCTGTGAGCATGGGTGCGATCTTGCTGGGATATTAGGCCTCTGTTTGTTATACGAGTCTCAATAAATATCTCTGTGTTTACGCTTATATCTTGATTTTCTCTGTAGGTTTTCGTGATGTTGTTGTGGTTCAGTAAACCTTGTTGAATCGACATATGGGAAGTTGGACCTTGTTGTGATTATCTTCAAAAATATATATACTTGGAAGCACGCCGTTGAGGAGTTTAGCCTGAGACAAAAAGAACCATGTTCATGATTCTGGCAATATTGGAATCGAAATATGCATCACCTTCGTCTACGCTAGAAAAGGAACTGGACATATGATTGAAAATGATGGAAGTGATTTGTGAACTGCCTATTGAGTCTTCTAAAATACTAAATCGCCTTCGACTTGACCTCATAGACCGAGTGACGTATATCTAATTGCCAGATCGCCAAGTAAGTCCGGGGTACTCGTAATTATTCTTGCTCCATGCGCAAAACGTCGGGGACTCCTTCTTGCTGCAGCACTTGACCCTGGTTGCATGTATAATCAGAATTTCTTTCCTTCCTCCACTCCCCATTCCACCACTTCATCCGTTCCTACATTCCCTATCCATCCTATTTTTACCCTTACGTATCTTTATCCCCAACCTCAACCAGTCAGCAATCCGCAACAAACATCCGAACCTTTATCCGCCAGCTCAATCATCCAACAGCACCCGCCTGGTTGCACTGCCTATGCTGTCTGGCGGGGTGGAGCCTCTATTAATACCTTCCCACTGAAGGCCATCCAGAGCAGCCAAACCGACAAATTCCTTCAACTTCCAAACCCGATTGGCTGAGCTCCTTGCTCACCCCAGTCCCACAAATCCTCACGATTAAGATTCAAGGGAGAAAACTCCAACCATTACTGTATGTTCTTCACTGCAATGACATGATGTTCACAGCACTCCGTCAGCGAATATTTACTAATGCCATTTCTCAATTAATAGCCAGGCAACAAGGAGAAAAGGTAATATTTCGTTTTACTCCTTTATTCTATCTGTCTTTAGAAAGATTCCATGAGGATTTCTGCTTACTTCCCGTCTTACCTCAAGGATATAGATCCATCGCCGGATTTCTAAGATCGGTCTCCTGATCTGCGGCTTAGAGAATGGAGTAAGTTTACACTCTGATTATCTCCTTATTGAAACCTTTTTTCTTTCGAAGAAATGGTAAAGATTGAAGGCCTCTTACTAATATTAAACTCTTGCGATGAACACAGAAAGAATTTTCTGGGGAGCAGACCGAACCCCAACGAGCCATTGTGGCTTTGGGCTCCGCCCGCCACCTTGGAATCTCCTTTCGCGAGGATGATTATGAGATGCGGGTGGGCACAATTCTTTGCCTCTCTCATCAGGAGCTGGTTCCTAGAGGGCGGTCATCGGTCAGTTTTTTATTGCTCTTTCATCTTAGTTTAATATACTAACATATCCTGGGAATAGGCAAGGGGTCTACAGAGCTGCAGACTCAGACCCCCCTATCTGGGACCCGGAAACAGCCAATCAAATGCTGGATAATGTAACTGGGGTCCTTAGACCAGTAATGTTTTCAAACGGCTAAGGGCCGGGCTTCATCCAGTTTATATGAATCCTGCCCTCCGGCCCTCCGCTTGCGTGAGAAAGACTCCCTGCCCTCGCTCTTCTGTAAAAGAGATCCGCGTGTCTTCCGCCTCCAACAACAGCAGCCGCCCTGCTGCTTCTCCGGAAGGGCCACCAGATATCCTTGGCCTGGGAGGTCCCAACCTTAGCCCACACCATAAGAGGGACCCGTGCTGTCTTAAACACCTTGAATCCTATTCCTTCAAGCTGGTCTTGAACGGCTAGACAAGAGACTTGCGGTATAGACTTATATTAGCTAAGTTCGATCGGGTCTTACCCACACTTACTCTCATCATGAGGGGGGCTAAAGTTACCTTTAGCGCTGTATGCGGCCGCTTGTGCGTGCATACGTAGGATGCTGGAGGTAAAAAACATGCTGACCTGGTGCTCCGCCCTATAGAATGAGGCAGTATGGGTCTTGGGTCTTGTGTCTCTGTAAGAGAGATCCAGTTGTCTTAAATCGTCGACAATCTTGGGGGGCGTTGGTAACCGCGCCTGGCGGTTGGCGGTTGGATTGGGGGTGCCTGTGGCATGGTCCATGTATTTGGGTGGGTCTGGGTGTGAAGGTTTTATGGTCTCCTGTTTTGCTTTTGTTTATAATTTATTTCGAATTTTATATTCAATAACAATCTAAAATATATTTTGCGCCTCCTTATTTGCTCAAACAATGATCTCATCTGACCTCTGGTTCGGGCCCCTATGGTACGATCTTTTTGGTGTATAGGGGTGAATGACCCGTGCGGGAGGGATAATTAGTGCAAAAAACATTCAAAATTGACCTGTTTTCCGAAAATGTGTTTATTTATCCCACTATGCCGATATATTCTACTTCTATCGGATATATTCCAGAGATATCCTCCAGTAAATTCGAACAGCCTCTGGGGGTGGTAGTCTATCTGTTCTAATCTCAGGGTTGTCCAAAAAGGGATGCAAAAACCGAGGGTACCAACAATAACGATACTCACCGCTAGGGAGTGATCTATATCAGATGTCAGGTGAAAAAAGGATAGCTATCTGTTTGGGGAAATGCCAATGCTAAGCGATAGTTCTGTAGCTTTTAAACTTGTAATATTGTAAACCGGATTCCGCTCGCTGAGTGACTGATGATGCCACTAAGACGAGGCGGAACCCTTCCCTATTTATACATATTGGACCCTATGCCAAGGCCCGCTTTCTAATACTAATGAGATAACGATAATAGAATAAGACAATCAACCCGAAGATAACCCCCAATAGAAAAGCGCCCCCGCATAGTTCCGTTCCTCCATTCTAATTCCGACACGTAACCATGAACCCCGCAATTGCCAGTAACCGAGCTGTATCATGCTATTGTCCTAGAGCTACTTCCCTAAGTAGAATGGCCTGCAGCCATAAGCCCCGCTTCTATTCCGTTCCGGGTGAGACACCCAATAGTAAGCGTGCCCTCACAACAGCCTAATACTAGTGTGGTTGCACCCGGTGCCCCCACACCCCTCGGTACCTTTCTATGCTTGTTCCCTCGTTACCCGACCGTACTCGCATCACAACCCATCACTCATATTATCCTTGTCCCTTGACTTAGGAGCAGTGTTCGTGTTTCCTATAACACTACTCCCCCTTCCTAGACGTCGCCCTCGACCGTTAAAACCTCTCTATGATAAAAACCCTTTGGGAAAAGTCATAGAGTAGGAAAGGTATCGAGCTAGTCTTCCCTAGTCCGCTGTCGTTTCAGAGGTCGTCTCGAGTCGGTGACTGGCCCTTGGCTCCGCGTATGGGGCCGAGTGTTGGTGACCGGTTTGAAGTTCTCATCTAAGAGTGCCTCTTGAGGGTCGGATGTTGCGAGTCGTTTTCGTGTGTTTTGTTGCCTGCCCGGGTTGGGGTCCTCTCGATAAGGTCTTAGCAACATCTCGTGGAATACGTCATGAACCTTCCATTCTACCGGAAGATTCAATCTATAAGCCCTATTTCCCACAGCCGCGGCAACCTCGAAAGGGCCTGTAAACTTATCCGACCATTTATTGTAACCGCCGAGGTTCCGAGTATCCAGCAAAACCTTTTGACCGATCGTGAACCGCTGAACTGCGGGCCCTGGCCTTGACGCCATCCTGTCAAACGTCTTCTGCAGCGTATCTCTCGCTGACTCATGGGCTAGGAGAAGGTCTTCCAGGTAGGTGCTTCCCTTGGCATCTAGCTGTCCGATTTTCGCATCCGTTGGCCAATCTGTTCGTGGGTGGAAACCATAGTTACAGTAGAACGGCGATTGTCCTGTCGACGAGTGTTTCGCATTATTATATGCATACTCGCAAATCGGTAGTAGGTCCCTCCATTTCTTTCCTGTTCCTGCGGTATAGGCCCGGATGTAGGATTCGAGGTGCTGGTTGGTCTTTTCTGTTTGTCCATCCGTCTGTGGGTGGAACGAGGTCGAGAGTCTTCTACGAATCCCTAGTCGTTCTGTGACCGCAGCCCAGAATGCCGATACGAACTGTGTTCCTCTGTCAGAGACAATGCTCCTAGGAAGTCCGTGAAAGCGCCAAATGTCCTTGACAAAGGCGTTAGCGGTCTGTTCCGCGTTGATTCCCGTCATTGGAATGAAGTGAGCCATTTTCGTAAAACGGTCCACAACTACCAATACGTTACGGAATCCTGATTTCTCCTTTGGCATTTCTACTACGAAATCCATTGAGATATCAGTCCAAGGTGTGGTGGCTAACTCTAGGGGTTGAGGGAGTGACAAGTGTCTCCGACGTTGCTTGGCTCTCTGGCACACGTCGCAAGTCTTGACGAAGTTGGCTACATCCGTGGACATTCCTGGCCACCAGTAGTTCCTATCGATCAACTCAAGGGTTTTATCCCTTCCTAGATGCCCCGCTACGGGTCTGTCATGATGATCCTCGATGACTTGTCTGACCGCGTATCCTGGCACTACCCAACGACCATCGTGGGTGGCCTCATTCGATCCCGGGGTCCATTCAGTGGCAAGCTCCGTTATTACGGCATCAGCTTCCTCTGTCCCGAAGACTTCAAGGTTTGCGTCAGGGAGAGGTTCATCCCGGAACACTCTCCGAACCCATTGTCTGTCCTGTTCATACCAGTCTTGTAGTGGCTGAGGCAGCTCAGTACCTGGTATGTCGTACCACTGATCCAACGGAGTCCATTCTTCTTCGGAGTTGCCAATGATTTCAGGGCCAGTTTCTACATTGGTCCGTGATTTCCTGACAAATTGTTCTGCGCTGAGCAACTGTTTTACGGGTTGTTCGCGCATTACTCCCCCTTCCATAGCGAACTCTGGGCGCCTTGTAAGTGCATCT